TCACCCACCGAAGAAGGCCTCATCACCGACGGCGTCGCCCTCATCAACTATCTCACCGCCGGCCCGCTGAGAATCCCGCCGTCGCGCATCGTCATCATGGGCCAGAGCCTGGGGACCGCTGTGACCGCCGCCGTGGCCGAACGCTTCGCATTCGGGTCCTCCGACCCAACGGCTCTCCAGCCCGCCCTCATGAACCCGGAGCCCTTCGCCGGCGTGATCCTCCTAGCCTCGTTCAGCAACGTCCCGAGCCTCATCGACTCCTACAGCGTGAAGGGCATCACCCCGCCCATGCTCGCGCCCCTCTCCGCCTACCCCGGCATCAAAGACTACGCCAAGCGCCAGATTGTCGACCGCTGGGACACGGCTGCCCGGGTTGCGCGGTTGTCGGGCGTCAGCAACAACAACAGCACCACCATCACCACCACCACCACCACCACCGGCAAAGACCACCATCCGGCCCCAGCGTATGTCGAGCAGGGGTTGAACCTGTTCATCGTGCATGCAGCCAACGATGTCGAGATTCCCTGGCAAGAAGGCCGGCGCGTCTGGGCCGCGGCCACGGGAGAAGCGGTCGAGAACAGCCCCGGGAAGATTGTGGTGTCGACAAGGGACTCCGCTGGCGGACCTAATGAAGTCCAGATCTGGGAGAGCAGTTCGGCCACGGACTCTGCTGTGGTCAAGAGGGTTCGATGGGAACGTGTGGCGTATGGAGGTAAGTGACACTGCCGTCCCCGGTTCGAATTGGAGGAGTGATTACTCGGTTATTCACGCTGTCTCCCAGGCCATAATCGCGTAGCAACGTTCTCGGTTGCCGCCTTGGCTGTGCTGCGAGCCTTCGATGGCTGAAGCATAGTTTTAGTTGGATTTAGCTGCACCGAATCACAAGGAGATCGCCACTGGGATTCGCAGTGAATCTCCCACCGTAAACGTAAAAAGACCCGCAATATTACGTCCTTTGAATGAGGGCACGATCGAATCTCGCGGAAGAGGTAAAGTTACCGCGTTGAAGCCATAGCCAGGTGTTAGTTCTGAGATATGAGCTTGAGGGGCGGCGTATCTGACCCGAGATAGATATAGACCTGGATGGATTTGGCATATGCCAAAACTCGCCATGTATTAGCCAGGTGCCTGTTTTTCAAACAAAATACTTATCCATATCTAGAGCACTTGTATGTCTTCGAACTTCATTCGTTCAGGAGAGGAGATATATCGAAACCCAACTATCAAAAACTTTATGTACAATCTGTGTTAAATGCATCCATGCCTCTGAGCTCGGGGCTTTGCATGCCCACAAAACAGCCTTGAGAAGGCCTCTGGTCTAAACGCGCAGAAGGGTTATCTATTTTGCTTGGTAAATGATACATGAGCCCGAGGTATTTGGACAGAGGTAACGAAAAAAAAAAGGAACACATCATTTTCATATTCAAGAACACGCCGGACCGGTTTTGGGAAGGAGTCAGTTATACAGGAGAAAGAGGAGCTGGAGTGTAGTTCATTCGTCTCCGAAGCCCTCGTAGGTGATTATGTGAGGGGTGGGATCGAGCCAGTATGGCCTGAGACTCGCGCGATGCATGAGAGGGCTGCCCCCTGCATTCGAGTTAACGCGGTCGGAAAGCGATTCCCGTCGCTTATTTCTTGTGTCTGTCGGCCTGGGCCTTCAGATACTTGGCAATGAGCTCTTTTCTGGAAAGGTTGAGAATGGAGATTAGCACCCTTGATGCCTTCACTTGCAACGTGCAACGTCTATGGGTTTTGGGGGATACTTACTGAAGGTGACCAGGAGCCTTCTCGTAGTGGCTGAACTCCATGGTGTACTCACCCTTACCCTGGGTGGCGGCACGGAGGTTGCTACTGAAGCCGAACATACCGTTCAAGCTGCAGTCGGCTTGAACGGTGAACTCATCGACACCAACTTCGGAGTCATTGATGGTAGCGCCACGCTTGTTCAAGAGAGAAATAACATCACCCTGGAACTCAGAAGGAGCAGTGACAACAGTCTTCATCATAGGCTCGAGGATAGAGGGGTTGGCTTCCTTGAAGGCCTTGCGGAACGCCTGCTGGGTTGCGTTCTTGAAAGACATTTCAGAGGAATCGGTCATGTGAGTAGCACCATCGTTGATGACCATCTTGGTACCCAGGACCTTGTGTCCAATGAGAGGACCCTTGTCACAAGCCATGTGGAATCCCTTTTCACAGGCGAACACGAACTTCTCCGAGATACTGCCACCAACAATCTGTTCCTCGAAAACATTCTCCGACAGACTGCCAGTAGGCTCCATCCAACCCACAACGCGGGCGAAGTCACCAGGACCACCGGTCTGCTTCCTGAGCAGATGATCGAATTCAATGCGGTGGCCGATGGTTTCACGGTACGCGACTTGAGGAGGACCGGTCTCACAGTCTACCCGATACTCACGGCGCATGCGCTCAACGTAGATGTCCAAGTGCAATTCACCCATACCGGAGATGATCGTCTGTTCACTCTCGTTATCGAAGTGCACACGGAAGGTAGGATCCTCTCTCTGGAAACGAGCCATTGCCTTGGAGAAGTTGGCGCCATCCTTGGCGTTCTTGGGCTTGATGGAAAGAGAGATAACGGGCTCAGGAACGAACATAGACGACATGGTGTAACCCAGCTGGCCATCAGTGAAAGTATCACCAGAAGCACAGTCGACACCGAACACAGCGCAAATTTCACCCGCTCCGACCTCACTAACATCCTCCATCTCATTGGAGTGCATGCGCACAATGCGAGGAATCTTGACCTTCTTGTCCGTGCGTGCGTTGAAGACGTTAGCACTCTTGCGCAGGGTGCCTTGGTAAACACGAATGTAGGTCAACTGTCCGAAGTTGCTCTCTTCCAGCTTGAAAGCGAGACCGACAAATGGCAGTGAGTTGTAAGGAATGAGCTTGACCGAAGCCTCGTCACGCTTCTTATCGAGAGCGAGGTTTTGAACTTCGGAAGGGTTGGGGAGATAATCGATGACACCATCAAGCATGGGTTGCACAGACTTGTTGGCAAGAGCCGAACCCATGAAGACAGGGGTGAACTTGAGACCGATGGTCGCGCGGCGGATAGCCTGTCTCAGTTGATCCTCGGTGGGCTCGATCTCGCTGAGGAAGAGTTCCGCGATCTCGTCGTCCACGTCAGCGAGAGTCTCAATAAGCATGCGCTTCCGCTCCTCTACGACATCCTTGACCTTCGCTGGGATCTCGTCCTTGACCACAAGTTCTTCACCGTTGGGGCCGTGGTTGTAAATAGCCTTCATTTGAAGGAGGTCGACCACACCCTCGAATTCGTCCTCAGCACCAATCGGCACCTGGACAGCAGCAGCAGGGATCTTGAGCTTGGTGTTGATCTGATCAACGGCCTTGAAGGGGTTGGCACCCATCCGATCCATCTTATTCACGAAGGAGATTCTGGGGACGTTGTAACGTCTCATTTGACGATCGACAGTGATGGTCTGGGACTGAACACCGGAGACAGCGCACAGAATCATGACCGCACCATCGAGAACACGCAGCGCTCTTTCGACTTCAATGGTGAAATCAATGTGACCCGGGGTATCGATCAAGTTGAGGTGGTACTTCTGCTCCTGGCCCTCCTTGTCCTTCTTCACCCAGTCACAGTACGTGGCAGCAGACTGAATGGTGATACCCTTCTCACGCTCCAAGTCCATGGAGTCCATCTTCGCGCCTACACTGTCACGGCCACGGACCTCGTGGATGGCCTTGATACGGCCAGTGTAGAAAAGGACTCGCTCGGTACATGTCGTCTTACCACTGTCGATGTGTGCCTAATGATTCGAGAAAGTATGTTAGGCAAATGTAGACAACCGAGCCAGAGAGCGTAAGTGGATTTCTTACAGCAATACCGATGTTGCGGACTTTATCCAGGCGTGCGGCTTCAACAGGGTCGAGATTCTCAATGATAGCTTCCTGCGACAGAGCATCGGGGGTGGCAGCGGCGGCCTCGAGGCTAGAACGATGCAATACACGAGTCAGTAAGCGTGTTTTAGGAGATATAGTAGACTGACAGAAGGATAGACAAGCAGAGCCAGGAGATACTCACACAGCATTGGCAGTGGCGGAGGCATTCCTCCTTTGCTGGTTCTGTTTGCTGAGGACGGACTGATAAGCCGGAACAACAGTGGCTGAACGGAGAACAGCGGTGGATGCGCATCTCCGCGAAAGAAGGGTCTGAGACTGAAGGCGAACAGGAGTCCTGGCCAAGCCAGAGACAGCACGGTATGGCAACCGTGAGAGAGTAGGACACCTCATGACTGCGACCGACGACACCGAGAACGTTGAATGAGCGCTGGTGCTCTTTTGGGACAGCCGGGAACCGCGACCTGATTTCTTTTCTGCGGCCCCGAAAAAAAGTTCGGGGAAGCCAGGCACGCGGTCACGTGATCCCCATCGGCTGATCCTCGCCCGTTGTTGACCTGGACTGCTGGAGTCTACGGAGTAGTTAGCACTACGGAGTATTCACTCGACCATTGACTTCCCAATGCATTGTACTTCTTATCGATAAGCCGGTCACGGGTCACTACTTCCGGTGCTTGATCCGATTATGTTGGAGTCATACTTGCCAATCGTATTCTCTACATTAGTATAATCGACCACAACAAACACATACTCCGAGCTCGGACCGGGCCTCAGGGTCTGAAGTTTGTCAATCTGGAAGAATGTGATACTGACAGACTCACATGTACAGAAATCACCTTAGTTTTTCGACCTCTATAGATAAGCAGCATACTATTCAAGTCAAATGGGAAGAATTTCTGTGGCCAACAAGAGAGAACCTAGGCCAAGTAGAAGGCACTCTGTTGTTTTCTAGTTTGGTAAAACAATAATACAATCACGGAGGGAAAGAATGTATCAGAAATACCGAGTGTCTGGTAACATTTCATACGAATACAAACGAGCTTGCTGACCGCCTTGCCTTCCGCCACTCTACCGCAGGATAACCTGCGGATGATAACATATTGTCGTGGTCGCATCGAGACATACTAGATTTGTTGGGTGACCCTACCGGTACAAAGATTAATCGCATAGTCCCTAGCAACAATGCGGACTACATTACGACTTCTGGCATCTATTTCGCAGAACCAGTCTTCCAAGCTTAAAAAACCGACTATTGGCCTTGATCATGTCAGTAGATCCATTAACATGGTGATGGAAATTCAGTCCGCTAATATCTCGTATTAGTTCATTCAAAGACAGCGGGTTCTTGCCTTTTGGCGCGAGATAGTCAGAGCCTTGAATTGTTCGTCTGATGTTCTCATTCTGCCGTATGCGATGTGGTGGTGTCATGTGCTAATATTGTGGAAGCAATCCCCCATTCACCAACTCGCGAGGAGCTGCGCAATTATGCTCGCAACGAGTTTGAGCGCCATCGAGATGTGACAGACCTGGTAAGTGCTGAGCACATATGCAGCCTGAATGCGCTACTGACGGACGACAGCAACATATTCGATACCTGCTTTCAGTAAGTCATCATGATCAGAGTTGACTGCATTATTGCTAATAGTATCCAGACTGGCAAAGCGGAGTTCGAAACAATGAGGAGATACATTGACGAGCAGATCGCCGGTTGAGCTGGCCAACCGACATGTAATGCAAGTAAGGTAGGGAAGAGTAGCTAGCGGAGAGTGTGCATTTTCCTTCAAAACAGTGAGAATATATGTATGTACAATGAGATATGATACCCAGACACATCGGCGAAAATCAATTAGAAAACGTTCCCCCTTTGTCGATTTTTTTTACTTCTGCCGCGACAAGAGCTCCATAACAGCACTCAGAACCCCGATGGGCTTCTCCTCGGAGGGCTCGAGGGCCGAACGAGCAGCGTCCTGCTCCGCAGTCGCCTTTCTCTTGCCCGCATCCTTGGCGGCAGCCTCGATGGCGGCATGGCGCTCCCGCCAATCCTTGTCCTCCTGGTCTCGGATCTCCAATTCCCGCAACCAAGCATCCCGCTTCTCCTGACTCTTGCGTGCCTCCACAACCTGCTCGAATTCCTTGCGTTGCTGCCGCTCGGTCTTGTAGTACATGCCTCCCGCAACCACTGCGATCAGGGTGAAGAACTGGGCGTAGATACGGGCACGGAACATTTTGTTCATCTCAAGCGAATCGCCCGCCTTCATGGATCGGTAGGCCCGGTAGAGGGCGTAGCAGGTAGCCGCACATCCTGCAATCAAACCGTCCCGTCAGTACAATTCCAAAAGAGGTATTGGAGAGGAAAGGTAGGTGCGAGGGAGAGTGTCGTACCGAGCGGAATCAGCGGCTCTTGCTTGAGCCGCCTGCGGAACTTCTGCAGCGAAGTCTCTTCTTGGAACTGACTACAGACGCGAAGGCCGTTAGCATCTGATTGACGGCCGCTGCTGTAGGTGTCTTATCCTATATACATACGGGTTGTCATCGAAAGAGGAAGGTAGTGGCTCGCTCATCTTGATAGTAGGACTCAAAAAGTGGGAGCTGATTGAAGGTGGCGATCTGCGTGGGAGAGCGCAAGAGGGGTGACTGAGTTAAGGCGGCACCGTCCAGGAGGAATATATTCCAGTAACAAGGAAATAGGGTCGGCCTGAGGATGAAATTGTGACTCTTCGCGTCACTTTTGCCTCTCTGACGATATCGCGCAGATAAATGAGATATGGACGAACAATGCCGAAAGTGACATGACGTCGCAACGAACCTTGAGATAATTTGTGTATTGTAACTTACGCGGTAGTACAACGGTATCTCGTAAGGTTACAGTAAGCTCACTTACGCCTTGATTGTTCGGGACTATTATGCATAATTATGATCTGTACATCTTGCGGTGCCAGATAACTCGACTTCACTGAATCCTCAAAAAATCTACTAGTAATGTCAGAGATTAAATAATTACCTATTCAAGAAGCAATGACAAGACATAGCAGAAGACATAGTTAAAAACTGGCATCAGCCTGTTACGATCTGAGCTCACCACATATTCTTCGTTACTAAGAATGTCGTGCAACGGCTATCTTGAGCAATGCACTGAGTAAATTGCTGTTATCAGTAGGGCGCCAGTAGGGCGCAGGAGAAAAAGCAGCTGTCCGTTGACCAGTCAAGTAAAACCTTGACTGTCCTGGTTGTAGGAGCACAAGATGATTGGCCACTTTACTCGATTTTGACTGTTATGCTTGCGATCGATTGGGATCCACCGGCCATCCATGGCTTTGTATTGGGGGGGGAGGGGGGGGCAACTGCCCGAGCACATAGATCAGAATGAATCACCTATTGCCGCAAGGAGAACTGTATGGCAAATGGAACAGAACTCAAAAAGCGAGGAGTAAACAAGCTCATTGCTTGGTTCAAGGAAGCAATACTCAGGCGATAAATAAGCATCAAATCTCTTTTCTCTCGAGGTAGATGAATACATCCTATTTTTAGGGCTGGAAGAGAGGGTTTGATGACATAAACTTTTCCGCTCCGATCACGGAATTTTCGCCCTCCTCCCCGCGGAATAGCAAGGGAGACTTATCCACCATAGTTAGTCAGTGCCACCGCGGCTTTTTTTCTCGGTCTCGACTCCCACTTGGTGCTGGCGCTTCGTTCTTACACTCTTTTTATCCCCCAAACGTTCATTCCCTGCATTTTGTCCATACAGCAGACTTGAATATGCCCAGCGAAGTATCTGACGACGGCGTTGCGACTCCGGTCTCCGCCAAGGTCAGTAACCTCACCTTGACCGAGTCCGCGCTTGCAACTCCCACCTCGGAAAAAGGGGAGGACTCGACTGCCTACAACTGGGGCATCCCCGACGACTATCTTCTTCCGAATGGCTACCCAGATGTAAGTGCCCTGTGGTCCTGGCTTTCTTCTCATCCGGCGTGTTGCTCATGCGATTGTTATCTACAGTACCTCCGGTTGATCTTAACGTCCCGGGTCTACGACATTATCGACGAAACCCCTCTCCATCATGCCGTCAACCTCAGCAACCGCCTGGAGTGCCGTGTGCTGCTCAAGCGGGAGGACCTGCTTCCTGTTTTCAGTTTCAAGTTGCGCGGGGCCTACAACAAGATGGCTCACTTGACTCACGAGCAACGGTGGAAGGGTGTCATTGCATGCTCTGCCGGTGAGCAGCCCCCCTACTGTGACAGGTAATATTTGGAGCATTTGAGTTAATGGAAAATTGGTGCAGGAAACCATGCGCAGGGAGTTGCCTACTCTGCCCGCCATCTCAAGATCCCCGCCACCATTGTCATGCCTTCGGGCACCCCCGCGATTAAACACCTTAACGTCGCTCGCCTGGGCGGAAGCGTCGTTCTCCACGGCAATGACTTTGACGCGGCCAAAGACGAAGCTCACCGCCTGCAGCAACAGCACGGGCTCACCAACATTCCTCCCTTCGATGACCCTTACGTGATTGCTGGCCAAGGAACCATTGGTATGGAACTCCTGCGCCAGGCCAACCTGCAGAAACTTGAAGCTGTTTTCTGCGCCGTCGGTGGAGGAGGCCTGATTGCTGGTATTGGAGTGTATCTCAAGCGCATCGCGCCCCACGTCAAGATCATTGGTGTCGAGGCCCATGATGCCAACGCCATGCATCAGTCTTTGGACTCTGGATCGCGCGTGTTCCTTAAGGAAGTGGGTCTGTTCGCCGATGGCGCGGCGGTCAAGTCCGTTGGAGAGGAGAACTACCGGCTGGCCCGTGAAGTTATTGATGAAGTTATTCAGGTTTCGACCGACGAGACATGCGCTGCTATCAAGGATGCCTTCGAGGACACCCGCTCCATCATTGAACCGGCGGGTGCTCTGGCTCTGGCTGGCCTTAAGAAGTATGTTAGCATGTATCCCAGCCCTGACACTAACCGGGAGTTGTGTGCTATCACTTCTGGTGCAAACATGGACTTTGATCGTCTGCGTTTCGTCGCTGAGCGTGCTGCTCTGGGTGAGCGGAAGGAGGCCCTTTTGAGTGTCAACATCCCCGAGAAGCCGGGCGCATTTGCCAAGCTCGTTGAAGTTATTCTTCCCCATGCGGTCACTGCCTTCAGCTACCGGTATGCCCACGATGCCTCTGCCGACGTCCTGATGGGTATCTCCTTGTCTGCGTTGACGGGCCAAGACGATTTGGCCAAGATCATGACTCACCTCACCAAGGAGGGTATGAGTGTCAAGGACTTGAGCGACGACGAGCTCGTCAAACGGCACGTTCGTTTCCTGGTCGGTGGACGCAGCAGCGTCCAGAATGAGCGATTGTTCATGTTCGAGTTTCCTGAGCGCCCCGGTGCTCTGGCCAAATTCTTGACCACTCTTCGCCCCAACCAGAACATTTCGTTGTTCCACTACCGCAACTACGGTGGAGATGTGGGCAAGGTGCTTGCTGGCATCCAGTGCCCCGAGACTGAGAAGGAGGAACTTGAGGCTTTCTTGAGAGACTTGGGATACCCCTTCAGCGAGCACACCGACTCTCCCACCTACCAAACTTTCCTTCGTGCTTAAATATTCAGCAACTTTCTTGAGTCGTTTTCGTTCGTTTGGGAGAAAGCTTAAAGAGTTTTTTTGATTCCCTGCTTGTTAATTCATATGGGCGTTCTTGTTGGGCATAGTGACGATAGAGCTTGGGCTGTTTCTTCTTAGTGTGAGAGTGCTAGGCATTGTTCCGTACATAGAATTCGAAATACTACCTATAATGTTGCATCTGATGTGTTCGTCCAATTGTTTCGCCTGGTACATTCACAATCAACTTAACGGACTGAGGCTTTCATGTCGATGTAGATGCGTGTGCGCTGATTGGCTGTGGTTGGGTCCAATCAAAACGCGGGATACTCAACTGTTTCCGGAGGCCGGGGATACAGTAGACCCGGCCAAAATGCTCCGAAGGAATTCCGGACAATCAATCGACGGCCGCACCTTGGTGGTTGAAAAGTCTCGATTTCTCTGCTGCAGCTCGTTCTTTCGCATTCGAATATATAGCGGAATCAGACTCGTCTGTCAATCCGCCATTTCGACAACCATGATGTCCGTCCGCTCTCTCCTCGGTGCCTCGACCGGTGCCCTCCGCCAGATCCTCCCCTCCCTCTCCCGCAGCAAACCCGCCGGTCTCCTGTCCCGGTCGTTCTCGCAATTGGCCAAGCTCCCCTTCGGCAACGGTCTTCGTCTGCTGCGCTCCGGGAAGCAGACCGGTGTGGTCAGCGCGTCTCTGCGACAGGTCGAGCAGGTCCGAGGCATGAAGACGCGGTCTTCGGTCAAGCGCCTGTGTGATGGATGCAAGGTAGGACTACTCCGAGCCCCGCGGAGGAGGATTTTGTACATCGGAAATCTGCAGTTGCACTGCATTTTTGTGAAAGGGAGTGTTCATGATCTGTGGATATGCGGCTAATGCTGTCTATTCCAATCGCAGCCTGTCCGGAGAAAGAACCGTGTCTACATCATCTGGTAAGCGCCATAGCTGTTACAAATTGAATATCAAAGATTCTAACATGTATCTTCAACCCACAGCTCGAAGAACCCCAAGCACAAGCAACGCCAAGGCAAATAAGCGGGACGTGCGATGTTATCTGTACTCAGAAGCTTGACAATACCCGGTGGACGATCGGCTTCTCGAACCGAGCATTTCCTGGGTTCTGACACGGCGGCGGTGGAAAAGGTCCACGGGCAATTGCATTATATGGTATGAGGGTCTCAACAGGAACCAAAAATGGCGGGATTCGAGATTCGTTGTGGGTCACAGGGCATCGGGGGTCTTGTTGATATTGGCAAGAACCGTGTGCATATTCATCATGGGATACGACCAACTGGTTGGTTTAGGCGCTTTGTTTTCATTGCATTTGTTCGTATGTACATTAATTGGGATTATACACTTCATTTCCTCTTTTGTTCAGGCTGAACTCGTGGATGCATGTGGATAGCTGGGAATCTACATCAGTGTCTTGTTCTGGTGTATGTACAGTACCTTTTTTCCCTCCTCCCTTGGCTATTCCTGTGCAACCTAACGTGCGAATTTTGGTTTTGCATGAGCTTACCCCATAGGACATAAGTGACTTGAATTATGGATGCGAGTTGACCAGCCTAAAGAGAGCTGACGGGGGTTCAAGATATCATTGAGTTTGAGCCAGGGAGTGCAAGGGATGATATCATTGTCCAGGAACCAGGGACTGTGAATACACTACACAACACAGTCTTGAGCCTCCTGCGCATGAGCACCAGAGTATACCAACCCCTCTCCATGTTACAATGCGAAACCTATCCCTTTCCTAGCCAGTCACAGCTGCCTACCTGTCTTCTCACGCCCGCAATGCTGGTCGCATGAGCTCATCAGTCTGGAATGCGATTCACGTGAATGCGAGGCCAGACCTTCTCAGAACACCGAACAGCCATTGACAGAAACCTTTTATCTCACTGCGCACTATTCATATTGTAGATTTGATCCACAGCTCTCGTGACAGCATGAAACCCGGGATGTTTTTCCCCTGTTACCTCCTCCTGATCCCAGCAGCAACCGCCGCCACATTCCCGGCCTCCCACATCTCGCAACAAGTCTTCGACGGCGACAACTTCCTCAAATACGATGGCATCCGCGGGCCCTACGTCGATCGCAAATCCTACGGCATCGGCCGCGACCCGCCGCCGCAATGCGTCGTCGACCAAGTGATCATGGTCAAACGCCACGGCGAGCGATACCCTGCCTCGGGGGAGGGCCCTGCGATTGAGGCCGTGTTGAAGAAAGTCAACAGCACCGTGCAGGCGGCCTCGAACAGCAGCGGAGACCTCGACTTCCTCCGCGGCAACTGGACCTACTATGTGCCGTCGGATTGCTACGAAGCCGAGACCTTCACGGGGCCCTACGCAGGGCTCGCCGAGGCATATACCCACGGGCAGCAGTACCGAGCACGCTATGGTCATCTCTGGGACGGCAGTAGCGGCAGCAGCAGCAGCACGCCAACGACCCTCCCGCTCTTTGCGGCAGAGTTCCAGCGCATCATCGACACGGCCCGGCGGTTCGGGGAAGGCTTCGTGGGGATGCAGAACTACTCGACCCACGCGGCCCTGAACCTCATCTCGGAGTCCAGCAGTCGCGGCGCGGACAGCCTGACGCCCTCTTGCCACCAAGACGATGGCGCTGCACGGGACAAGTGCAATGCGTATCCGTACCATCTCCCGCAGTTCGACGCTGCGGCGGAGCGGTTGAATGCGCAGTACAAGGATCTTAATTTGAGCTGGGAGGATGTTGTCACGCTGATGAGTGAGTACGACTGGTTTTCTGAGTTCAGCCTTTGCTACATTTATAGTACAGTACTGCATCACAGTCAGACTGGACTAACCCACAAATGTGCGGCGCAGCAATGACAGCGTACGAGCTGAACACGCGCAGCGAGTCCGAATGGATCGACGTCTTCACGACCGACGAATGGGTCAGTTTCTCGTACATCTGGGACGTGAACTTTTATTATTGCGCTGGGTGAGTGGATGGCTTCACTTGTAGGATTGGGTCATAGTATACTAATGCTAGATGTTTTCTGTGGGAAAGCCCAGGAAACAAATACATGCGCGCCGTCGGGGCGAATTACCTCAACGCCTCGCTCGCCCTTCTCCGGCAGGGTCCCTCATCAGCCGGACCTTTATTCTTCAACTTGTACGCCTGCCCCCTTTCGCCTCCTAGCTTCCCTATTACCCCCTAGTATACCACACTAACCCAACCCCCAGCGCCCACGACAGCAACATCACCCCCATAATCGCCGCCCTGGACATCGCGACCCCCCCACAGCCCCTCCCCACCGACCGCGTCGCCTTCGACCTCCAGCAACACTGGCGCATCACCGACATCATCCCCATGGGCGGCCGCCTGACCATTGAGCGGCTGAACTGCAGCAGCAGTGCGCTCGGCCCCGCGGGCATCTACGTGCGGTTGGTGTTGAACGAGGCGGTCGTGCCCCTGCGCACCTGCCAGGATGGACCGGGGTATTCGTGTTCGTTGGCACAGTATGCCGAGTTCGTGGGCGGGTTGCCGGGGTTTGCGACGGAGTGTGCGGTCCCCGCCGACGAGCCGCAGGTTTTGGGGTTCTGGTGGAATTACACCACTTCGACGGGGGAGAATTGGCACAAGGGGGGGAGGTGTAATGGGCTTGCTTGAGGTTTCTTTCATTAGTTGTGGTGGGAATGGGTTGGGTGGGTGTTTAGATTTTGGTGCGCAATTGTAGGATTGGGGAGCGGGTACGGTGGTAAGACTATAGTGTTATTGAGTGGGTGTGCTATCGGCAAGCATGCTAGAATAAGACTAGGACTCTGGAGTGCCAATTTCACAAATGCAGTTGGTTGTTACCTCAAGACAGTGCTAGATTCTCTCAATTAGTCGTAACATTGAGGATAGATAACATCTTTATCATGACCCTAGATACACATATTCCCTCCGGCAAATCACCCCTCGTTAGTATTGTCCTTCCTCCTAGAAGCCTTGGCGGTCGACGATTTTCTCGCAGAGACCGGAGGCTGGTACCCCGGATGCATGGTCTTCAGGTGCTGATTCAGGTTCCACGTTCGGGAGAACCCATTATGATGTCGATCGCAGTTGCTGATGGGGCACACCAGATCGGACTTCCGGTGCTCGCCTTTCCCTCTGGGACGAGTCGTGTCATCGGCCGATGCACTCGTCGCGCGAGATCTCGAACACCCCTTGAGGGATGTCGCCCGCGAGCGAGGCTTCCTGGATGATGCTCGTGATGATAATGGAACAGCCTCGGGTTGGGGCTCGGGCTCGGGCTCGGGCTCAGGCTCAGGCTCATGCTCCAATTCAGCCTCCGGTTCCGACTCGCTCTCCACGTATTGCCACGGGCCTGGCCCACTGCCAGCTTCCAGCGGGTCTTGTCGCACCTGTCCTTCGTGGAACGTGCGAAATGCCATATCCTCGCCGAACAAATCCGCACAGCGGCGGGAGGCTCGCATCACCGCCGCGGCGGGGAACCCTGTCATGGACGCAATCCCCAAAACCTCGCTCCAGTCCCGGAGGCCCTGACGGACCCGGCTGACGGACTGTCGGCCATCGCTGCTGCGTGATCTGCCACGGGACCGCGAAGACCCTTGCGAGAGCGAGCGCTGACTCGAGGGTGCGTTGGAGGATGTGTGCTCGCTGGATGCACGGCTACTCGAGACGCGGGTACTTCGTGAGCGAGAAGGCCCGGCGCTGGACTCAGATCGAATTGAGGGCCGTCGTGTGCGTTTTCTCCCCCGCGATAAACTCCGCTCCTTCTCCGCGGCGCTGCCTTTCCTTTTCGGCTGCTGTCCGGAGGACGAGCCTGAGACCGCGCTTGCGGTATCCGTCTGCCATTCGCTGGCGGGGCTATCGTCGTCGCGAGCGAGGTCGCCCTGCCGCGCGCGATGGAGGCCCATGAGCAGCGTGTCGAATTGCGTGAGGATATTTCGAGTCATGGGCCGTAGTTGCACGCGTGCCCTCTCATCGTCCGCCTGCACCACGGGCCGTAGAGCCACGGGTTTCATTCCGGCCACCGTCTCCGGTTCCTCGACCTCCTCACTCTCCCAATCCCCGGCACTCTCATCCTGGGTTCCGGTCTGCGACATGGAGGACTTCCTCTTGCTGCGCCGCGGCGTCATCGCACCGGTTGCTGGCCTCGTCGTCTCCCATTCCCGTGCATTGAACCGTTCCTTGGCGGTCTTCATCATGACAGCCATCAGGGATTCCTCCAATTCCGCACTCGGCCGCGGATCCGGCTGCCGACGCAGCGTCCAGGCATCATCGATCGCCCGCCGCACCAACTCTCCGGGCCGCGGCACAGCCGCCGCAGGCATCGGCCACGCCGTCCACCTCTTCGGCGGCGCAAACACCTCCTCTCCTTCAATCCTTCCCTCCCCCCCTAGAGCACCACTACTCATCCGCCTCGCAATCTCCCTCGCCCTCACCCGCAACGCATAAGCATTATATAAATGCGCCGCCAGGTCCCGAGCACGGAGATCGACCAACGCCTGCGCATTCTGTCGATCCTCAGCCGTGAGATTCCTCCAGGTCGACTCGGGGCCCCGGAAACGGTTGGGTCGGTAGTGGTCCTCCTCGTCTGCATCTGGCGAGGAGGAAGGCTGACGACGAAAACGACGGCTTTCAACCACGTCGACACCAACCTTCCCTCGCTGCTCCCCGTCTAACCTTGCACCACCTCTCCTTCGTCCAACGTCCCCCGCCTCCTCCTCCTCCCCCTCCCCCCCACTCTCCTCCAAGTAACTCGAATCCGAATCATCCGAAAGCCCCTCATCTCGAGGCGAACCGCCTTCCTCCATGATCGTGTCCAGATTTCCCTCTAATTCATCCGGATAAGGCTCGAGATCCGAAAACCCACCCGCGTCCTGGCTGCTGTCGCCGCCCCCGAAGATGGATTGGTAGGCTTGCGGTTGCGGTTGCGCGGACGGGGGAGGCGCGAAGCGCGGTGAGCTGGGGTAGTAGTTTGAGGAGGACATTGCTGCTGTGACCAGCGGCTTTGGCCAGTTCTTTGCTTTTCTTTTTCGAGGTTGTGTCGTGTGATCTTGGTGTAACACCCACCCCAGAACTTAGTCTGTGTTGCTGGGTTGGTGTTTCAGTTGTCGATGCGGTGGTGTGTGTGTGTGTTTATGGTATGCGAGTCAACAATCTAGGCCATGTAGTTGTATGTATCCATGCAGATCGGGTTTGAGGCACTTTGGCACGAATAAGGCATTGGGGCTGGTGGGGTTTCCTGGGCCCTAGGGTTGGGCGATGGTTGTCTATATATACGGGTATATTACTCCATGGCTTGGTCATCACTATCGTTAGTTCATAAGTGGGTTGATATGGTTTTCGTTGAAGTTAAAGTCCAAGATTTGGAAGATGCGCTGATGGGGGTGGAAAATGTTCGACATCACGTGACACAACGCATGGGGCGTGGAATCGTTGAGAGTAGGGCAATGGATATACTCAGAATAGATGGGATTTTTGGGCTCTGCCAGTGCTCGTAGCTTAAATATTTGGTACTAGAGAGTGTGCTGTGGTCTCATGGAGCCATAGCTGCTGGAGTGAGAGACACCTTAGGCTTTCAAGTACGAAAAGCATACCGCAAAACAGCACAATCCTATTACAACTCGTGGATAAATTCTTATCAATAACAAATACTTACTATGCAAGACGCCAAAGAGTCAAATATATCTCCAATACCCAGCAAGGATATCATTCTAATATCACACACATCACACACAGGAACTAAACACTTTTTGATGCACACAACATCCATCTATTTCTGACCCGCCTTCTCCAGCTTTCTCCGCTTGGAGCGCAGCTTGGCCGCTTCCTCGTCCTTCTTCTTGTTCGAGTACATCATCTTCTCCAGCAGCTTGCGCTTCTTCCGGCTCATCATCATCTTCTGGCGCTCCAGCTCCTCCTCCTCCTTGCGCTTCTTGGACGCGATCTTCTTGGTCTGCGACTTCTTCTTCGTCTCGCCGGTCGCGCCGGACGTGAAGGGGAGACCCGCGGCCTCGGCCTCCAGCTCCTTCTGGTGCTGGGAGCGGGCCGCTTCCTCCTCGTCCTCGGACTCGGAGGCGGCCTCGTTGTCGTCGAATCCGCCGAAGTCCTCGTCCTCCGCCTCCTCCTCGCTCTCCTCGCTCTCGTCGTCGGTGCCCGCGACGTCCATACCACCGTTGATATCGGACTCCTCCTCGCTCTCAGCCTCGGATTCCTCACTCTCGACCTCGGCGGCCTGCTCATCTCCAGCCTCCTCCATCTCCTCGTCGCTGTCCTCTTCCTCGGCAGCGGCGGCTTCGCCTTCCTCCTCCTGCTCGGCTAGGGAGGCGCGAGGGTCGTAGGCACCCTTGGTAGGCTTGACCCACGGGCTCAGGTGAGGGGGGAGGGTCTCGCCGGGTGCGTACAGATCAGGGCGAAGGAGCTTGCCCTCGTTGATGCAGTCCCAGACCCACTGGGGCTGGATGTAGGTTCTACCAGGGATGCGAGTACCCGGTCTGACCTTCTGGACGGCACCCTCGGCGGAGGCGGCGGGAACGGCGGGAAGCGATTCTTGGGGAAGAGAAGGACGGTCGACGATTTGGTGAGTGATTCTCGTGTCGGTCTCGTCGTGTGTGAAGGCGCCGTCACCGAGCACAGCGTCCCAACCGATACGGGTGCAGCCAAACGAGCGGAGAATGAACTCCAGGGGTGCCTTGGGCGCCTCTCTGGAGATGTAGAAGACGAAGGGCGCAAACAGAGAGCCGGCCTCCTCGCCGCTCAGGTCGGGTTGGGGAAGGGTGTCGGCCTCGGGGGCGGCGGGCTCGAACTTGTCGATGGCGTCGGTCGCCTCTTCGGTCGCCTCGGCGGGTTGCTCCTCCGTGGCTTGGTCCAGACCAGCGCTCTTGATGACCTTGTCGACCTTGGCCTGCACGTCACCGGAAACCTCCTGGTTGGAAGACTTGCTGGCCTGCTTGCTGGCGTCGATAGCCTTGGGGGCTTCGCCGACCGAGCGTCCCTCGAGGGTGAAAGCCGCCAACTCGGCGCCATTCTCGTCACTGCGGGTATCGAACTTGGGAGGGTATCTGAGACCGAGAGTGGAGTACAGGCGGTAGTTCACGAATCCTAGCAGGGTGGTGTAGAATTCGACGAAAGTGGCCATGATGCGGTAATCGACATCGCCGTTGACGCGCTGGACGAATCGGTAGGGCACCAGCCACATAATATCCTGTCCCTGGATGGTAGCCTGGTAGTAGATACCCTTGATCGAGAGGAAGGACTTCCGCAGGGAGTTGGTGGTGATGAGGTAGTGCTGGAACTCATGGCACAGGCGCTGGCACAGAGCGATGGTCTTGGGAGGAACGTGGGCGGAAGAGGGAAGGTTGGCGAAAAGGAAGAGCAAGGAAAGAGCATCGTCGAGGTCTCTCAGGGCATCGATGAAAGTCGGGTAGCGCTCCTTGATGACATGGTCGAGGGTAAGTTTCGGCGCATGGTTCTTCTCCAGGCGAGAAGCATCCCCGACTTCTCCACGGCCAAGGGAGCGGGCGATCTTCTTGGCAAGGGCCTTCTGTTCACGGAACTTGCGGAGAAGGGGTTCGTGCAGCAGATACTGGATATCCTTGGTGTAGTAGAAAGTGGTGTTGGGGGTCGAAGTCCTCGAGGCCTTCTTCTTGCTTCGAGGCTCACGGGGATAGATACCTGTCCGACGATAGAGTGGCAACGATCAGCATGTGAGACGACATAAGATACAGATAGATCAAGATAATCTGTGTATATCATCGGAGGGAAGTCATACCCTTGAAGATACATAGTCGACGGAAGTCAGGCAGAGAGATCTGAAGTTTGCGCACTGCCTGCGTTCTGGTGATGTAGTTTTTGGCCTGGCCAGAGGTTCCTGCGTCTCAAATTAGCGAGAAATCAATCGCATAAAGAGAGGCGCTATGCGAACCCTTCTTCTTAATCTTAGCCATTTTTGCAATGGGGGGATTGGATCAAAAATCGAGGGATGAGTGACTTGAAAGAAAGATCCGATAACCAGAAAAATCGTTGATAAGTTTTTTTTTTTCTTTTCTTTTTTGGAGCAGCGGCGCGGACGTGGTCCGTGCACGGCGGAAAAGGGCAATGCGCGGAGTTCCGCTTGGCACGTGAAGCCAACAACAACACTTAACACCAATCTGATTTCCCCCCGCGCTGCTGTTATTCAATTGCATGCCACTTCCGGCATGCTCTGATATTCTCCTCTGATACGAAACAGTATGGGGGTTGATCGCAGAAAAGCTGCCGTTTTCGGTGGTGCTTTTGCTCTGCGACTTCTGCTACTGGTGTTGTTCCCTTCGCTCCCCGACTTGTTGACTGGCCGAGTTGAGGTCTCAACCCCGGTCACCAGCTTCAAACGACGTTAGTCCCTTGAACTGGAGAAGACTGCCCTGTGTGATGGAAAGCTAACCCCTCGCAGTACAAGAAGGTCTCTTTCTCTATACTCGCAATGTTTCCCCCTATGATGGAGGCGTCTTCCATCAGGTACGGACGGCACTCACACAGACCAATGCGGATGAGATCGGGCTGACAATGTGAAGGCGCCACTTCTTCTTCCGATTTTCTCGCTACTGCCCAGCTCCCCAGGCTTCCCCTTTCCGACGGTCGTGCTATACTCTCTGATCGATTTGATAAACGCAAACGCCCTGATCACAATTGCGGAGTCGGGGTGGGCAGTCTTAGGGCGATCGTACTCGGCGATACGGAAGCATATCAGGTGGGACGGGGTGACAATCGCAGCATGGTACGGAAACCACTAGGTGACGAGGTCATCCTTGGGGATATCATGATTGACTTTGTCAGGTTCTTGTTTAACCCCTTCACCATCGCAACATGTCTGGGCCGGTCCACCGCGGTCTTCACCTCAATCGGAATCCTGTACGCGCTTTCTAGTGCCGTCACTGGAAAGACCTTCAATTCGATGCTCGCACTGGGCTTTGCCTCGTATCTATCGATCTACCCGGCGTTACTCTACATCCCACTCATGCTTCTGTGCTATGATCAGCGTACGCAGACAGCCAAGACCTGCCCCAGCACTACCGTTTTCGCACTTCAGCACCTGGCAATTTTCGTCCTCAGTATTGCCGGCTTGCTTGGGATATCAGCTCTCCTCATTGGGGACTTCAGAGCGTTTGTTTCTGCTACATATGGGTTCCAGTTGCTTGTCCCGGACCTAACGCCCAATGTTGGTCTTTGGTGGTACTTCTTCATCGAGATCTTCGACTCCTTTCGCGAATTCTTCCTCGGGGTCTTTTGGCTCCACTTGGCCTCCTACATGGGCGGTCTTACGATACGCTTAAGAAGACAGCCTCTGTTCGTGTTGAGCTCCCTGCTGGGAATCTTTGCCGTCTTCAAGCCCTACCCCAGCATATCTGACGCCTCGCTGTACTTTGCACTCTTCCCGCTGTACCGACATCTATTCCCTCGTGAGTAGCTCATTCGCCGCGTGGCTGGAAACCCAACTAACAGCAATCAGTAATGCGCTATACCTTCTTCGCCGTCTCGGCGTTGCTCTACGCCACGCTCCTGGGACCGGCATTTTATTACCTATGGATCTACGCCGGCTCGGGCAACGCCAACTTCTTCTACGCCATCACTCTCGTCTGGAGCTTAGGGCTTTCCATCCTGCTGGCCGACACGATCTTCGCCGCCTTACGCGACGAATGGGAGTACGACAACCCCGAAGTACGGGGCAAGGACGTGAAGCAAGTGTAAATTAATCTATCTATGTCTTATACACAGTACAGTAGAAAAGCCAGCCCGTCACTCTGTGGCCCATCTTTCCCTCGCATACACCCTCGAGAGAATCCGATAATCGGGATCCTTGACTGTTCCATTCCTCAACCGCCGGGGCCGGGGCGAGCTCTCATCGACCCCGAACCCCAACCGCTCGTAGAACCGGATCGCCGCCCCATTCGCCCGGAAGACGGTCAACATGGCCTTGGCCATGCCCAGCCGCTCCCCGATCCGCAAGAACACCCGCATCAGCTGCGCCCCCAGCCCCTGCCGCTGCACGCTCGCCGCCAGATGCACCTCGTAGCAGTAGACCACTTCGAACCCGTCCTCGTACGTGACCATGAACGAGAGGAAGCCGAGCACTTCCTCGTCCTCCTGCTCATTTTCGGGCCTCGTCTCCCGGGACTGGGGCGTGGCGCGCCGGAGAACCAGATACTTGATGTCGGGCAGCTGCATCTCCTTGCGCTTTTTGGGGGGGGACCAGCCGATTGAGGAGGCGCGGTAGGCGTCTGCCGAGGTGGTTTCGATGAGCTGGAAGCATTGCGTGAAGAGGGTGGGCGGCAGCGTTGCGGCGGTGTAGAGTGTGATGGTGTAGTGCTGTTGCTGTTGCTGTTGCTGCTCTTCCGTGTTGACCTGACTGGTGATGTGGAGGTCTTCCTTGGGAACGTAGAGGTTGATGAATTCGGCCAGGGGGAGGGCGTTGGTGCGTTCGACTAGTGGTTGCGTTGGTTGGGGTTGGGGTGGTGGGGCTGGGGTTGTGGGTTAGTATGTTGGGGTTCCTGGGGCTTGGGGTAAGCTTACTGGGTTGATTTCGGGGTTCAATTTGGGAGGCTTCATGTTGGGATTGGGATTGTAGAGTTGGTGATGTTGATGTTGGCTGGGTTGGTTTGCGGGATGCGCGTCGGATTCCCCGCTTGCTGTTGGTGGGTGGTTTGGTTACTCGGTGGGAGGAGGTGGTGGGCATTGTTTCTGAGTGGAAGGGTGGGCGTGTTTGTTATTTACAGGTCGATGCGGGGATTTAAGGCTCAGGAAGATTGTTCTAAATGCATTGAGACGATACTTCCCCAAATATGTGGGTTTGTTGTCGGGGAGGAGGGGATTTTTGTGCGGGTGCGTTCCGGAGGTCTACTCTTGCTGGTGGTGGTTTGGTTCCGCTTGCATTTGCATGCATGGGTGCATTTTCATGCACGTCTAACCCATTATCTATCCTGGAGACAACTCATGTGTTGCTGACAAGAGTGAGTTGGGTCGTTACACGTAGACTTTTCTCTCGAGAAGTATATGCCATCATAGGGGGATACTGTCAGTGGCGCTATATATATCACAGACCTCCCGAAACTAAACCGAGGGGGGGAGCTTATGACTGCTGTCGTTGTTTCGCGGCAAACTCCTCCGCTCGCCTCTCGGTCTCCTCTGCGCCCACCTCCTTGAAGACGTCCAGGCCCCACTGGAACGGAAATCCGTACCGCAAATGGCGATCCAGCCTGTTTAGAGTTTCGAAGATGTGCTCGGGAAGGATGACATCTGAAAGTCCGGTCAGTCACGCGGTGCATGGATGCGATGGAGATTCGCTTGCAACATAGTATATGAGTACCGTACCCTGAAAGTTGCTCTCAATCCGAGATGGTGTCACGCTCTTGGATAGCACGGCAGTACCACGTTGCACGGCCCAAGAGATCAACAATGTGGCGGGGTCTTGGTTCAGCGAGCTGGCTAGCTGTTTGATGAAAGGGTCGTCGATGACACTATTTCAGGTCAGTGAATGATCGGGTTGGACCTTAGGTTCGACATAAATACCGCGGAAGGCCGGCAAGGTTGTTGCCAAGAGGACTGTATGCGATAGGTAGGATATCCTGTATCTGGTCAGGGGTGCTCAATCCACATAACAAAAAGTACTGCAAAGGATAGAAACCGTCTACCTTGTCCTTGAGATACTGAATCAACTCGGGCTGTAGCAGATAGGGATGCGCCTCGATCTGGTTGGCAGCTGGCGGGATCTCCGCGGTCTGGAGGAGCTCGTCGAGATGTTCCTGGGTGAAGTTGCTCACTCCGATACTACGGACCTTGCCTGACTTGACAAGCTTCTCCATGGCCTTCCAGGTATCGCCGATAGGGACTTTGGCCAACTTGAAACGCTTGGTGACCGGATCAACAGGCTTCAGCTCTTCCCCGGCATACTCGAAAGCCACTGGCCAATGGATCTATCGTCTCTCAGCAACGGTGCCAATGTTCGAGTGAGGAGGCCATCGCACCAAGTATAGATCCAGATAATCGGTCTGGAGGTCTTTCAGGGTCTTGTCGAGTTGCTCCTCCACATGCTCGGGGCGGTGGTGCGTGTTCCAGAGCTTGCTAGTCAACTGTTCCTTAAGAGATCAATAAGAGTAAGATTCAAGCGAGGGTGGCTCGGGGACTGACGAAGATCTGCTCTCGAGGCACGCCCGATTTCTTCCAGCCCCTCCCGACCTCGTTCTCATTCCGGTAGACAGGGGCACCGTCGATATGACGATATCCTGTTCGCAGAGCCACTTCGACTGCGTCTTCGACCTCATGAGGTTTGGACAGCTTGCATTTGTTAACAAGATTCACCTTGCGACGCTGAAGCTCTCAGCACGTACCCAGGTACCCAGGCCAACGGCAGGGATTTCGTAGCCGGAGTTGAGCTTGAAGGTACGTCCGAGGGACATCTTGTTCGTACGGAAGCTTTGTTGGATCTATGTGAAATGTCTGGATTATACGTGGGCAAGAAGTGCAATATAAATCTATCTTGATCCTGGAGCGGATACGACAGGAAGAAGCGGGCTAGAATGATTACAGTTAAGGCCGTTGACTACCCCTCCATCCTTTTTGACAAGTGCTTACTCCGTACCTCTTTATGAGACACTACTTTATTATGGTTTTCCATTGTCGATCCATCCCATCACCACACGACGATTTCGCAATTCTCATGGTGGAATATCATTTATCTTTGACAATACCTCCCCACCAGTTGGTATAGGATGGAGAATATCCTCCCCGTTGCGCAAATTGATCATAACGGTGAGTTCTCGCTGTGAGGGGTCCGTATCTTGAGGCTAAACGTCATTTCTCTCCATCCAAAGTTCGGAATTTCCCGTCTTTGCTACAAGGAACAATTACAATAACTGCGACCTCAAGAAATCGTAATAAACTCAGCACAATGAACTTGGGCACGATTGACCCACCAACCATGGCATAGGCAGTTGTTTACATGTTGCCCCGCCGGGTTGAACCGATTGCACTTCTGCCGCGATGCGCGAGATGTGTTGTCTTGATAAGGCTCAGAATGGTCGACAATCAGCAAATTGGAATACTATTCAACGACCCTGAACGAAGACTGTGAACGATCACAAATCCAAATGCTTCCATCCCATGCATGGAACAAGTTGCTGGCGGGCAGATTTGGTTGGTGGTTCGCGGGTGAAAGGGAAGAACGGCGGAGTGGGGCAGAGATTCTTCAGCAGATTCACAACTGCCGGCTGCATCGCACTCTTTCAACTTACTCATATTTTGTTCTAGGGCGCTGGAGCTTTGCCAATTGCTAGAAAGCACTTTCCTGCAAATTGCCTATCGTCTCAAGCTCGAAAGCCTCAAAATGCATCTCCCCTCAATATTCAGCACAGTTGGTTGACATTGTCGGCCCAGCTCGGCATTCTAGAAGAACCGGCGAAGCAGAACCATCTCCACTCTCCCGCGGTATCTTGCAACCTTTGCCCAAGACCTTTGCATGGTTATCAGCATGGAGAACCGCCTCGAAGACGCTATGAAGCCACTGATTCGTCCAATGGATTGAATGTCTCCGTCTCGGACGGTTATCGGACCGTTCTTGAACGTTAATGCTTCAATTATCACTTATTAATCATACGGTTTGAGTTGTGGTGGAGCTCGCCCTCTTACGTCAATCATCCAAAGCTGTGTCTCCATATAACAGCTCCCCCACCAACCTATTTTCGCCAGTTTCAGTGAACATCAAAACACTTCATTTCTCACAATCGACTTTGCTTGCGCAGCTCACTAGGCTTTCATCAGACAATATGGCCCCCTCGACTCATAAGCAGTGGACTGTCCAGAACAAGGAGGATGGTTTCAACGCCCTCAAATTCGCCGAAGCGCCTGTCCCCAAGGTCGGCGAGAATGAGGTCTTGGTGAAGTTTCACGCTGCCTCGCTCAACTACCGCGACCTGATCATTCCCCAGGTATGCCGTCATGATATGGGACCAGTCACTGCTTTTTGCTATCGTACCTTCAGCTAATGATCTGGACTGCTGCAGGGATCCTACCCCTTCGCTCTCAGCTTCCCAGTTGTACCTGGCTCCGACGGTGCCGGTGAGGTGGTCGAGACGGGCTCCAAAGTCTCCCAGTTCAAGAAAGGAGACAAGGTGGTCACTCTCTTCAACCAGCTGCATCAGTACGATCCCATCGACTCCAAAGGCACCAGCTCCGGCCTGGGTGGAGTAATCGATGGCACCCTCCGTGAATATGGAGTCTTCAACGAGAACGGCCTCGTCCGAGCCCCCAGAAACTTGAACTACATCGAGTCCAGCACGCTCTCCTGCGCCGCGCTCACGAGCTGGAACGCTCTGTATGGTATTAGACCTCTGCTGCCCGGACAAACCGTGTTGGTACAGGGAACTGGCGGTGTCAGCATGTTCGCATTGCAGGTAGGTGGTTCAGCCCGAGCATGACATCTCCCAGCGAACTAACCACGGGAGATCTAGTTTGCCAAAGCCGCTGGTGCCACAGTTATTGCCACCACCTCATCGGACGAGAAGGCCAAGAAGTTGAAGCAGCTGGGCGCTGACCACATCATCAACTACAAGACCCAGCCCAACTGGGGTGAGGTTGCCCGCAGCCTTACTCCCGACAACGTTGGTGTCGATCACATTGTTGAGGTTGGCGGCAGCGGTACCCTGGAGCAGAGCTTCAAGTGCATCAAGTTCGAGGGTGTGATCAGCATCATTGGATTTGTGGGAGGTGTCGACCCTAAGTCGCAGCCCCCCGTGCTTGCTACCTTGAGCAACATCTGTACGGTGCGGGGTATTTATGTTGGCAGTAAAGCCATGATGAACGATATGGTCAAGGCGATTGAGGCTAATGACATCCATCCGGTGGTGGACGAGCAGGTCTTCACTCTCGAGAAGACCAAGGAGGCCTATGAGTACATGGTAAGTCGATTATCAATTGATCTGACTGTGGTTGAAAAGTCACTAATGAGAGCAACAGTGGGCCCAGAAGCACTTCGGCAAGTTGGCCATTAAGATCGAGTAAATGAGAGAGAGCCAAGCCAAAGACCATAAGTAATGGAGACACGAGTGTATGAGTACAGACGTACATAGACAATGACAGTTATTGTGTAATACAGCGATGAAATTGTTGGCAATGAGATGCATTGATACCTTAGGTAAGGATAGAGTGGGAGGAGGAGCTCGAAGCTCATTGGGAGGGGGAAGGAATCCCCTCACCCGCGCGTGGCCACCTCATCATTACATCCAATGACTTTCTCCACCTCCGCTGCCTCCACAGTTCACTCCCAATTCATTCTCCCTCCATTCTCTTTCATGGATCCAAACATTTTTATTCTTTGGACTCACTGGACACTACTATTTCCATGCTTGATTGTGACTTAGCCACGGTCTTCATTACTACCTCTTCTACAATACAATTTCAGCTGTCATAGTACCCGATGCAGTCCGATACCAGATATAGATCGACTCTTCCTATCTGCGGGCCTGATCGCAAGTATATCAAGAAGTCCCAGGTTAAATTCACCCGGCCAGCCCAGATGAGTCTGTTCGCTCGAGTAACAAGCTACCCCCCCTTGGGTCAGATAACATGTCTCAAGAGCGCTGAGCCGGTAAGCCTCTACCGGAAACACTATGATCACTGCTCGAGACACTAATGGGAAGATAGCTTCGCTTCACAGTAGTCCTCGAGTCCAGTACTACATTCCCCATCCAACCATGGGAGGTGCACGTATGGCACAATATCACTGAGAGCACCGAATGGACAGCACTGCCGCTCCAGAGATGCGACTCCTCCGTCGCACCGCTCCTCAACAGCAATGCAGAGGAGTACCACTACTTCCGTAACGTCTTCTCCGGGGAAATTGGCCCGCCTGAAAACCCGGGTCATGCTCAATTCACCGTGAGGTACCGGGTCAACTCCGATGCGGAATGGCAATGGGTCAACCAGCAGCAACACATCAGCGACGGAGAGCTTCTCTTTCCCGCCCAGACGCCAACCTTTGACTTAGAAGAGCCGGCGCCGGCGACGGATTTCGCCAAGTACTTCAAAAGCCTCTCCTCATACGTCGCGATTCAGCCGCGCAGGAGCGAAGCGCCCGGGTCCAACCTCTGGCACGTCACGGGGCCGGTCACTGCCGCGCGCGAGGGACAGTCGGGCCTCACGAACCTGTCGCTCGGGGTGCCCGCCTCCGTGGCGCGGTATTTTGCCCTGGTGCGGATCTGGAGCCCGTGGCTGGGGCCACGGCATGGGAAGGGGAGCTTCACGTTGAGTGAAGATGCGATTCTGTGTTCGTTTCTGCGGACGGATGGGGTGCATGTGGTTCTCTTGGCCGTGTCGGGGGTGGACGATGTCCTGACATTGTTTGGTTCTGGGGAGGACGGGGCGGTGGTGGTCAAGGCCAAGAATGATAGCACACAAGCCGCCAGGTTTCAGATCCTGGCTGCAGCTGCGCACGATTTCGAGGTGGCGATGAGTGCCGTGATCTACGAGGCTCGGAAGTTAACCCGCCCGTACGCCGAGCCGGCTGAATCCAGCCGAGTGCCAACCCCGGTGTCTCCACCTGGAGATGATATCGTGGTGGTCGAGAAGGATAAGGATGTCAAAGCCCAGTGGCTGGCGGAATGGTACGATGGTCTGACGTATTGTACCTGGAACGGCCTGGGCCAGGACCTGACAGAGGAGAAGATCCTTAGTGGGCTGGATTCCTTGAAATCGCACGGCATTAAGATAGCCAATCTGATCATCGATGATAACTGGCAGACATTAGACAAGGGCGACTCTCAGTTCACCCGAGGTTGGAAACAGTTTGAAGGAAACCCGGATGCTTTCCCCAAGGGCTTCAAGCAGACTATCCAGAAGATTCGGACCACTCATCCGAACATCCATCATATCGCAGTGTGGCATGCCATGTTGGGGTACTGGGGCGGCATCTCGCCCGATGGTGAATTGGCAAAGCTGTATAAGACAAAGCGAATAGAGATCACAGACCCGGCAGCGGGAGGTCCGATTGTGCACGCCTTCGAGCGGGGGTCGCTACTAGCCATCGACCCCGACGACATTCAACGATTCTTCGACGACTTCTACAACTATCTCGCCTCGGTGGGAGTTGATTCGGTCAAGGCCGACGCGCAATTCTTCCTCGACCTGATCAAAGACCCCGCCGACCGCAAGCGGTTCATGAATTCGTATCTCGATGCATGGTCCATCTCGACCCTGAAGCACTTCAGCACCCGGGCGATCTCGTGCATGTCGATGATCCCCCAGGCAATCTTCCACTCCCAGCTGCCTACCAACAAACCGACGATCCCGCTCCGCAACTCGGACGACTTTTTCCCCAACATCGAGGCCTCCCACCCGTGGCACGTATTCTGCAACGCCCACAACGCTCTGCTGACGCGGTACCTGAACGTCGTGCCGGACTGGGACATGTTCCAAACCAGCCACCCCTACGCGGGCTTCCACGCCGCCGCGCGCTGCGTCTCCGGCGGCCCGATCTACATCACCGACGAGCCGGGCAAGCACAACCTCGGCCTCATCGACCAGATGACCGCGCCGACCATCCACGGCGCGACCGTCATCCTCCGGCCCGGGCTGGTCGGCCGCACGCTAGACGTCTACCACGACTACAACGAAGGCCACGTGCTGCGCGTCGGCACATACACGGGCTGGGCCCGCACCGGCAGCGGCATTTTGGGACTCTTCAACATCTCCAGCGCAGACAGAACCTCCATCATCCACCTCCGCGACTTCCCGGGCATCCACCCCGACTCGACGGGCGAATACATCGTCCGCGCCCACACCAGCGGCAAGATCGCCGAAACCCTGCAGGTCTCCGACGCGAAAGCCCTGGTCTCCGTCGAAGTCAAGCACAGGGGCTGGGAGATCCTCACCGCGTACCCGACGCACGCCTTCTCCCTGACCCCGCATAACACATCCCCGTCCTCAACCGTCGCAAACCCATCAACACCAACAAGAACTACGAAAGTGGCCGTCCTCGGCCTTCTCGGCAAAATGACCGGCGCCGCCGCACTCGCCAACTCGGACGTCTACATCGAAAACAACGGCCGGCTCCGCGCGGACATCAGCCTCAAGGCGCTCGGCACATTGGGGGTGTATTTCTCGGATCTGCCAAGGTGGGACATCGATGGGAACTTCATGGTGACGATTCTGGGGAAGCCGGTGCCGCGGAAGACGGTGTGGAAGATGGGGGCTGCGGAGGAGGGGGATCGAGGTGATGGTGATGGCGACGGGGATGGGAAGGACGGTGCCAGGGTTCTGGCGGTGGATGTGTTGGCGGCGTATAAGGAGATGGGCTTGCGGCCGGGATGGAGTAATGAGGTTTTGGTAGAGATCTTTGTGCGGTGAGTAGCACTCATGAGTCTGGTTTCTTCATCAGATGGGAAGCGTGCATGTGTGTGTGGAAGTAGGCCTGGCTTTGGGACTTCTCAGAGATGACCCAGATGAAAGTTCAAGAAGTTCAAGCGGCTGTAGTAGGATGAGATGAGAAGAGAGATTATATTCATAGCATTCTGACGCAATCAAGTAAACAAAGCGTAATCATCATCATTAAGGAGCCCACTGGGCCTGCAAAGCAGAGCAGATATCGCCACCAAGCACCCAACCTTAACCCGACAAAAACACGAAGACAAACGATAAAAAATCCAGCACCCCGCCATTTCGAACCAAGACAGTCGACTGTGCCCAAAATACTTCAATAATCACCCGTCGGAATCCCCCCGGCCAAAGGAACATGCTGCCCATGGAACCCGAACGCCACCGGCCCGTCGACCCTCGCCTTCCCCAGCACGGACAGATCCCGCGCATCCAGACACAGCAGATAACTCTTGCCGGAATGCCCATCCAACACCACGCTCAGCAACACCCCATCATCCTCGTTCGTGCCCTGCGGGTCCGCCACGAAGATCGGTTCCCCGGGGGAATGCGCATGCTGGACCCAGATCTGCGGGGTCTCCGGGTGGTCGTTGTCGAGTTTCATGATGCAGTCGAAGAAGGTGGACTCGCCGCGGGCGCCGATGGAGTAGGTGTACCGGTTCTTGCGGGTGACGAAGCTAGGGTTGAGGGTGGGGAGCTCGGGGGAGATGGGTTTGCAGGTGGTGCGTTCGAGGATTGCTTTTTGTGGGTGAGGGTTTGGGGATGCGGGAGCGGGGATGAGCGGGAGGCGGAAGCGGGCGACGGTGGAGCGAGTGGTGTCGGTGCGGCCGGGGGCGCTGAGGCGGGCTTTGGCGGGGCTGGTGTTGGAGAGCAGGTTTTCGTAGTACAGGGAGAAGAGGAAGTCGAGGTTGTCGAACATGACGAGGTCCGCGACGATGTCGATGTCTTCTCCGCTGCTGCTGCTGCTGGAGGCGGACGGTTCCTGCCAGGCGTTGATGCTGTGGAAGCAGAAGAAGGGCGGGCCGGTGTATGTGCCAACCAGGCCCTGGCTGCCCTGGCGATCGATGACATACCACATTGAGGGCTTGGTGGGGTCGAATGGCTCTATCGCGTCGAGAACGCTGTGGACGGGGGTGTCGAAGACCGAGACGTCCAGATGCGCGTTCCACACGCAGATGATCACGTAGTCTTCGGTGAGGAAGAGGGAGTGCAGGTAGGCGGGCGTGGCGGGGAAGGTCGCCAGGATCGTGGTCTCGCCGGTGGATGCGGAGGTGCGGAAGACGCGATACGTGGGTTCCGGGCTGTGTGTGAGGTTGTAGTTGAAGACATCGCCGGTTTTGGGGTCTGAGCGGGCGTGCGCGGCGGCCCTTTCGCCCGTGAGGTCGGGATGGAGGTTCTGCTGGCGGGCGAGACCGAGGGGCTCCAGGGTGACGGGGTCTAGCTGCTTGAAGATGTTGTAGTCGGTCTTGGCCCACAGGGTCTTGATCCCCGTCGACGTGTCCCAGCGGTCACTGGTTTCAGTCCCCAGGCCGGGCATATTGACCGACAAAGTGACCCCAACGTTCACGGCGGCGGGGTGAGGGGGAGTCGACTGGCTGGCTGGCTCGTATTCGGTTTGAACCTTGTCATAGACGGCTTTGCAGGGATCGCGCTTCTGGCCGAAGGTGGTCGGTTTTAGGCTCCCTGACTTGCGGGTTTCTTCGATCAGGTGGTCTACCGAGAAGCGAGAGTTGTAGTAGACTCGCAGGGGGTGGTCGGCATCAGAGGCGACGAGCTGAAAGCGATGGGTTTGACTGTATCCATCGAACCAGTAGCTGAGTTCGACCGTCTCCCCCTGCTCAGTGTCGACTTTGTAACTTCCTGGCCCGGTGCGGTACAGCGTGCCAGCCGTGTAGGCAGGAATGATACCCTCCACTGGGAGTTCGACGGGGTCTTTGACTTCGTAATTGGCATCGAACTGGAGTATCATTAGTCTCAGCCGTTGATCTCTAAGTAGAGGCTCTTACGCCTTGAACGTTGGGCCAATTGTTGAAGTGGTCTTCAGCCTGAGTTTTCTGGGTGGTGGTCATGTTTGCTCGGGATTTGCTTGAATAGATCGGATTGTTTAAGATATGCCTGTGCTAAGAAGCAGGAGCTGTTGAGGACCAAGTAAGCCGCATCTCTGCTGAAGGAGATGGGTTCTTATATATGCCTGGTGAAGGCGAAGAGGTGGAGGGATCCCGCTGATAGAGTTGGTGGAGGAATCCCGGAAATAGCGTAGTTATAGTTTACTTGCTTACTTCCATCTCTTTGTAGTTCTGTTTGCATGGATCGGACCCCGGCGGGATTCCCCCACATTTCCCCGCCACTGCTGACGCCGACATTTCCAACTCTCTTTCACCATTCACCATAACTGTGTTCTCGACTACTTTTGGCCAAGTAAGGCACCAAAAGGTCTTACCGGTTTCAGTCAAGTTGAATTGCCGACCCTGTCAGTCTACATACATAGCTTCAGCATGACCGCACGATCCAGATCCGCGGAGACACAAGATCCACCCACCAAATGGAGCTGCGCCTCCTGCGATGCAATATTCCAACGGATTGACCACTACAAGCGCCACATCACTTCCCGTACGGTTTCCTTGCCTCCACCTCTAGCACAAAGTATTTCTTTGTTGACCGACAGCAGATAGCGCAGACAAACCGTATCAGTGTTCCTTCTGCGCCTCTCGCTACAGACGAGGGTGAGCCCGCTTCTTTTATGAGTTTTCATCTCATCTCGCACTCGAGCTCACTATTAATGAACACAGCGACGTCCTTCGTCGACACTGGAAGACCTGTCCCGCGCGCCATCAGGCCGGGTATGCGATCCCAGAGCCCCGAACAGGCGGCAAAGAACGACATGCATGCGATGCATGTGCGCGTCTGAAAAAGGCTTGTGATGGGGGGAACCCGTGTCTAGAATGTGGGATCAAGGGAAGAGAAGAGTGCACCTACCGGCGGGTTGATGAGAGTAGTGAAGGGACGGTCGTGCAGAGCGAACGACTTCCAGAACCGCAGCTGGGCTCCGGGTCCGGAGAGGATCCCGCTGCCCTGCCATGGACTTTAGGCCCGGGGAGCTTTTACTCGCTGGACGCTGCGAAAGAAAGTACCTATCGGTACTTGAAGTGACTGAATGGGGGGCGTTACTTATCACGCTTGGGCGGGTTGATGATACCCAAAACATGTATTGCAGAATGCGCTTAACCCCGGGCACCCCAGGACGGGCTGTCACGGGGTTAGGGCTTGCAACCCTGCCCAAGACGGCTTCAGGGAGGAGACTGTCCTTGCCGGTGAATACATGCCCTGCTGGCGGACCCGCTCGGACTGCGGCGAGTCAATTGGCCAGTCTATTGCTGCCCACGAAAAGGGTTTGAGGAACAATGCCAAAAGCAAGTACACGCTACGAAGCTAGGATCCTAGCCGTGCAGCTTTGCAATGCTCTCAGTGACACACTCTCAGAGCCTGTGAGCAACCTTGTGAGAGAAGCATCCAGGAGAAGGAGGAGTACCGATGGAGATGTGAGGTTGCCTCTCTCCGTTTCTCTTTTGTGATCGAGGCACAGGTAGTGGCCCTAAAGCTACTTCTTCTGGAACTTATGAGGTAGGCATTCTAAGAATCTCGGAAAAACTTTGCAAATGAAGTAATGGGATATGCTGCATGACCGGGTAGAAGCCCCCTTCCCTACAAAGTGGTGACGCCAGTCCCCATGCCGTGTTTTATGTTTCTGCATAAGGCTTTATTCAAACACATAATACTGATGCATTGGATACTCGAACAAAGGAGCTATTCTATACGTGGACATGATGGAAGAATGCATTGGATGAAATCCAAATGAGCCTGGGTCTAGTCTACGCCATGAATATCAGAATGTGAAAACAGCTCCCACTAGAAAAAAAACACTTCATTCCACTGTTCCACTCCTGTTGCAAGACTCAACAATAAATTAACTACACGACATAAAACAATTGGTCTGCCCCTGCGTCCCCAACGAGTCCAGATACGGGTCCGGCCGGCGCAGGTAATCCGCCAGGAAATTGGCGCAGTGGGCAACATGGCCCGAATCCGCCAGCATGGTATCCACCCGATCCCCTCGCTTGTAAACATCATGACCGCGCCGAAGCAGATAGAGGCAGTGCACCAGATGCTCGCGGGTCACCGTGAAGTAGTACCCCTGCTCGTTGTTCCCGACCTCGGTGTAATCCTTCATCGGGTGCTGCATCTCGTGGTCGTAGTAGTACTGGAAGGGCTTGCCGTCGTTGAAGGTTGCAAATTCCTCGGAGTAGTCATGGGGGCAGTCCTTGTGCAGCCAGCAGGCGGACAAAGGATCGTACGAGCAGCCCAAACTGGTAGCCTCGGCGGTGGAGTTGCCGCAGGAGAGCGTGGTGTGGCGGTTCGTGGAGAAGCACTGTCGCTGGCCGTTGATGATCGACGAGGACGACGAGAGCTTCACGACGAGGACCTGGCGGAACGGCTCGATGGTAATGGCCGCGATGACGGCGAGCACGAGCAGAACCAGGACCAGGAGAAGGCCTGAGATCGTGATGGCCGTCAGATTCCGCTTGAGGAATTGCTGGATCGAGTGCCGGCGGCGCGAGCCAGGCCCGATTATGGTGGTGGTGGTGCCATCGCCGCTGTTCTCCGTCTTGGGAACAGGCTCGTAGTTGTGGTGGTGAGGGAAGATCTTGTCCATCGCCATTGATCTCGTGCTGCTACTTGAAGTACAGCATCTCACGACTTTCTACCCTTGCGGTCATTCAGCCAAGGCCTTCTTTGGGAAGTAACGGCATTTGGTATCTATTTGTATGTGAGAGTGACTTGGAGAAGATGACGAAGACAGGCCTCAATAAGCACCGTTAAGGACTGAGAATGGTGATCAATAGAGGGGGCGAAGACAAAGAGCACAGATCTTGGCAGCAGGAACTGGTTGAGCTTACCGAGATCAGACTGGGACTCGGGAGAATGGCACGCCTGCCTAATCGAGCCCGAACAAAGACACACCTCAGTGGACACACGCGGGAATTCCCGCAGTCAACCTGAATCAACCTACTCTCTACTTGTCAACAACCACTGCTTAGAACTTCATTAAACACTATTGCGGACTTTTATTATCATCTGACAGCCATTATGACAAGGCTGCGAACGCTCCCCCTCTTCTCAATTATGAGTTGTTGCCCGTCACGGCCCCCCATATATACGCAGCCCAACTGCCCAGCGTGAGCAGCAACAAGGCTGTGAAACACCCGATCGAGATGCGTTTGCTCCGCTCGTAATGCTCGACGAGGTGGTGCTGCTGTAGCATCGCGAAGAACTCCGCGCCCAAAGCATGACGCTTCTTCCGTGACCATTGCAGGGGCGCCAGATCCCTACCCACATAGGATCCGATCAGGAGAACAATTGAGACGATGGCGCAGCAGACCGCCAGGAAGAGATAGACCCGCACGGCGCGATGGTAGGAATCGTTATCGGCATCCTGAAGGGCACCAGTGATGATACCAATGATAATGGTCATGCTGGAAAAAAAAGGGGGTTAGAGGACACTCTGTTTGGAGAACGTTGAGAAACGTACGCATTGTTCATCGTCACTTTCAGGGAGTACGCAGACCCAAACACTGACTGATGCCAGAGAGTGGTACGGATACCGTCGATGATAGAGGTCGGTCCCAACGACACCGCAACGGCATAAATACCAAACGCCGCGGCAGTTCCCTGCTTCGCTGAGGCGTAGTTGACCAGGATCATACTGATGAACATTCCGAGACCGCACACGCACACTATCATCTGTCTTAGTGGGGACACCCATGGCCAAACTTTGGAAGGACTTGACTCACAGACTGAGGCTCGGTGACCGAGGATATCAATGAAAACGCCTAGGCAAGGAACAAGGAAGAAGCCTAGACCATATTAGAAGATGCCATCTTAAGACCGAGCCAAACACATACCAGCATATTGAGCCAAAGCGCTGTACCAGCCAGCTTTGATGGCGTCGACATTGAATCTCTTCTCGGCCAATTCCGTCGCATTGGAGCTGAAGACACTGGCGGTACTGGTTTGGAACATCGAAAAGGCCATCACGGCCCAGAACATCCAAGGCAACTGGAACATCTTCCGGATCTCGAACTTCTTATTCTTCTCCACCAATTCTTCCTGGGTCGCCTTGTCTTCGCGACCACGGTAGTGCTTCTCGCAGTAGCGGTTGAATATCCAGAAGAACACGGTGGCTGCGTTCGTGAAGAGATTCATGAAGACAGAGGTCCAGAACACCCAGGCAAAATTGCCAGTATTCTACTGACGGTTAGATCAATGGAGCTCCAAGAGTTGCAGGGCACATACCTTGGCAATCACGTTTGCGGTGGACTTGCCGACAAATCCTCCAATCTAGTCAAAGTTAGCTTTGATGAGTCCAACGTGGTGTGGGCGCATGATTCAATACCTTTCCAATGGCGAGCTCGAATCCAAGCGTGGAAGCAAATCCGTTGCTGGGCGGAAACCAAGAGGAGAACATTTTGTATTGTGCTGTCTGGGTCGCAATGTCGCCAAGTGCGAGGATGATTCTTCCGCCGACCATGAATCTAAATGAGCGCACTGTGGTAGCAGCAGCCACCAGAATGGAACCAATGGTATACACGACATTTCCATAAACGATCATCCCTGGCAGCAAGTTAGTGTCATTGCGTTAGTGGAGGGGATCAGCAAACATACGAGCACCACCAACTCGATCCGTGACAATGCCGCCTGCGAGAAGCAGAAGGGTAGCCATGAAGTTCTCACTAGCTTCGAGAAGGGAGAATTGGGTGTTGGTCACATGCATTTGCTTTACAATCTGTCAGTAAAGCAATGATCTACCCTGGCTAGGACAACAAACCTTCTTGATTGTGCTCTTCATGGCACCGGTAACACCGCTGCTCCAGTGGGAGCCAAAGCTGATGCAAGAGATAATAACGACAGCAATCAGCTTCGCGGCCAGAGGTGGTGGTCGCCTTCTATCGACATCATTTGTACGAGGGCTCTTGGACGATTGCAAGGATGAGGTAGTCTCCGGCTCCTCAGAGACCACCTGAGGTGTGTCCTTTTCTACTCCCATTTTGCAGACAGACAGACAATCTGTGTTCTGGATGAGAAAGTGAATGTGAATGTGAGAAGATCAGCGCAATCGAAGGTGCGGGCAGACCCTGGTCGTGAGTCCATCTTTATATGGCATGAGACGTCCAGACCACTTTCTTCCTGAAAGCTCCCGGTATTTCGCCGCTTGGAGGTCATCCAGCCAAGACACGTTTAATTAGATTAGATTTTCTGGCAATCATCCGATTCTCGGGCCCTGATTTCCAGGGAGGGGAGCTTCCACACTTTTTTTGTTGTTTGGTGTCTTGGCTGTGCCAACGTTGTCGTATAGTCTCCGCCGAGAAACATGGTGATTGGGCAGGACTCAGATCTTGGCATCGATTGATAAGATTGATAGGACCCACTTACGGACAGTGTCCGAGAAGGTGAGCAGGTTCAGCACCGTTCGAGAAGATCCTTCACCTGTTGGTCTGGGTTTGTCTCACTTATCGGAGGTCGGAGGACTTAGGGCTTTGACATCCGCACCACGGCCACGTATCTTTCAGAAAAGCTTTCACCGGGAATCGAGTTTTCCATGCTTGAGCAGACATTGTCACTTTCGTTCCAGAGAGCAGCCTTGTCAGAGGGCTTGCCATCCGGCCGATTGTACATTCCTGGCCGGGCACACCACACAAGAATGGCAGAGGGCCACTTCTAGCTATCACATTATCGGCGAGAAGGCAATTAAGTCGGAGCATGGCTTCCGCCCTCGTCCAACACGTCTGAACCAGGACGTCATCAGAAGCTGGTACATGTCGAACATAAGTGCCACCCACATGCACGAGCAGCACCGAACTACAGACCCCAAAGGGTACTTTGTGTGTCAGCGTTAAGTAAAGTGATTGTCCCAGCTTCATTGACATCCCTGTTCGCCGCGACAGCCTGCTTGGCTTTGAGCAAACCAAACAACCAGCCTCTACAGCGGCTCCGTGACTGCACCGTAGCACAAACATGTGGAATCTGCTCACTTATCGGAGCAGAGATACGTACGCAGTCAGGACTACCTTCGAAGAAATGCTTGGCTCGGAGACATAGAGCCAGAGCCAGACCCCTTCAGCTCCACATCGGCCAAATCAATTCCGATCTCTCCCGTTAAGCTTCACGCAAACCGCATATCGTCGGGTAGGTAGCTGGGATTGCTGGTCATTCCCACGTGTTGGCTGCTCAAAGGGACGGGCCCGCTCACCGGCCGCAGTTCCATGGTAGCCCGGTCCTCCGCTGCCAGTATAAGGGTGGGTATCGCCACGCTGTCCGCGGAGTTGTTTTTGAAGAATTTGTGCCTCCGCGGAGCTACTCAGACTGAGGGTTTTGATGTGGCCTACGGTGCTGGAGAAAGTACTTAAGCTAAGCTAGCAAATTATGGAAGGAATAGGACAAGGATCTAGGGTTGATAAATATTGGCTTCGTTGTTCGCGTGCGGTGGTGGGTGCAAAGAAGACATATCTCCAAAAAAAAGTCTCCGCCACCCATCATGCAACCTGGAATAGATCTCGAAGGATCACTTCCACCCAAGATGGGAATGTGGCAATCTGATCTCGCAGTGGAGTTGGCTGGCCAAACAGTTTCTCACATCCCAGGGATGTCAGACTTCCAAGCTAGCGTACATAAGGTTTCTGATACGAAGCTACGGGTTAAGCTTATCGACTCGAAAAAGATTTCCCAGCAGGGGTTTTAAGCTTGAATGTTACTCCCTCGTGGCACCTGCCTTGATTGAGCCTATACTTGAGGCTACCCGGGCTAACTGTCGAAGGATTGATCTTCACAAAAAGAGGTGGGGAGCAAGGGGAGATAATTTCCATGCCATCGGTCCCTGGCCCTCGCAAGGTCGTCATGAAAGTGGCATAGCGGGAGGAGTCCACTGGTGGATCAGGTGGAGCATGGAATGAAAAGTGGGCTCGGAATTTCTTGATGCGGCTTATCTTTTACTTTAGCCAAGAGCTACTCTTCAACAATAGAGTCGCAGTATGATATCCTAGCTAGACTGGAGCCCCAAACCTCTTCCTCTCCTCGCCTCGCAGCCCATCAAAGATTTCTAGATATCACCTCCCCATCCACCCGCCATCCACAACGACCACACTCCCCGAAACATAGCCACTCGCCCGCCCCGCCGCCAGCCAAACGGTCACCCCCTTGAAATCCTCCGGGCTCGCCCACCGTCCCGCCGGGATCCGATCCAGAATACTTCTTGAGCGGTCTGCGTCATTCAGCAGCGCGGTATTCATCTCCGTCGCCACATACCCCGGCGCGACGGCGTTGACGCGCACCCCGCGCGCCGCCCACTCGTTGCTCAGCGCCTTAGTCAGCTGCGCCACCCCGCCCTTGGCGGCCGCGTAGGCGGGCACCGTCAGCCCGCCCTGGAAGGAGACCAGCGAGGCGACGTTGATGATTGCGCCGCGCTGGCCGTGCGCGTCCGGGTCCCGGGTCAGCATGTACCGGCCGACGTCGCGGCAGAGCGTGAAAATCGTGCTCAGGTTGGTCTGCAGGACGGCGTCCCAGTCGGCGTCGGGGAAGAGGTGGCTGGCGTGCCGGCGTTGGATGCCCGCGCAGTTGATCAGGATGTTGATGTCGTGGCCGTCGGCCAGGATGCGCGGGATCAGGGCGGTGATCGAGGCGCGGCAGGAGAGGTCGGCGGTGTAGATTGTTGCTTTGCGGGCGAGGGATTCGATTTGGTTTTTTGTGGTGAGGTTCGTGGGGTCGCGCTTTGGGGGGGGGGGGGGTGGGTTGGGGATTGGGGGGGGGGGGGGGGGGGGGGGAAGGGGGGGGAAAAAAAAAAAAAAAAAAAAAAAAAAAAAAAAAAAAAAAGGAAGAAGATGATGTCGCTGCCGGCTTCGGCGAGGGCAAGGGCCATTTGTTGGCCTATGCCTCGTGTGCCCCCTGTTACTAAGGCGGTGCTGTTTTGGAGGGAGAAGAGGTCCATTGTTGAAAGGGAATTGTATAGGATGAGGGATGGTGGAGTACTCGGGCAGAGCGGGACAGGGACTGAGTAAATAGTATTGCTACTAAATATGTCGAAGAACAATGCGGGGGAACCCCCACGTCTTGTTCTCCCTTCCCCACAAGTTGATACTTAGACTACCGCCACTAACATCCACTCAGCTGCACACTCACCACTCACGGATCCCTCCATCAGGACCATAGAACTCCTTCGGCAGCCACGGCTCAGTTTCCTGACTGATCTTCCGGACCAACTCCTCGTTAATCTCAATCCCCAGTCCTGGCCCCTTCGGCACCGACACGTATCCTCCCTCGATATCAAACACCGACGCATCCGCCAGATAGCTAGTCAGATCGATATCCCCTGCTTCGATATTATAATGCATCCCAAGGGACATCTCCTGAATCACAAAGTTGGGGATGGAGGTGGCGACCTGCATCGACGCCGCCAGGGCGATCGGACCTGCGCGGAAATCGAGTTAGCACACATCTCCTAAATCCACCCCAAGAAAAAGCCAACTCACCCAAAGGACAATGCGGCGCAATCGCCACATCGTACGTCTCCGCCATCGTCGCAATACGCTTCGTCTCCGAAATGCCCCCCGCGTGCGCAATATCCGGCTGCAGGATGTCGACCGACGCGTCCTCCAGAAACCGCTTGGCGTCCCACCGCGTGTACAGGCGCTCGCCGAGCGCGATGGGTATGCTGGTCTGTTGCGAGAGCTGCTTTATGGCCTCCGGGTGCTCCACCAGCAGGGGCTCTTCGATGAACAAGGGGCGGTACGGCTCGAGGGCTTTGGCCAGCTGCTTGGCCATGGGGCGGTGCAGACGGCCGTGGAAGTCCAGCCCTGCGTCCAGGCCCAGGGCTTTCACCTGTTTAATGCGCTCGATGCACGAGTCCAGGATGGCGGGCGAGTCCAGCCAGTTGACGTCCTCGGTGGCGTTCATTTTGACGCATTTCAGGCCTTGCTCGATACGCGCCTTTCTGCGGGTTGTTAGGTGATGATCCAGAAGGAAGCTCGGGTTTGGGGGGCCAAGGGTTGACGCACGCAGCAATCTCCACGTCACTGGGTCGGTCGCCTCCGATCCAGGCGTAGACCTGGATCTTGTTGCGGACTTTGCCGCCTAGCAGCTGATGCACAGGCACGCCCAGTCGGCGGCCTTTGAGATCCCACAGGGCGATGTCGATTCCGGACAGCGCGGACATGAACACGGGACCACCGCGGTAGAATCCTAATCGCCAGATGGTTTGCCAGATATGCTCGATGTCGCTGCAAATAATGAGCTTGGTTCATTTGCGAAAGTGGGCGAACATACTCTGCCTCATAGCCAATCACTCGTGCGATGATCTCATCCAGGGCGCCTTCCACGGCCAGTGTGTGTCCCTCAAGTGTGGCCTCGCCCCATCCGAATTGACCCTCATCATCGGTGATCTTCACAAACAGCCAACGGGGCTTGACTCGGAAGTATTCAATCGACTTGATGCGCGCCATTTTGGTGTGTATGTACAGTACCATCAGGTGAATTGCCAAAGGTCTCCCGTCGCATTCTACAACTACCCATTTATATACGCAGCATGACGAGCTACTTCCACAAACCCTTTCTTCCCCACGCTTACCCCCGCGTGGGGGTGGACAGAACTATATAGTCTGGGGTATTCATAAGATGCACTATCACACCCGCATCATTGGCGGAGGCCGAGCGCTGATCCTTGACCCCCCACTCCCGCACATGCACTTTCCCCTCACCCCGCTTTCTGGCACTCTCAGTACACGTACCGGAAATTCAAGTTCTGCTTATCCGTGAGGTCACTGAAAGCCGTCTGGTCGCGGTCCCATGCCGTGGGGTCTCCGTGCTGCTGCGCTGCATCCCGTCGCCGATTTTCCCACGCCAGCATGATCCGCAAAATCACCACCAGCGCAATCTCAATTAAGTTGGACACGATCATCGACCAGATCCCCAGCTGGTACCGTGGTGCTTGGTCTGACTTGTAGAAGAACGGACCGGCGATGTTTCCCGCACACACTCCGAGAAAGATCATCGCGTTGGTGACGACCTTCTTCGTGTGACCGGCAATGTTGGCGGTCAAGATGGAAAGAATGAGAACGAAGGAGGCGTTGTACGACCCGGTTAAGTAGTAGCAGATCAACCGACCGACGCGGTTATCTTCAGCAAGGAAGCAGAGTCCGAATGCACCTGCAACATTGGGGAGGAGGAAAAGGATGGTCACGATGCAGCGGTTGTTGGGCGGCAGGCGATCGTTGGTGTACACGCTGAGGAGGATCATGAGGGCTATAAACACGCCGTAGGGAATTTGCATCAAGGTCGTCACCACTGCAATTGTCAGACTCATGCCTTTTATTGTTATAGCGTCCCGCCGAGCTTACAGGTCGAAAAGCCGAATCCGGAAATGATCAAGGTCCCGAAATTGGAGATTCCGCCATTGGGGATGTTGCCAGAGAGCCCCAGCAGCAGGAACGCCCACACTTTCCAGTCGAGCAGCGCCTCTAGGACCTGCGCCGGCTTGAGGATCTTGTTCTCCACGCCTGTCTGGTTGTCGCGGAGCCTCTCCACCGCCAACCGTCTTTCCCGTGGGGAGAAATTGCGCGCCGTCACCGGGGAGTCGGGCAGCAGGATCAAGATGACGATGCCCCAGGCGGTGCATAACGCGCCGATGATGAGGAACTCGTACTTCCACGAGGACAGAGCCCCCTGGATGTGCCCGATGCCATACCCCAGCAATCCTCCGAGGGCAATGCCGAGTCCGTTGGCAGTGTACCACAGCCCGATGCGGATGGGCTGCTGGCGTCTCGTGTAGAACATGCTCGTGATCAACATGAAGGCAGGATCACTGGTATGATGTTAGCCGCAGCATGACGAGTCCAGGGATGCTGTTACTTACCTGCATGCCTCCGCAGCCCCCGAGATGACTCGCAGCACAACGAGCTGTGTGAAGTTCTTCGCCGCAGCTGGAAGAGCGAGTATGAGTAGAGATATTTTGATTTTAGGGAACCAAGTTTCTACCACGAACCCTGTAGCATGAGGAAGACGCCCCATAGTATGATGTTCACGCCAAGATATTTGGCCACGGGGAACTTCTGGAGAAGAAAGTTGGTAGGGATGGCCCAGACGAGGAAGCCGAAGTAAAACACTGACGAAAGCCAGGAGTATTGCTGGCCGGACAGGTGTAGATCTTCCTTGATGCCGAAGATGGCCGCATAGGAGAGGGTGGTTTTGTCGATCTAGTTATGATATTAGTGATGACCCTAGTGATTCATGCTGGTCAGTCGGGTTGAACGAAATGCGCACATAGTAGAAGGCATAGCAGACGGACAGACAAGGCAGGATTGCCCAGTCTATCTTCCTCTCCAGCCGCTTGAGTTCGGCTGCGTCGACGGATTGCAGTTCATCGCCCGTGGCAAAGAATGCCAGGGCTGTATCGCCGTGTTGAATGTTGCTGATCTTGCCATCGTCTTGGTTGTCCTCGATGTGTAGGGATGAGGGCTTGGGAGCAGCGTTGGGCGTCGAGATTTCCGCAGACATGTTGGTCTGCATCTGTGTCTGTGTCCACGGTGGAGTCTGAGAGGATCGTGGATATCCTGTTGCAGTTCCAGATCCTCTTTACCCCAGGTTCTGATGTATGAGGCACAGTGCTCTCCCCCACCCCCTCAGACAATAGCCGTTAGCGTGGGGGAAATGCAGGGATGTTGACTGTTGACCCCGGGGGTTTTTCTCCGCGTTTGCCTCGGCGCGAAATCCGAGCTTCCTGTGGCGCTCATCTCCCTGCTGTTGTTATCGTCCTACTTCTTAATCTCCTTGACCTGTCTTGACTGCTTCTCAAGGTCAAACAACGATTGCATGCAATGACATTCCTTACACGCGAGGAAATCGAGAGACATTCATCTCGCCAGTCATGCTGGGTTGCCATCCATGGCTCTGTTTACGATGTGACCGGTGAGCCAGGAGCCAGCACCACACTGCTCTGCAGTCAGGAAGTGCACAGTGACTGATGCGACGCACCACAGATTTCATTGACGAACACCCCGGCGGTCCGCAAGTAATCCTCCGCTGTGCCGGCAAGGACGCAACAGCAGACTTCGACTCCGTCCACGACAAGTCCCTCCTCACCGAGGCCCTTGAACCATCATGCTTGAAAGGCACAATCCAGCCCGGCACACTCTCAGCCCCATCCCCATCTTCACCACCGCCATCATCACCCTCACCGCCCAGCCCCTTACCCAAGATAGTAGCCACCAAAACCACAGCCCCCGCCCCTCCCCTCTCCACCCTCATCAACCTCCACGACTTCGAAAAAGTCGCCCACCAACACCTTTCCCCTCACGCATGGGCCTACTACGCCTCCGGCGCCGACGACGAGCACAGCAAGCACGCCAACGCCAAAGCCTACCGCAAAGTCTCGCTACGCCCGCGCATCCTCCGCAGCATCCGGGCCGGCGTCGACACCCGCACCACCATCTTAGGTCAGAAGGTCTCGCTGCCGGTGTACATGAGTCCCACCGGGATCGCCAAGCTGGCGCACCCGGACGCCGAATGCGCCCTGGCGGCGGCGGCGGGCCACGAGGGGCTGGCCCAGGTGCTGGCCAACGGGGCGAGCATGCCCATCGAGAGAGTGCGCGCGGCGCGCACGAACCCCCAGCATCAGCCGCTGTTTGCGCAGCTGTACGTCAACAAAGATAGACGGAAGTCGGTGGAGACGGTCCGGAGGGCGGTGGAGGCGGGGGCTTGCGGGGTTTGGGTGACGGTCGATTCGCCGGTTGTGGGGAAACGGGAGATGGATGAGAGGTTGAATTTGGAGGTGCAGGTATGTTTACTCTTGCCTTCTTGGGGGGGAGGGGGGATAGCTGGGGAGGTGGAAAGATGCTGATGGGATAGGGGAGGGACAGGCACGAGACTCGTCCGCCCGAGGCCAGGGCGTCGCAAAGACCATGGCTAGTTCTATCTCGCCGTTCATCGACTGGGAGATTCTGACCTGGTTACGCAACCTCACCGACTTGCCGATTGTGATTAAGGGGATCCAGTGCGTTGAGGATGCGGTGTTGGCGTACCAGCGGGGAGTGCAGGGGATCGTTCTCTCGAATCATGGGGGGAGGTCGCAGGATACGTGAGTTTCTCCTCCTCACTTCTCTTCCTGCATCTACCGATTCAGAATCACTAATGATAAGTTGGAGGTCAGCGCTCAACCTCCACTCGTCACCTTGCTTGAGATCCGCAGACACGCGCCCTATTTGATTGGAAGCCGGATGCAGATCTTCGTGGACGGCGGGATTCGTCGTGGGACCGATGTCCTCAAGGCGCTGGCGCTGGGCGCATCGGCTGTTGGGCTTGGACGGCCGTTCCTCTACGGTCTCGCGGCAGGGTACGGCGAGGAGGGGGTGCGCCGCGTGATTGCTATCCTGCGGCAGGAGATCGAGGCGAATATGGTGTTCTTGGGCGTGACGAAGCTGGCGGAGTTGGGGCCTCATCTGCTGAATGCGACGCGGTTGGAGAGAGATGTGGTTGGTGAGGTGAAGTTGTAGTTTGGTATGTGGTAAGTACCACTGCAATCCACATATAGAACCGAGGTAGGGATTCAGGAATTTGCTGAGAACCAGGATGGATCTATCAATCAATCTATTGTGATCAGAAATTCTCCGAATGGAACAGTGCGGAAGATCATCCTTTCCTCCCCAACAATCCATGATACCATCCCAAACAAATGTGTTCGTACACTAAACAGAGCAACTACTCAGGGCTCTCACACAAACATAGCCCTTTGGTACAGTACAGTACCTCCGCAGAGGGAAGGGAGGGATCATCAAGCATAAAGTTATTCTTTTTTCCCGCAGAGGGCTGTGTGTCACTGTGTTCGAAATTCTCGGGGACCTGGCGATAGGACCCCCGATCCACAATTATCAACTGAACTGTACGGTCCGCCGTGTCCTGTTATTAATTAATCTGTTAATCGGCCTTTTCTTTCTTGATCGTCCCGGGAACAATGCGACTCTCACCTCTCGGCCCAAGAATCCTCGTATCTATATACGCGCAGTGTCAAGGACAGCGCAAAGGCCATACAGCCGGTCGGTCGGCGACCACCGACTTCAAGTCCAGCCAACCAAAGAGAAAAAAAAAAAAAAAAACAGACCAGAGGAAAGGAACCCCTTTCCGGCCCATCCGGCTTTTCTTGGATTGCCATGCCATGCTATGCGGAGATTCGACACGCGGGCTTGAGTCCTATGATCAACCACAGAGAAGTAGGGTTCGGGGACCATTTCCATGGCCATGCAGCGGCGGGTAACTTAACTTGACATACGGTAGGGGGATTTCTGGGTGAAAAGAAAGGTGAGATCCCCTCCCCACCCCCGAGTTTGATTGCTGGTCCCCGAATGCATGGCAGATCAAACCCACGAACCCACTCTATCGCCGTCTATTCCTTTTCTTCTTCTTTTTTCTTTGGGGGTTTGTGGATCAGGTGGTGTGGTGTGCTGGTTGTTGGAGTAGAGGAGGTTCAGGAGATTTCGGGGACTTCGGAGGCGAGGGTTGTACTTGTACTTGTACTTGTACTTTAGAGGTACTCTTCTTTCTACATTGAGCACGTCTACGCTGGGTTTGGGCTCAGTATCTTCTCACGATTGATATGGTTCCCTGAGACGGTATATCTGTCGGCCTTATATTTGAAAGCAGACTGAGGAGGACTCTATTTTGCTTATTCCTTTTTCTTTCAACGTTGATCTTCGGTCGCTTGTCAGACGGTGAAGCCCACCCCCCAAGGTCATGTTCACACCGATCCATACCTCGTTGGGCGCCTTACTCCTCTACCAGGGCTCCTCGGGACTCCTCTTGCACAATGGCGCGGTCTTTGGGATCTCGTCCCTGCTGGCGGGCAGTCTGCTGCGTCCCAGCGGCGAGAATGTGCCGGTCCTCGCCGGCCTGGTGTCCAGTCTGGTGCCCGTGGCGCTCTGCATGCCATCATTGATCCCTTCGTACCCCCCAGCGCCAAACTCGTGGATCTCGCTGGCGTCGACGCTGGCGATGGGGTTTCTGCTGGGTTGGGGGACCAAGGTGAGCAGTTCGACAACTTCCTCTCACTTTGACATTGTGGGAACCACCGGCTAACTACCGTAACGGTCTAGAACGGTCGAGGCTGTACCTCCGGCCACATGCTCTGCGGGATTTCGCGTCTGTCCCCGCGCTCCATCATCGCCACCGCCATCTTCTTCACGACCGCCGTGCTCACGGCCAACTTCCCTCCCGGCCGTCAATCTCTGCCGGCGTGTGCGGACGGTCGCCCCTGTTATCTGCCCGTCTATCCCACCGCAGCGGAGGGCGGATTCATGGTGGCCACGACCCTGCTAGCCTTCGCGACGAATTGGGTTGCCGTGCCCCGCGTCCTAAAACGATCCGAGAACTCGCGCGCGGTTTTTGCGTACCTCGCCGGGTTGCAGTTCGGCACGGGGCTGTTGTTCACGGGGATGGCGGACCCGGAGAAGGTGCTGCGGTTCCTCGTCGGCCTCACGGACCCGGCGCGCTTTGATCCCTCGTTGGCGCTGGTGATTGTCTTTGGGATCGTGCCGTCCATGGTGACTTATCTGTCAAGCAGGCCGGGACAAGACACCCAGAAGGGAGGGCCGTCCAAGCCGACGCTGGCGGAGACTTGGAGCTTGCCAACTGCCACTGTGGCGGATATCGACTGGCGCTTTGTGGCGGGAGCGGTGGTCTTCGGCGTCGCTTGGGGGTTGCGTGGCGTTTGTCCGGGCCCGGCTATCCTGCGGTCCGTGGTGCAGCCAACTTGGGGACTGGCGGAGATGGCGGGCTATATGCTCGGAAACTTATTGTAGAGGTTTTCGTGGATAATATCAAGCCGTGTGTATATAAATATATATAGATATATCATCCTAACACCCGCAGGATTTTTCCCCGCAATATATGCTGAGTAGCGGAAAATGACGGTTCAGAGGTTTAGTTAGACGCTATGTGATGCACAAAATATCAGCATGGCTCCAAGGAGATGCAGATGCAGATGCAGTCTAGAGCTAGGACCAGCCCAGGCACTGATGCAGTATTGAGGTTTAGACAAGGCTTACAATTCCGTCTTAGCCCAGCTGTTAGTAGAGCGCTTGTGGCCGGGGCCAGCGCCGTCCCCGGATCCAGACATAAAGCCTTCCAGCTCCATCCACTCGGCCGCGAACGCAGTGAACAGTACGCTCCAGTCCTCCACGGTGTCTATATCTAGATGTTCGCCGTCATCCTTGATCGTGTGCCAGACCGTGGGAAAGCCCCGATCGCCGGCATCAATGATATGCAGGACCTCCACGCCTCGTCTCAGGAAAGGAATGTGGTCGTCTTCAATGTGCATGTACATCGGAATCTCGTTTTCGCTTCTCGACTGATGAGGGAACCAGGACCGTCCGGGATCCGAGGATCGGAACCGCTTCAGCTCCCGCAGCCGCCGCTCCAGCGTGGCCAGCTTTTTGTACGCCCAGTGCGTGGTCGGGAAGAATGACTGGATGGTGGGGTCCTTGGCGCCCAGCAGATCCAGCAGCACGAACAGGGAGATCGAGTCGAGCGGCGACCGGTACACGGACATCGCCGAGTGAACCTCGGAGTCCCACTGCTCCGCCAGGGAGCGTGCACCGTACAGCGAGTCGGTGGCCGTCCACTCCTTGAATGCCTCCTCCCCGTCCATGAAGATCACCTGGATGCCCTGTTGTTCCTCCAGCAGATTCAGCTGCCCCTGGGCGCGCATGTCCTCCCACTTCTTCGTCAGGGCGCTGTCGATGCTCCGCATGGCATGCAGCATGATCGCGCACGGCGCGGCACTGTCGATCGCCCCGATGAAGCCTTCCGGTTCGTACTTGCTGTCGTAATGTGCAACCAGGGTGAGGCGTCCGACGTCGCCGGGGCTGGCGCCGGGCGGATCGCGGGAGGCGATGAGGTTGACGAAGGGAACCTCCTTCCCTTTGGAGACTGGGGTCTTCGATGTTGAGTTCTGTAATTGCAGCGTCCACTCTGGGAGTGAGGTGCGAAAGAACTCCGCAAGGTGATTCAGGACGGCGGTGTTGCCCGCGGTCCCGGAGACACGGGGCACCAGGATCGGGGCGAGCAGTGCACCATCGTGGATATCGAAATCCTTCCCGGGTCGCGGGAGGAATCGCAGGGTCTCGTCCGAGACGGTTTGGTAGGCTGTTCCTGACGCGAGAAGGAGGAAAATGGCGAGGCAGGTGGACAATAAGGGGCGCAGAAGGCCACGGTGCGGCAGCAGCGGAATCATGGCGATGGGGGTTGGGAGAGTGATATGGGTCAACACAAACTCATGGCACGAGACGATGACTATCCCTGACTGTCACAGTTTAGTCAAAGACGAAAGAGGCCTGCAGAAAGAGGATGACAGGAATCAGCACTCTGTCAGGGAGAAAACCAAAGGTGAGTCTTTGTTTCACAAACGAAGCAGCCATGGATTTGGCAGGCCTGACCGCCTTCGAGCTACTATCGATAAGTTCTTATCCGAACTGCCTCAACTTTCTCCGATTTCCCGGCGCTGAGAATCACCTCCGGTTCTATTTCTCCATTCTGTGACAATATGAGGCCTATCATCCTGCTGCATCCGCAATTGCGGGCTGCACTTCCACGAAGTGTCCGGCGGAGTCTCAACAGCAAGCTGTTTGCTCGGCTGAAGACCACCGAGAACGCTGCTCGCAGCCCGAAGAATGATCCGTTCATCAAAAGACCAGCGCACCCCGAGAGTATGTTCTATAACAAGGAACCCGACCCGGCCAGCTACGCATATGGAAAACTCTTTGCGCGGAAAGGTATTGTTGCGAATTAGTCTACATCGCCGCATAGATACCAGCGCTGATCTCATTCCGGCAGGACCCCCCGAGGTGATTCTCATCTACAATGGTGGTGTCCATAAAGCCATGTTCCTGGCGGCATTGAAGATCACTGGCATCCTCCTGTACGGAGTAACGATTGCTTTCATCTTGCCGGAGTTTATGAGTGGGGAGTATCCTGACTGGTATGCCCCAGCAGGTAAGTTCGAAACCCTCGATTGTGCTCATCGCGGAGGGGAGTCAGCGCCTAATATCAGAGAACAGCTCTCACTCTCGGTGCGATCCCGATGCTCTTCATGGCTTACAATGGGGCTACCTTTGTTTGCTACATTCACTTGTTTCTGCCAATGTCTGCTCGCCAGTCTCGGCAGGCGGCTGAGGATTATGCCAGAAATCTTCCGCCGACGGCTCGGTTGTTCATCACGACCATGGCGTTCTCAACTAGACCTATAAAGAGGGAAGTACATCTCAAAAACCTTGTCCCCGAAGTCACGCTCAGGCGTCCCGTGAGCTTCAAGGATGTGGGTCCCGAATCCAAGAAAGGGTACTGGACTCGAGGGTTGACAGAATTCTGGGCGGCGCCCAAGAGCCACCGTGGGAAACAGTCGACAGCATTCTATCCTCACCTGTGGCCGGTGGTGAGGGAGCAGATTGAGCGGAGGGCGCCGTGAGGGAAGTCTTGGTAAATTTGGCGTTAGGCGGAGTTCAATGTGAGAGATTGGCATGGAGGTTTCTTATATTAGTGAAACTGGAGACGTGGATAACATTAGCCTCAGCATCTTTACTCCGGAGTTGAAAACCAACGATACTCTTTACCACATCTCTTTTGGGTCCAATGGACCCATATCCATGATCTCTTCACTTTACTCTCATTTCCAGCCTGTGTTACGCCTTAGCGTGACTTCGTGCTGTCCCGACAACACTTTGCCGATTTCAGTCACCATTCACTCACCCAAGCTGATATTTTTCTCCATATCCCTCATATTCCTAACCTGTCCCACCTGCTTGTGAGCGAAACCGCCACTTTCTCCTTTCATTCAAATTTCTCCTCATACCACTTTCTTCCCCCTACACTCGCATACTCTCCACATAGCTTTACTCGCAGAACAAATCTTACTGAACACTCACACGTTCATGGTCCCCTCACCTCATCAGAAACACCCGCTCGAACAGCTACATCATCTTTTTATACAACACACGCTACAAAAGGAAGTAGCAAGAACATCAGTCATGGCAACTAGAGGTCCTCCTAAGCCGGAGGGCTGGTTCGGCTTGACTCTGAACGAAGCCAGGCTCATTGTCCTCGGCCAGATGTGCTGTGATTCCACTGGCAAAGTAAGCAATCTTGACACCCAGATACCGAGAGAGAATGAATGCTGACATCCAAGAGAAGGTCGATTACGAAAAGATAGCTGTCAGAGGCGGTTACAAAAATGCAGCGTCTGCTATGACCGTCTACCGCAACGCGAAACGCCGACTGGCCGAACTCTCAACTGCTTGCCCCGAAGGTTCTGCTGATGCTGCCAACACCTCTACCGCAGCAACCCCGCTCAAGACTCCTACGAAGCGTAAGAGAGGCAAGGCAGCGGATGCCACGCCTGATGATATGCCTGCCACCCCCAGTGGTACTGTCGAGGCCGAAGCAGCCGTGACCCCAAAGCCCAAGCGCGTCCGGAAGACCCCGGCGAAGAAGGCAGCCGCTCCCAAAGTCGTTATTCCGAAGGTCGAGGAAGGTGATAGGTAAGTGCCACCCCTCATACGACGCCTCTGAATCCCCGAACTATGCTAACCGAAAATTCAGCGACGGGGAAGCTAGTATGCAACTCGAATCCTCTCCTCTTGCGCAGGCCAGCGCTCAACACGACGAGGGCGGCGATTTGTATAAACGGATCAAGGAAGAGCAGTCTACTCTGGCTGACATCGAGGAGGAAACTATGGCTGATATTCTGAAAGAGCATATCACTGCGTCTGACGAGGAGAGAGTCATGGCCCCGATTGATGTCGCAGCCGAGATGGAGGCAATGGAATCAGCTCGGTCCCGGTAAAGACCGAGGAATGAGTCTCTCATCCACCTCCAAAGCTGTAATCCGATGAACGGATTGATCTAACATGCTTTACCGAATTTCTGTTATTATCCCCAACGGCGCCCTTTAGGGTGTTCCTTATGGGAGCGCCTGTGCTTGATAGTTTTCAATCAAAAGAACAATGATGCAGTCGTGGCACTGCGCAGGTCCGTCTTCATGGCTTGTATAACTTGAGCGGTTGAGCCTATATAATTCTTCACCTCAAGATATGTACATGTCCGTGTAGCAGTAGCCACATTCTTAATGCTTCAATCAAAATTTCGGTAGTGTCATTAGGTGAAGCTGGGCCACCTCTTCAAAAAAAAAAAGATATCCATCTAATCAGTAGAGATCGATTTTTCACCGACAGCGCTAGAACCAAACAGTTCACTCAGCAGATCAAGTCCCAGTCAAGGTAAAGACCTGGTGAATGTTGTATTCTCCTTATCTACATCTGGGACTATCTGCTTAGTTTGCATGATTTGCACGATTTGCATACTGTAGCTTCTCCGACCCACCCGCATCAACAATTCTCCGCCAGACAAGCAACTGGACGGCTTCTTATCGGAGGAAGGCAAACCATGCTATCGAGAAATTACTAGGATACAATTGCCTGACGCTTTTTTTGGGCTATTAAATCGCCCCATTTGATTCTCCTCCACCCCGGAACTCATGAGAATTCATTCGGGGTCGCTGCCCCAGCGGGCACGCCTACATGTTCCTCGAATCCCGACTCTCTCCCACCAAACCGTATGCGGCGTCCACAACTACGCGCGGACGGCCGCGGTTCTGCGGGCGAACTCCGCGCTGACCACCGGACCTCGTCCAACGCTGAACCGAACGACAATCCCATCCATGACCGAGCAGAAGAGGTGGATCAGTCAACGGTACTTGCAACGGCTCGAAGAAGCCCGACAGGAATGGGCCCACTTCTCCCGGCAGATCAAGGAAGGGAAACGGAAGAATTTCGCACAGCATCTTGAAGACAGAGGACTGTTGCACGACGTCGTCGGGTGAGTGTTTGTGTGTAGGATTGCAGTGGATCTGCTTGAGAATCAGGCTAACGGGGGCGCGCTCTTCTTTTCCACCTCCAGGGAACGGGAGCTTCTGCACCGCGTGTTCACCGAGAAGAGGGCTGGTATATATGCCGGCGTCGATCCTACCGCTCCTTCTCTTCATGTTGGACATATGTTACCGTTTATGGTTCTGGCATGGGGCTATGTCTGGGGTCTGCCTGTTCACTTCATCGTAAGTCACACTCACGCCCCCCTCCCCCCGGGCGAGACAGTCTGGCTGACATCGAGGACAGCTTGGCGGTTCAACAAGCCGCATCGGTGATCCTACTGGGCGACTAGCGGGGCGAGAACAGGTCAAAGCATCGGTTCGAAAGGCAAACATGGCGTCGATGCACATTCAGCTGAAGCGACTCGGCAAGAGCATTGAGGCTTACGGCCGAAGACATGGCTACGAGAAGGAATGGTCCTGGAGGCGGAGTATTACCAACAATAATACGTGGTGGACAAGTGTCACTTTCATGGAGCTCGTCCGAGATCTGGGCTCTTACATGCGTCTGGGCCCCATGCTTGGGAGGGATACGTGAGTTCCTTTTTTTTTCCGCCGCCAGCCATTGTCGTGGGTACTGATCGTCTGCAGCGTCAAGAATCGGTTGGAGAAAGGAGACGGAATGTCGGTTGCCGAATTCATGTATCCTCTCATGCAGGCATGGGACTGGTGGTATCTGTTCCGGAGGGGCGTGCAGGTCCAAGTTGGAGGCGCCGATCAGTACGGAAACATTCTGTTCGGCATGGAAGCCGTCAAGACGGCTAGCAGAAACACCGCCAACGAGCAGGAGCGCAATTCGTTGAAGGATGAAATCGATAGGCCTATTGGGATGACAACGCCCCTGCTCACGACTTCTTCAGGGGAGAAGTTTGGCAAGTCGGCAGGCAATGCGATCTGGCTTGACAAGGAGATGACATCCACCTTTGAGCTATACCAGGTATGAGAGAGCGCCTCGCATCTTCTTTTCAGGTTGACTAATGCCCATCGCAGTTCTTTGTCCGTACTCCCGACGACGTTGTGGAGAAATACCTCAAGATGTTCACTTTCTTGCCCTTGCCGGAAATCGAGAAGATCATGGCGGAGCAGGTTTTGGACCCGTCCAAGCGCGTGGCCCAGCATGCTTTGGCCGCAGAATTCGTGGAACTCATTCACGGCAAACAGGAGGCGCACGCAGTCGCCCTCCAACACCGCCAACTCTTCCGCCCAAGATCCTCCACCGCCGAACCCACTCCTCTCCCTGGCCAGCCCAAGGCCCATCCCATCCCTCAGTCGCCGTATGCAAAGGATGCCAACATGGCGTCCGGCAATATTTACGCCCCTCAGACGAATTTCAGCAACATGCCCGCCCACCGAATGGAGCTCCCCAGATCTCTGGTCGAGAAGCAACCTTTACACAAACTCCTCTGGAGTTCAGGACTGGTGAATTCCAAGAGTGAGGGACACCGTCTCGCTGCGAACGGTGGGGCGTATGTTGGAAGCCGCCCCGGCGCAAGCGGGCCTATGTCTGACAGCCTGGAATACACGCCTATCAGGGTCTGGCTTCCGGAGAGGACCAAAGAGTTTATCGTTGACGAAGATCTTCTGTTCCTCAGAGTAGGCAAGTGGAAGTTCAAGATCATCCAGATCATTAGCGATGAAGAATTCGCCAAGAAGGGACTGACCTGCCCGGGATGGGAGTCCGAGTGCGCGGAGTCCAAGCCCTGAGCAGGGAAAGCTGGGGATAGCTATTCGCCTCTCAGTGTATAACAAAGACCTGTACATATATCGCATACCAAAACGAATATACTGTGTATCAATAGACTGCGACATGGACATGTATTCGGTCACTAGCAGTTGACTTACCCTGTAGTGTGGTAGCATGATATGACAGCCAAGGCGGTGAGCGATGGCATAAAAGAACCCCCCAAAAACCACTCAACGCGTCCGACGCGCGACGGCCCGCACGTCCATATCCTTATCGCCCGCCCATCCTCCAGTCCAGGGCCGCGCGCCTTTTCAATCCCTCTCCCCAAAACATCTCACCTCCCAGTGTGTGGAATTGGCCCTTCTTCCCTTCCTCCGATAATCCATTGCAGCATGATATAAACGCACAATTCAAAAAGACAAAGTCATCCAGATACTATCCGGACCCCCCCCCCCTCCGTTCCAGAATGGCCAAAGGAGCCCCCGCCGCCTCGTCCCCTCCTCCGACCGCGACGCCTCCATCCTCCCGGGCGCTGAAACGAACCACCTCCAGCACGCAGAACATGAAGAGCCAGAAGTCCATCCTCGGATTCTTTCAGAAGTCATCGCCCTCGACCCCGTCGACGGCTCGCAAGGTCGTCGAGCCCGCCTCCTCGCCCGCCGAACGGGCTTCCATCCAGCGCGCGGGAGCCGATACCACCACCAGCAGTACCGAGAAGAAGAAGCCGCTGCAGCCGCAGCACCGTGTGCCCCATTTCAAGCAGGACTTGACGCCGGTGCCTAGTAGTGATCTCGTGATACCTGACGAGGACGATGATGAGAGACAAGAGCAAAATGCGGTGCAGGTATGGTGTGCTCGCTTCAAGTTAGTAATAGAATGTTTTGGTGTGACTGACCTGTTGAGGGGATGCAGGCCGGTGGTGTTGATGAGCAGCAGACGTTCACGTCTCCGTCGCGTCGGGTAAGAGATTCTTAGAATTCGGTGTTTGGGACGTACAGATGTGCTGACAGATGTGATGTTGCTCAAGGCTAGGAAGAAGGTCAATTATCTTGAATCGGATTCCGAAGGTGAAGAGGACGACGAGAAGATCTTCCGTCCCGGCCGCAGTAGTCGCAACAAGCGTCAAAAGGTAGCTGTAGAGAGTGAGGATGAGTTCAAGGAGGCTGCAGATGGCGAGGAATATTCTGATTATGGTTGGTTCAAAGCTCGACGTGGTACAGTATATAAGCGCTGACATTGCCTAGAACTGGACGACTTCATCGTCGCTGATGATTCGGACGAGGAGGCAAAGCCGGTCAAGAGGCGCACGAAACCGGCTGCTCGTCCCAAGACCAAGTCATCCCCTCTGCCGTTGCAGACGCCCGACGACAATGAGGATCTCGATTTGGACATCCCCGAAGCGACCGGCGGCACGGCGATGAAATGGACGTATGACCCTGAACACTCCGAACCCCGGCAACAACGGACGGCACCGACGACGCCTAAGCGTCCCAGTAATGGCAAGCAGAAAGCACACGTTACCGAGCCGGAGCAGCGATACGCCTGGCTGGCAAATCTTCGAGACATCGATGGCCATCCCATCGGTCATCCGGAGTATGACCCTCGGACTCTATATATACCTCCCTTGGCTTGGTCCAAGTTCTCACCGTTCGAGAAGCAGTACTGGGAGATCAAGCAGAAGTTCTGGGACACGGTGGTGTTCTTCAAGAAGGGCAAGTTCTACGAGCTCTATGAGAACGACGCCACCATTGGCCACCAGCTCTTTGACCTGAAGCTGACCGATCGCGTGAACATGCGCATGGTGGGTGTCCCGGAGATGAGTCTGGACCATTGGGCCAATCAGTTCGTTGCCAAGGGCTTCAAGATCGCTCGGGTGGACCAGATCGAGTCGGCTTTGGGCAAGGAGATGCGCGAAAGAGACGGGAAAGATGGCAAGAAGAAGGCCGGCAAGGAGGACAAGGTGATCAGGCGAGAGTTGGCTTGCGTCTTGACTGCGGGTACACTCGTCGAAGGCTCGATGCTTCAAGACGATATGTCTACGTACTGCGTCGCCATCAAGGAGGCACTTATTGAGGATCGTCCAGCTTTCGGACTGGCCTTCGTCGACACTGCAACTGGCCAATTCTTCTTGTCGGAGTTTGTCGATGACGCCGATATGACCAAATTCGAGACCTTCGTGGCGCAGACGCGTCCTCAGGAACTGTTGCTCGAGAAATCCACCGTCTCCACCAAGGCACTCCGCATCCTGAAGAACAATACTGGTCCGACAACTATCTGGAACTACTTGAAACCCAGGAAGGAATTTTGGGAAGGCGATATCACCGTCCGCGAACTTGATGCGAGCGACTACTTCGTCTGTGAAGATGGGGACAACCTGCAGGCGTGGCCTGAGGCTCTGCGCGAGGCCCGGGACAAAGAGCTGGTGATGTCTGCTTTTGGGGCGCTGGTGCAATATCTCCGGATCCTCAAGCTCGACCGTGACCTCATCACCATCGGCAACTTTGCCTCGTACGACCCCATCAAGAAGGCTTCCAGCCTGGTGCTGGACGGGCAGACTTTGATCAACATGGAGATTTTCGCCAACTCTTTCGACGGAACCTCCGATGGGACTTTGTTCCAGCTCCTGAACCGCTGCATCACACCGTTCGGCAAGCGTATGTTCAAGCAGTGGGTGTGCCATCCGTTGGTGGATGCGAAGAAGATCAACGCTCGACTGGACGCGGTGGACGCGCTCAACGCCGACTCGAGTGTTCGGGATCAGTTCTCTTCTCAATTAACCAAGATGCCTGACTTGGAGCGACTCATCTCGCGGATCCACGCAGCCAACTGCAAGGCCCAAGACTTTGTTCGTGTCCTTGAAGGCTTCGAGCAGATTGAGTACACCATGAGTCTTCTTCAAGAGAGCGGCTCTGGGGAAGGTATAATCGGACAACTTATCAATGCGATGCCGGACCTCAACAGCATGCTCGAGTACTGGAAGACGGCTTTTGACCGCACCAAAGCTCGAGAGAACGGCATCCTGGTCCCGAAGCCTGGGGTGGAGGAAGACTTTGACAGTTCTCAGGAGCACATCGAACAGATCCACCAGCAGCTCGACAACCTCCTCAAGAAACACCGGCGCGAGCTGGGCTCCACGGCGATCTGCTACCGCGACAACGGGAAGGAGATCTACCAGCTCGAAGTGCCCGTCAAGATCAAGAACATCCCCAAGAACTGGGACCAGATGTCGGCCACCAAGCAGGTGAAACGGTACTATTTCCCCGAGCTGCGGGCGCTCATCCGCCAACTGCAGGAGGCGCAGGAGACGCACAGCCAGATCGTCAAGGAGGTTGCGGGCCGGTTCTATGCCCGGTTTGACGAGAACTACACCACGTGGCTGGCGGCGGTGCGGATCGTGTCGCAGCTCGACTGCCTGATCAGTCTGGCCAAGGCATCCTCGTCGCTGGGCCACCCCAGCTGCCGCCCTACTTTTGTGGACGACGAGCGCAGCGTGCTCGAGTTCGAAGAGCTGCGCCACCCGTGCCTGTTGTCCTCGGTCGACGACTTCATCCCGAATGACGTCCGTCTCGGCGGGCCCCGGCCCAACATCGACCTTTTGACCGGTGCCAACGCGGCCGGTAAATCCACCGTTCTTCGCATGGTATGGTCCTATCCCCTTGAGCCTTCAGCGCGTTGAAGGAAAGCAATTTGTGACTGACCCAAAACAGACCTGTATCGCCGTGATCATGGCCCAAATCGGCTGCTACCTGCCCTGCACCTCAGCGACCCTAACCCCCTGCGACCGGATCATGTCGCGCCTCGGCGCCAACGACAATATCTTCGCGGCGCAGTCGACCTTCTTCGTCGAGCTGTCGGAAACGAAGAAGATCCTGGCCGAGGCCACGCCGCGCTCGCTGGTCATCCTCGACGAGCTGGGCCGCGGCACCTCCTCGTACGACGGCGTGGCCGTCGCCCAGGCCGTCCTGCACCACGTGGCCACCCACATCGGCGCCCTGGGCTTCTTCGCCACGCACTACCACTCCCTGGCCGCCGAGTTCGAGCACCATCCGGAGATTGCGCCCAAGCGCATGGCCATCGACGTCGACGAGGCCGAGCGCCGCGTCACCTTCCTGTACAAGCTCGAACCAGGGGTCGCCGAGGGCAGCTTTGGCATGCACTGTGCGTCCATGTGCGGGATCCCCGGCAAGGTGATCGAGCGCGCCGAGGTGGCGGCGAAGCAGTGGGAGCACACGAGTCGGTTGACGGAGAGTCTGGAGCGGAGGAAGGGGAAGGGGGATGGGGCGGCGGCTGTTGTGGGGATGGGGTGGTGGAGTGATGTTGCGTGGGCTTTGCGGGAGGAGGATGACGCTCGTGTAGTGGAGGAAGGGGAGGTCGGGGTGAGTGAGCGGAGTCTGGAGGTGTTGCGCCGCGCGATCGAGGCTTTGTAAGGCATCGCGGTGCGCTTCCCTTCTAAGCTGCTCTTCTATGTCGGAAGATGTATGAAGTGAGAATTGGTGGCGATGTTCGACGCTTACCCTGATCTTTTCATCGGCTGTTGTGCTTTATATTTCGGTGTTCGTGGCGTTCCGTGGGTCTTACTCAAAATTTCTCAGGGAGTTAGTCTAAAGAGCGTTTTCGGGTTATATAACTATTAGGTGGCTGACTTTGAGAATATAAGATGGTCTTTCTGAATAACGTTAGGGACGGGTGTGAATAGAAGGACAAGCAACAACCACGCCATCCGAAGTCCATTGTTCGACCATCAAGTCCGGCCAAATGCGCAGGTCTTACTGCCTCCGCGCCGCTCGTCCACTGGTACTTGATAAGTAGATATTGACGGCTGGTTTCCTAACTCTCTCGTGGTGCATCACTCTCCTCCAGCTCTCACCATTGACCTCAGTGCTACTAACTTATACCTAGCAGACAACATAAGCCCACCCTCCAGGCCTTCTCGACCGCAGACCACAACGCAACGAACCAGAATCTACCGAAGATCCAGCAGAAGCTGCTGAACCCTCGGAAGCCGTGATGAGCCATTCCAACACGGGTTAAAGACAGCCAGGCAGAGAGGTACCCTTCTGCCTGATCAACTGAAGGCAATGAAGCATAAGTCCCCAGAACAAAAGCATTGTCCTCTTTCTCCTCCTTCCCCTTGTCCTCAAACCCCATGCCACATACCGTTAGTCAACAACACCCTCTATACCGTCATGTCTCTTTTCCCAACCGCATGTTCTTTACAAGGTGAGTACTCCATGGAGCTTAACCTCCCCCTTATTGAAGAGACATACCACTCCTGCAATATCTTATGGCATTTACAATCAGAACGCTTTACACTCTTCCACCGCTTCAGGGAGGTAAGAAGCAGCGCACAGCTTATATTCATTACAGCAGATTCATCACAGCAACTCTATGGAACATGACTCGTGAACGCCATCAACGTCGCCGGATCAATCCATGGCAACGACATGTCAATCAGCTCGGATGCCCCGAACAGATCTTCAAAATCCGGAATCGACGCTGACTCCAACGGAAAAGACTCGAACCCTTCTCTGCTGGAACTCCCGTGCAGCAGACTAGTCCCACGATGGCCCGTGTCATCATCGACAGGCACTTGCCCCTCACCCGGTCTACTATACGAGTCCGATCCACCGAAGAGGAAATTCAGAGTCGATTCCGTATCGGCAACAGAGGTCCACAGACGTGGAGAGGCCATCAACTTCATGATATTCGCGAAGGCTCGTTGGTCGATCGCATGGCGCTGATGCAGGATGTCATGGAGATACGCCAGTCGCCGCAGCACGAGCAAAGCGCCATGCCGTGTCTCCGTGTATGACGACTCTAGCAGCTGGATGCTGACGAGGATCAATTCTTTGGCCTGGGTGATCTCTGCTGGAGTTCGCAAATGCCCGAAACAGATCAGGTCGAGGCATAGAAAGGTGCCGGCCGTTACCGCCGAGCACGCCACGGCCCAGAATTTCTGGAAGTGAGAGCATGGGTCGTGGTATCTGCGCTGCAGGATACGTTTGGCTGCTGATACAGCGCTGGCGTGGACCAATTCGTGGGCTGCGTTGGGGTTGCCCAGTAGCTGGGGGATGAGGGCGACGCTGAGATTGATCCGCCACGTGTCGAGGAGGTTCCACACCAAGAAGCGCTGCACATTCATCCATGATGGGACTCCTTCGAGCGGAACTCCGGATGTGTCTGTCCCATTGTAGAAGAGATGGCGTGGGAAGGAGGACGCCACAGAGTCAATTTCTTTAACGGAAGCCTGTACGATGCTGCCGCTCCACTCCTTGATTGATCTGACCGTGTTCTGCATGGTGGCGGCTAGTTGTGCCATGGCCTTGTGATACTCGAAAGGAGACGATACGTCGGAGTCACTTGAGTAGTCTGGTGTATAAGATTCATCGCTGGTCTCTAGTATCGTCGTGAACGACCCAGGGTGGATTGAGATTGGACGAGACCACACAGTCATCCTAAGGACAGTAAGCGTTGAGCGCGCTACAAGGAAGGCCAATACCCACCAATCGACAATCACCAAAGTCCACCACAGTCGTCGATATACATTGACAGGCGTATCAGCCTGGGTGTCTCGCAGTGAGTGAGGTATTTCGCAGCCTTCCCCAAGACGATCCAAGCCAACCAGTCTAGCCACGTTCACAGCCAAGCCGTGTAGAATGTACTCTCGACTAGACTGTCCGAGGTTCTTGTGAACGATATTGAGGATTGTAAGGGCTTGTACCGTCAAGACACTGGGCTTACTGACGTAATCAGCGTGCTCCAACTCTTTGACAGCAGCGTCGCACCAAATGCGACATAATTGCGTGGTCATCCTGCTGAGCGACATCTCCCCCGACCTCCCCGTCAGATAGCTCTCATGGAAGAACTGGAAGCCCTCGATCATCTCATCGTTCATGAAATATACCCCCACCTAGCGGAACGTCAGTCTGAAGCGCCGGACCTTGCATGACGGCAGGTCACCTACAGCTAACACGCTCAAATACACCGCATTCCAGCCGTGAGCCCTCGAATTGCCAGTGTCCATCAACTGATCCCAGAACGCACGATGCTCCTCAGCAAAGACTGCCGGCTCCAGGGCACAGTGAACCCACGCCAAATGCGTGAGCGAGAACCGCACGATCACCTCGCTCCAGTGCCGCGCCGGCAGGATAATCAGGACATGATCATCTCGCGGACGAAGGGGATCGACCCCTCCATCGTGCGATGATTCAGCCAAAAGCCCAAACGGTAGCCTCTGGAAGTCATTCAGTATCTTCTCCAAAGAATGAGACCGCTCTGCCGCAGGCACCGGCCGGAAGACCTCAGTCTCTGCCTCGGGCCGTTGGAGGACGGACTCCAGCTGGCGGATGCGGGTCTTGAGACTGAGGTTCTCCTGCACCAGCCTGCAATTAAGGGTCGATTCGCTCTCATCCGAATCTTCTTCGTCCACGGCACTACGGTACTCGCTGATCAGGAACCGCGCCCTCCACTAGAAGAATAGGTAGGGCTCACACAGTCACCTTGCCATGGACCTTGACGACCTCTCGTGCGCAGGCCGCCGATTCGCCGCGCCGGATGCAGGCGTCGCAGGGGATCTTCTTGGAGCACTTGACTTTCCGGCGAGCACATTGGATGCACGTGCGAGGCACTCGCTGGGTCTCGCGCATGTGCTGGGGCATGAGGGGTGGAGATGGCTCTCGAAATTAGGGGTTTTTGGTTGGCTGTTTCGAACTTGAGTTGAAATGAGGGGCTTCTGCTATTCAGGGGAGTATAATGAGCGTGTAATCCGAGAAAGTGGTGTTCGAATCTTGCACACTTCGGGTGAGCGCGGGTGAGTTTTATTACTTGGACTAACTTATAAGTTGCCTAGAGATTGGCAGGTGCCATGTGACCATCGCTCCTGCCGTTTGTGGTAAAATCCGGGGTTCGGCTGTGCCTTCCCCACAAAAGCGGGGATGTTTTTTTTATTGGGTACACGTACGAGTAACTACGTACAAGTACTCATTTTACCATTTTTTTTATTATTACATTATTCAAATGCTGTTCACCAAGAACACTCAAGAATCAGTAGAGCAGTCCCCTCCCTTCAATTTCACCCTTTGTCATGCTCTAGCCCACCTCTTCTAATCAGATTTCTACACCTTTACCATCAACCGCATACTTCATCGTCAGCGACCTGATCTTCGGCCCGAAGATAAACACCGGCAGCCCCAGGGCCGAGATCACCCCCATGATGATCGCACAGATCTCCAAGCTACCCTGAAAGCCCTTCTGCGCGATGAATTCCGTGATACCAAAGGAGATCCCGAACGAGATGAATCCACGGATCGCACAGATGAGCACCAGGATCGGCGCGGCGCGCTCACCGTAACTATCCAGCGTGTATGTGAACCCATTGAGGATGATCCCGATGTAGCCGAAGTACATGCCATTGAATGTGGTGACGATGGCCCACGACGACCAGTCGGCCGGGTGCGAGCCCGCGCGACCGTAGATGATCGTGGAGATCAGCACGACCGCAATGGGGAGGATGATGGGGATGAGACGCATCTCGGGCGCCACCACCCCGCCGCGGCGACGGGCAATCCACCGGTGCAGGCGGTCGCCGCCGTAGCCCAGGATCGGCACCATGAGCATCGAGACCACGATCTGGCCGCCTTGGACCAGACCCAGGCTGGTGTCGGGGTAGCTGTAGGGAGGTGCGGCCAGCAGCGGGGCATATTCGGTGACGCCGATGACATAGATCCCCAGGGAGATGCTGTTCATCAGCACCACCCACAGGACCCCGGGAAAGAGGATGCACTGGGCCATGTGCTTCCAGCACAGCGCCGCGGCGCCCCAGTTGGCGGGGCCGTGGTAGATCTTCATGCTGTGGCGGAAGGTTCGGGCTTGATACCGCGTGTAGTCCAGGGCGACCGGGTGCTTGGTCGTTGCGCGCAAGACATTGAGCTCTTGCCCCTCGTGGTGGATGTGGACGCGGCCTTCAAAGGCATCGGTCGGCCGGTCGTACAGGGACTCCGGCACGAAGAACAGGGCCACCACGAACACCACCCCGCTCGCGATGGCGAAGGTCCCGTACCACCACCGCCAGCCCAGAGCGATGACGAGGTAGGATGTCGCGATCGTCAGCGCTGCGGATCCGATCGACTGGATAGCACTGAACCAGGCAAGCCTGCTGCTGCGCTCGTGGACGAAGTGGATTTCCTGCGTCGAGTCACTTAAAGATTGACCGGAGATGGGGGCGGGTAGTCGGGGTTCGGCTTACTTGGATGATCAGCGGACACAAGGCCTCGGATTGACCGGCCGCCAGCGAGAGAATATCCCGTCCGGCGATGTGCGATCCTAGACTCTTACTCGCAGCGCACCAGATGGACCCTACCGTTAGAACCAGAGCCGAGGCAAGGAAAATCGGCCTCCGCCCCACGGCCATGGCCAGCGGCATAGCAATCAGGTTCCCAATACCCATGAACAGGGTCGGGTAGGTCATGAGATCGTTCGTTCGCGGGTCATAGTTGTAGTAGGCGGCCATGGTCGTGGTGAAGGGGCCCATTCCGGAGGTCAAAAGAACTCCCAAGACGGAGACTGTGCCTCTGCAGTTAGATCCAACATCCCAGGTTGAGTGACGATAGCCACAACTCACACATTCCCAGCACAAAGGTAATGACCCACTTATGCCACTGGGGCAGATTGAGAGGATCTGCGGCGTGTTAGCCCTCACCTTCCTGATCGTTGAGCAAGTTCGTCCATACCTCGTGGATCGGGTGAAGGGGTGGGAATCAACACGACTTCGCCATCTTCGACCAGCTTGACCGTGCCCAGTGGCTGGAGCTGGTCTGGAGCGGCCGGCTTGACCACTTCCTCGTGCGTGGTATCGATGTCTTTGGTATCCATGACTGTATGCCGGATAGATTCTCTGCTGCGAGAGAACTCCAGTCTAATGCGTGATCATTCGCCGTTTCAGGCGATGCAATGCAGATATATCTAAGAATTCCTTCCCTTCCTCCACAAGAAGCACTTTCGCCTCTCAGACAGTAAACTTACCCCACGGGGTATACCCTTGCACCCGGCCCTCTTGCCCCCACCCCCCTTGTCATGTTACTCATGTAGGGTTGATAACTCCAAGGTGGTCATTGGCGTCACTGACAGGGTGGGGAAGAGTTAATTGAACGTGGAGCCGAGAGCATAATAGCGGTTGTTGAGGACTGGGGGAAGTGAAGTGGGAGGGAAAGGCTTTAGTGGATTAGTGGATGGATCATCATCTCACCCGAGCTCGCCCGAAGCGGGTTGAGTTGCGCTCGCTTACCAGGCAAGTTACGGAGTACCATGGAATCCATGGATGGATTGCATCGGTTGGGACTCGAGTCTGTGCACGGCTTTTGGGGGGGATGGCCACGTGTTGACCAGACCAGACCAGACCTAACTTATCTTGACGTGATCCACTTTTGCTTCTAACGGGTTGGATGCTAGACTACACAGTACCTCCGTCGTCCGTCTTCGTACTTAGTGCCTTAGTCGTATACACCGGCATTAACGGCAGACTGCTTACCGAGGAGTTGCCCCGGAATGGGGTCCAATTAGGATGAAGTTGGAAATCTACACCTTAGAGCAATGAAAATCCAAATCACAATCATAGCAGGAGTATCATTGTCAAACTAAATAAAACAAAACAAAACAAAACACAAGATCTAGTAAGGAATCACCCCCGCCAGCTTCAACAACCGCTCCGTCCGCACCGGCTTCGTCAGGGGCTCATCTCTCTCCAACGGATCAACGCGTTCCTCCCCATCCACCGTCACCGTCGCCTTGCCATGGGTATACAGATTGGTATGGGGCCAATGGGTGGTGGTCTCGAAGTGCTCGAACAGCTCCGCCTTGGTGCGGCGGTCCGCGTCGGTCATCCAGGCCGCGGGCGTGTAGGTCGCATACACGATGGTGCGCACGACGTCCGACTCGCCGAACCGCGCCCAGTGGACCTGCCGCGAGTCCCAGATGATGAGGTCGCCGGGCTCGGCGCAGACCTTGACCAGCTCGCAGCCGCGCGCGGTATACCACGCCAGGTCCGCCTCGGAGAAGGGGTGGAAGTCCTTGTGTTTGGCCGTGCGCCACGGCGTCGGCCCCGTCACGGGGTTCGCCGCGAAGAAGTCGTCGAACAGGGGCGCCGACCCCTTCATCACCACCAGCCCGCCGTCCGCGGGGCCGGCCTCCGACAGATTCACGATCCCCTGCACGCACTGCATACCCGACCGCTCGGGCGCCTGGTCCACATGCGGCCACGGCTTCGAGTCGTACTCGCCCACGATCGACTGCGGGAGCGTGATGTTCACCGTGTCGAAGGAGACGACCAGCTCGTCCGTTTCCCAGAGCTTGGCGAATGGGGCGATCACGCCGGGTTCACTTCGTGCAGCCGTGTCAGTATTCAGGTCGATATGAGGGGCTGGATGTGACTGAAAGAGGGGGGGGGGACCACGTACCACCGAACGTCCCAGACGTACTTCTCGTGCGCCGCCGAGAAGTGCAGGTACATCCCGCCCTTCCAGCTCTGCGGCAGGTTCTCTTTCTTCCAGGTGGATTTGTCGTGGCGGTCGAACCCCAGCCCGAACGACTCGAGCCAGTCCAGCGCCCGGCTCTGGTATTCCTGCGCCCGCTCCGGCGTCAAGGCGCCCTTGATGACCGCGTAGCCGTTGCGGAAGAATTCGTCGCGGAAGTCGCCATACTGGGGTTTCGGGTTCTGGCTCGACTGGAGCTTCGTCGGCGCCACCGGAGTGGCCTCAGGCGTGTCGATGCGGGAGGGGGCCATGATGTGAGATCGTATGTATGTTGGCAAGTTAGCAAGCAAGATGGAAACTATGGATGTGGAAATCTTGAGTGACGGCGGGAGAGGGTATCATTTGGCCTTTTCTATAGCCTCTCTGGAGGGTCATGCCATTGGGACCGGAATCCGACTTGGCGTCTCCTGGTATCAGAGAGTACACGGTCGAATTGGCCTTCCTCCGAAGGACTGCGACATAGTTGCTCAAGCTGATCCGGTCTAGTGGCTCTGTTGAGTGTGGGGGTGGTCAGCAGGACTGGGCAATCTTGTGGAAGTGGAGAATCCAGAAATGGTGGAGGATCCATGACAATCTCACCCGAACTCGCCCGCCGATCCATCTGGGAAATAAAATACTCCGTATGCATTCAAGTACTGTACAACAAACTCGGCCGAGGTGGCGAACCACGAACCATGAACCATCCATCCCACGCTAATGACAGCCTCGGCCAACTCCAAATGTCCACAACCCGGTTGTCAGATACCTGGAGGAGTTGCAAGTGGGAAACAATGTGACGTTCAATTACCAGTGGGCCCCATCTGGCGTGGGGAATAGCAAGCATGCTCAGGACCGGTGCACCAGGAAGTGCTCAAAAGAAGGGCAGCGCCCTCACCTGGTCCAGGAGGAACAAACAGTAACCTACCAAAAGGGCACCGATCACAATGCCTTCCCCCGTGCCGGTCGCGACACGTCCGATCAACAAGCCCACCGTGGGCAGAAACAACTACCAGCCCTTTGGTTTCCGCGAGGAAACTCTCCCCCAAGGCTGGAGTCCAGACGGCTCACGTCCGCTGCCCTGCGACATCCACGCCTCCCACGACGTGGGAATCCAAGTCCGAGACGGCAGCACTCTCTACTGCGACATCTATCGGCCCGCCAACTCGGACAAGCCGGTCCCGGCCATTCTGGCGTGGAGCCCCTTCGGGAAGAAATTCAATGGCATCACATTACTCAAGTTCCTGCCATGGGGGCTGGGAATCCCCAAGGGTGTTCTCAGCGGCCTTGAGAAGTTCGAGGGGCCCGATCCAGCCGAGTTCGTGCCGCGCGGGTTCGCCATCGTCAACGTAGACGCTCGTGGATCGGGCGACTCGGACGGCACGGTGGGGATCATGGGCACGCAGGAAGCCGAGGATGGCTACGATGTGATTGAGGCCATCGCCAAAATGCCCTGGTGCAACGGCAATATCGGACTGGCCGGAAACTCCCACCTGGCCATCGTTCAATGGTTCATCGCGGCATTGCAGCCGCCATCCCTCAAAGCCATCGCCCCGTGGGAGGCATGCAGTGATCTCTACCGCGAGCAATTCGTCCGGGGCGGGGTCTTCGATGCTGGCCTCTTTGACTGGATCATCGACCACAACATCCAGGGTCACGGCGGCGTCGAGGACTTCCACGAGATGTACCGGCGCAATCGGACCGCGGACACTTTGTACTGGAAGGACAAACGACCAGACTTCAGCAAGATCCAAATCCCCGCCTACATCACGGCCTCCTACACCAGTTTCGTGCACACGATGGGCTCGCTACGCGGATGGCTTCAGATCCCCTCCGCGGACAAGTGGCTGCGGCTGTGCCCCTGGCAGGAATGGTACGACATGTGGAACTGCAAGGACTCCGCCCATGAACTGGCGTCCTTCTTTGACCACTACCTGAATGGCGCCAGCAACGGATGGGAGCAAACCCCGCGGGTCCGAACCACCATCTTACGCTTCAATCAAGACCCGTTGTCCGACATCGTCGAGGAGGACTATCCCATTCCACGCACCGACTATCGCAAGATGTACTTCCACGCCGACGGCACCCTTCGAACTGAGGCCCCCAGTGCAGCGTCATCGCTGTCGTACAACTCGGAGACGTACCAGGACTGTGCAAGCTTCACCTATACCTTCCCAACCCGCACCCGGCTGGCAGGCATCCCCAAAGCGGTGGTATACATGTCCTGTCCCGATTCCCATGATCTCGATGTCTATGTGCTGGTGCGCAAGCTTAATACACAGGGCAAGGCGCTGCTCAATTTAAACATCCCCTGGTCGTCCATCGCAGAGCATGGTGTCAGTCCGGACGACGTTGAGAGTCTCTCTCCACGGGAGAAGACCAATCTGATGTTCCACGTGGGCTCTTTGGGGATCCTGCGGGCGTCAAGACGCGCCATTGATCGCAAGCAATCTCTGCATGAGAACTTTCCCTTCCACCCTCACGACCAGGACGAGTACATCAGCCCGGGCGAGGTGGTAAAGTTGGAGATTGGGATCTGGGCGATGGGGGTGGAGTATGAAGCCGGGGAGAGCGTGCGCGTGGAGATCCATGGGAACAGCCCGCTCCTGCGGGGAGAATTCAAGGAGGATAACGAATTTCAGGAGCTGGCGTCGCACGGGACGCATATCGTTCACATTGGGGGAGAGCAGTCTTCGCATATCATCCTGCCGTTTGTTTGAGATGTAGTACTAATACAGAGACACCACGCGATGAACGATGAAGAACGAGACACCAGCCAGTACTCAGATTACGTAAGTGATTGTAGATATACCAGAAGTAGAAGCTGGAAAATTGATTGATGAATTTATTCCTGTAACTGTCGCAGAAATCTGATCAAACGAAGGAGAGCCCTCTCATGCACGTACGCCCAGCGTACGATCAAGGGTCATACCAACGGGTCAGGGGACACCACCAAGTAAAATTTTGAATCAGAGATGCCTTCATCGCGTCCGTGAATAACAAGGTATGGTGTGCCGAACGCCTTTCTCAGCCTCGCTCCATCCCGGGATTCCCAGCAGCCCTTAAACCCCGAAAGGAGAGCCAGCTGGGGCCCAAGAGGAGAGATGATCGAAAGATACACGCTAGGCTTTCATCATCTGGAGAAATCAAATGTTAGTAACTATCGTTATCAAGTGGTTCGGTTCGAATGTAGCACTCACTTCAAGAAAACTTGGAAGGATGAAGAAGAAAATAAAAAGATGGGCGGAGAATTCCTTTTTTGTAGTGGGCCGGGCAGCGCTAGGATCGATGTGGAAAGCGGAAAGATCCCATCTGCCGTGTCGTGCCGCCTTGGAATCCGCGGCTATCGGATCATCATCCCACTCGGCGTCACTCGACAAACAACCTTCTGCACTTGTGTTTGACCTCAATTGGCCTCTCAGACTTCCGTGAAGCTTTGCGAGGACTGATTGCACTTGATAATGTTCTTGGCCAGGGCGTCGCGATACTCCCCTCAGCTCCGCGCCAGCTATGTCGAGATTTCCAACTACATCCGCGGCCGACGACCGGCGTTGAACCGGACTTTCTATGCGCAGAGCTCCCCTCTACGATCTTCTCATAGCGAAGAATCGCCTCGCGAGCACCTCCCAACTACCAGGAATACATATGAACTGCTTGAAAAGTTCAAGAACTCGAGTAAGTGGTTCCGATCACTCCGCTCTACCTGTTCTCGCGATATCCCGAGACATTGCGACAATACGCCATCGCTAACCATCATCATTACCATCTGCTACAGTCGAGTTTCCGTCCCCGACCTATGACTTCGAGACATTCCTCGCCAACGCCCAGCCCGACCAGGAGGTCGTCTTACAAGGCTATGTCGGCAACCGCAGGGAGCTGTCCAGCAAGCTCGCCTTCGTCCGTTTGACGGACCCGACCATGAAACACAGCGTGCAGCTGGTCTCGACCAAGAAGAGTGGAACCCTGGCCGCCCTCAAGGCGGTGCGCGCGCACAGCCCGGTGGTCATCAAAGGCACAGTCCAGCGGAAGCAAGCAAAGGATGCGGAGATGGCCGAGCGAGACCCGTGGGAGATCGTCCTGGGCGAGATCCAGGCCCTGAATGAGTTCCCGAACGACATCGTCATGACGGGCGACCACGTCCACCCGCCCAAGCACCGCCATCTGCAGCTGCGCTCGAGCAGCGAGCTGCGCGAGGCGCTGCGGTTCCGCGCCGAGGCCCGCAACGTCTGCAGACAGGAGCTGGAGCAGTCGCGCCCGGCGTTCGTGGAGATCGAGACCCCGTTGCTCTTCAAGTCGACCCCGGAGGGCGCGCGCGAGTTCCTGGTGCCCTCCCGCAAGCGCGGATTCGCCTATGCGCTGCCCCAGAGCCCGCAGCAGTACAAGCAGATCCTCATGGCCAGTGGGATCCCGCGCTACTACCAGTTCGCGCGGTGTTTCCGCGACGAGGACCTCCGCGCCGACCGCCAGCCGGAATTCACCCAGGTACGCTCCCCCCGTCTCTTCTCTCTGTTCCAATGACTGACCACGCTGCCCGCAGCTGGATCTTGAAATGTCCTTCGCCACAGGCAACGACGTGATGCAGGTCATCGAAGGCGTGATCCGCCGTCTGTGGTCGACGCTGATGCCGGAGCCCGCGCCCTCGGGCCCCTTCCGCCGCATGCCCTACCAAGAAGCGATGAGCCGGTACGGCTCCGACAAGCCCGACACGCGGTACGGGATGGAGATCTCGCGCATCGACTACCTGCTCCCAGTCGACCTCGTGCAGAAGATCACCCCGCTGACCGATCCGGTCGTCGAGGTCTTCAAGCTCGAAGGCAACGACAACGACCCGGCGGCCATGCAGGAATTCATCACCCAGTTCCTCGACTCGCCCGAGGGCGCGCCCTTCAACGAGAACCCCGACGGCGGGCCGGGGATCTTCGTGGTGGACGCCCGCAAACCGCTCAGCGGACTGCAGCCCTTCGGCTTCGAGGCCGCCGAACACCTGGAGACGACGCTGGGCATCGAGCACGGCGACCTGCTGGTCATCCAGGCTCGGCCGCAGAATTCGCTGACGGGCGGCTCGACGGCCCTGGGCACCCTCCGCCGCGCGCTGCACGCCGCCGCCGTCGCGACGGGCTTCAAGCCCGCCATCCCCGGCTTCGAGTTCCTGTGGGTGGTCGACTTCCCGCTGTTCACCCCGGCGGCAGCCGGCGACTCCGCCGAGGAACCGGGCCAGGGCGGCGCCGCCGGCTTCTCGGCGACGCACCACCCGTTCACTGCGCCCAAGACGGCGGCGGACGTCGACCTGCTCCTCAGCGCGGACCCGACCCGGGCCACGGCGGACCACTACGACCTGGTGGTCAACGGGGTCGAGCTGGGCGGCGGCAGCCGCCGCATCCACGACGCTGCCGTCCAGGAGTTCGTCTTCCGCGAGGTGCTGCGCATGCCCGACCACCGCGTCGCCGACTTCGCCCACCTGCTCGGCGCCCTGCGCGCCGGCTGCCCCCCGCACGCCGGCTTCGCCCTGGGCTTCGACCGCCTCGTCGCCGTCATGCTCGGCCGCGACTCCGTCCGCGACGTCATCGCCTTCCCCAAGATGGGCCGCTCCGGCGAGGATCCCATGGTCAAGGCCCCCAGTCCCATCAGTGACGAGGCGGCTAAGATCTATCATCTGGCGGTGAAGGAGTGAGTCTGCCGCTTCACCTGCCGGTAGTCGTGGTGTCTCTGTATGTGTACGATTTCAATCAAGCGAGGCGGGGTGATAGGTCAGTCTCCCGGGATGTATGACCGGCTGGCTTATGTCCTGTACTGTATTATAATTTTTTGGTATAGAATCTAGAAAAAAGACATCTTTACTTCATTCATCACTCGAATATAGTGCAGCCTTCAGTACTGTTGATATGGTACAGCTAGCTCCATCTACCGAGTCCATCACCAGAGTAAGATCACAAGCACATAAAAACATCAAAGCTCCACGCGACGGCTGTTATACAAGACAAGGCACGGAAGGCCATTGAAACCAACCAGAAAAAAAGGAAAAGACAACGCCCGTCCCACATTCAACCAAAACAGGGAATCTAAAATATAACACGTAAATAGAGGAGTGGGACCAGAATGAGATGCACTAAAGAAAAATTCACATATAACCCCCCAGGCCATGCCAATCATTCTATATCTGGTTTCTGTTTTACACGGTTTTTGGTTTTTGGTTTTGTTTCTTGATCCGGTCTAGGCCCGAGAAGTGACCTGCGTGGGGGTGGTGGAAGTAGCAGCAGCTTCCTCCTCCTCGTCCACGTACACATAGTCGGCCTCATCATCCTCGAGGTCATCGGGCTGTCCGAACGCTTGCTGCCACACGCCATCCCAGAGACCCTTCTTGGTGACCAGGCCGCCGACCAGTAGGACGGGGAGCTGCCAGATACTCGCCCAGAAGAGGCCGCGGGCGCTGCCCTGGCCGCCCTGGTACTTCCAGAAGCGGTAGGCCTCCTTAACGAGCCAGGCGTTGGCGAGGGAGCTGCTGACCAGGAACCCGTGGCCGACGACGCCGACCCACCACAGGCCGATAGAGATCGGGAACATCAGCACCGAGTAGCGCAGCGCGACGCGCGCGTTCATGGCCGGGTTCTTCCAGCAGAGCATCTTGTAGCCGGCGCGTTTGTACTCCTCGCGGATGGTGTGCGACAGCGCGTTGAAGTGAGGGAACTGCCACGCGAACAGGATCCCGCCGAGCAGCCAGCCGCCGACGCTGTCCTCGCTGAAGAGCATGTCGCGCCAGGTGTCGTGGCCCGTCGTCGCGGTCTGCCCGGCCGCGGCCACCCAACCCATCAGCGGCGGAATACCGCCGACAATAGCTCCGACCCAGGTGTTGATCACGTGGATGCGCTTGAGCGGGGTGTAGATGAAGCCGTAGAGGATGATGTTCCCCGCGGAGAGGGCGGTGACCGTGGGGTTGGTGCCGAAGTAGAGCAGGCCCAGCCCGGAGATCGCGGTTGCGATCGCAAAGAGCACGGCCCCGCGGCGGGAGACGAGACCGCGGACGAGCGGGCGGTTGCGGGTCCGCGACATGAGGGCATCGTACTTGGGCTCGAGGAACATGTTGATGGTGTTGGCGCAGCAGCTGGACAGGAAGGTGCCCGCCGTCAGGTAGAGGAATGTGAGGGTGGAGGTTGAGAGGGTCGGAAGCGGGGTCATCGAGGGATCCAGGGCGAGGAGCGTCGAAATTGGGTACATGCCGTAGGCTGCACTTGCGCTCAGCACGACCAGAACAGATAACCGGGGTTTGCAGAGCGCGAGAAAAGCCGCCATTTTGCGGCGCGGGGACGTGGTGGGGAGGGCGGAGGAGAAGGCCGACAGCTGTGCGGAGGCGTCGGGGGGGATGACATGTTCGGCTTCGGCGTCGCTGGCTGCAGCTTCATCCTTTAGTCGTTTCCTGCGGCGGTGTGGAAGCTCTGTCTGCGTTGATTCGGAGGTAGTTGAGACGGGGGAGGAGGAAGAGGTAGAGGTAGAGGTCGGGTGGTGGTCTGATGCTGATTTGCGGGCGGGGGAGTCGGGTTGAGGGTTGCCATTGTTGGTCGACAGCGAGGACAACAAGCTGCTCTTGTTTGCTGCAGCATCTTGGGCGCGATTGGAGGAGAAAAAGGAGCGGTGGAGAGGTGCAGGAGGGGATTGAGAGGCGGCACTGCCGGAGTGAGAGCGGGAAGATGAGATGAAGCCGCGGAGACCAGCGGCGGAGAGACGCGGTGGAGGAGAACGTCTCAGAAGGCATTGGAATGAGATCCGACCGGCATCGCGAGTCGGTCCTACTGCTCGCAAGGAGCAGTGGAGGAGACTCATGACGAAGAGGTGGGACGAGGCAGCAGACAGCCGTGAGGAGGTCGGTCTGTCTGTCTGGATGCAGAGCAAAGCAACGGGATGGGAATCGGAAGGATTGAAGCCAAAGAGGGAAAGATGGCGGGTGCGGGCGACGGCAGGGACCAAGCATGCAGTGCGGCGGCGACCGGTGAGATTCCACCGGTGGATTTGATTATTTGATTGTCATCATCTGTTTTCTTCTGTTTTCTGGGGTTCTTTCTTTCTCTCACACTTCAGCCTACTTAGAAACAAGGCATCCACCTTCTCCTACACACCATCAGCCTTCATCAGCCTTCCTCCTCTTCCATCAAACAATCCACACATCATGGATCTCCTCCAGAAATCCGTCCTGGATCCTCTCCAGCCCGTCCTTCGCCCGATCGTCTCGGCCGTACCCGAACCCGTGCACGATGCGATCATCTCGCTGATCGGCCAGTCCTGCCACAACGCCTTGGTGGTCGACCTCGACATCAGCAAGGACCCCGCCTGTACCTCTCTGGCCATTTCCAAGGCGCTGGGCATCGCCATCGTCGGCGCCAGCGCCATCGTCAAGGTGCCCCAGATCCTGAAGCTGATCAACTCGCGCTCGTCCGCCGGCGTCTCGTTCGTCTCGTATGCGCTGGAGACGGCCAGCCTGCTCATCACGCTGTCGTACAGCGTGCGCAACAACTTCCCCTTCAGCACCTTCGGCGAGTCGGCCTTGATCGCCGTGCAGGACGTGGTGGTCGGGGTCCTGGTGCTGGTGTTTGCGGGCCGATCCGCGGCCGCGGCGGCGTTCGTGGCGGTCGTCGCCGCCAGTGTGTATACCTTGCTGTTCGACCAGACCCTCGTGGATGCGAAGACGATGTCCCTGCTGCAGGCCGGTGCGGGCGCGCTGGGTGTGGCCAGCAAGGCGCCCCAGATTTTTACGATTTGGAGTGAGGGTGGCACTGGCCAGCTGAGTGCATTTGCCGTAAGTTCGTTCTGATTTGGTGTCTCGCCATGCGCACTATAGCTAATTGTCTTGATTCCAGGTCTTCAACTATCTCGCCGGTTCTCTGTCGCGCATTTTCACGACTCTGCAGGAGGTGGACGACAAGCTGATCCTGTACGGATTTATTGCCGGATTCTCGCTGAACTTGATCCTCGCGGCTCAGATGCTGTACTACTGGAACAGCCCGGCCAAGTCGCAGGTCAAGAAGCAGACCAAGGGCAAGCCTATTGCCAGCGCCAGCGCCGCGGGCGTCGCGACCCCGAAGCCTACCGCCACCAGCTCGGGCATTTCCTCGCCCAAGCCATCCGGCAAGACTCCTACCACCCGGCGACGTGGTTGAGTGGCCTCACATCCTTTTTCTTAGCTTCTTTAACCCAGATAATTCTTAGTCCGCTTCTCCCCCGCTCCTTGTAACGCTTGTAACCATTGTAACGAGCATCATCACCTCTGACTCGGCATAATCCCAACGGTCATAAACCGCAAAATCTCATCCAACGGCACAACCGGCGCCACAACCTTCTGCTGCCCCGCATGCCCCGGGCCAGAAGCAGCAGTAGCAGAAACCGGGGCAATATCAAACTCCAACCCCTGCCCCACGCCAGACTTCCTCCTCACCCCAACAATCTCCATCTCATCCGGCTCCCCCTCCCCTTCCTCCTCCCCACTCTCCCCCTCCTCACTTTCACTGTCATCGTCATCATCCTCCAACACCCGCCTCAACCCCGTCACCACATTCCCGACCCCTTGTTCCCGCTCCTCCAGCGTAAAATTGCCACCCCAATTCCTCCGCCGCGCCTCCTGGTTCGCCTCCACCGGCGCCCAATCCCACAGCTCGGCGAGCGCGCCCAGATCGTCCAGCCCATTACCATTCCCGGCAGCCCCAGCTGCTGCTGCCGTCGCACTGCCCCCGTAGCCATTCCCTGTACCCCCCGTACTCCCCGGCACGAACGGAGGCGAGGCAGCCGCCAGCGACCCACCGGCCTTCCGGCCGCGCGCGACCCAGTCCTCGACCCGGGGATCGAGCTTGGTGCGCAGCAGCTGCTCGAGGGCGACGGTGTTGGCCGGGTTGCGCGAGGGGTAGGAGGGGCTTGGGTAGGCGACGAGGGTGGCGAGGAGGTCGCGGTTGTCCGAGAGGTGGTCGGAGATGGTGAGGAGGTTGTTGCTGATGATTGTGGCCTGGGATTGGAGGGAGGTCCTGTCCCATAAAAAGAAAATCAATAAGTGGTGGGTGTGAGTCGGTTTTATCGTTAGTTGGTGTTGCTTTACCCAACTCCCATCAGGACTTGGGTTGTCAGGGATAAGGCTATGAGGGTAGGGGATTGGGGAGGGGGGCACGTCAATGAGGGTTTGTGCATGTGTCCATGACGCTGAAAGGGGAAAATGCAAAAGGGTCGGGTTGGGGTGGGCGTAACATACCATGACGGCAGGGGATCACTCTGGTTCAAACTGGTGATCAACGAGGCCAGGGAATGCGTCAGTTGCACGAGGCGTTGACGCGATTGCTCGAGGGTCTTGATCTGATCCGGAGTGAGGGAGGACATTTTGGTGTCTGCTCGGATTCTTTGGCGGGATGATGGTGGAGGGTGAAGAGGAAAGGTCTATCCCAGTCCAAGAAGAGAGGGCAGATGAGGTGGAGGTGGTGGTGGTGATGGTGAGGTATTGCTTGCTATATCAAGATGCGGGCGCAATGAAGGCGGTGGTTGGCGGAGTTCGACAGGGCAGCGGAGATGTTGAAGGTGTTTATGCCTGAGGCGACCATCGCCCTCCCCGCAAGCAATTGAGGGTCGATCCGCTTGTCGCTTTCCATCTCCTCTCCATACTAACTTACCAGTCTAGTCTACCACAACCACCCATAGTAAACAAAGAACTCTATCCTCCAGAATCCTGGCGCCTAACTCATCATCTTATCCTCACCACTAATCATCAACAGTATCTCTTCTTATCTTATAATCTCCTTCGTGGCTTTCGCCATGAAACACACTCCTTAACCGCCCAACCAGTCATGATCCTGCACCCAGTATCCCGTGTTTATTTATAGACCCCCTGGCAGGGATTCTGCACAACTGTTCACACACACTCATCCTTTCCTCCTTCCTGTCCCCCGCGCTTAACGCACCGGGGAAGTAGAGGATATAAGCCCCGTCTCCTGCTCTGTTCTGCAACAGAGGCGGGGATTTACTATTCAGGGTCTTTTGCAAGCGTTTCTTCTATCTCCACTGTGGGACTCACCTTCGAAACTACACTACCCTTTCAACGCGCTTATGATTCTTCAGACTTCTTCGGAACTCTTTAGATTACTTCACTTCACGAATCTCCATCCATCCAATCACTTGCAATACATTATCAACAAAACTATGTGCAACACTAGAAGGAGAGGGGGGTATACAAGATCTGCTCCTCGCGATGATCCCATCTGATCCGCTCGTCATAAACATCATAAAAGAGACACAATGTGCTAAAAAACAATAAAGACAGCAAACATCATCTGCCCTGTATGCAGGCTAGTCAGTCATGGTGACGACCTCTTCACGTCGAGGTCAGGTCAACACCTGCCAGTGGAACCTCTGGCTGCAACATTCGGCGCAGGAACAGGCTCATGATTTTGAGTCAGACTTGATAGGGAAGAAGTCTTCAGGCTTCTTGCCCTTCTCTTGCGGAGATACCGGAGAAATATCACTCTCCATCGCCACCGTCGTCTCTTTCAAATGTTGCTTGGAGTGTCCCACCACCTGACTGCGGCCATCATTATCCACAAACTGGAAGCCCGAGCCTTCTTGCAGTTGCTGCGGCGGCTGCGGCTGCGGCTGCGGCTGGTACGCCCCCGGCGGATACATCTCCTGCGGCGAATACGCCGGACCACGCCATGGGTGCTCCGCAGCCAGAGTCTTCCATCGCTGCTGCTCCGACGCCCGCTCACGGCGGACATATCTCCGCCGCCAGCCGAGGCAGAAGAAGAGACTCATCGTACACAGACAGACGAAAATCACAAATCCCATCACTGGAAGCCCGATCAGCGTCGCCAGTCGGTAGTTGATGGGATCGTGCGCCGTGCTGTTCAGCAGATCCCTGTTGTAGAAGGGAAGCTGAACTTCTGAAAAGATATCCGATGGACTGATGGGAAAGGCCGTATCAGTGGGCACGGGGAAGTGACACTCATAACGCATCGCCTCGAGAACTGATGATTTCCAACTTCCGTCAGCGGCTTCGTTCTCGGATTCACAGAAGATCATACGCACAATTTGCCAGATACCCCTGCGTGCTTGTCAGGTTGTAGCAGTTACTACAGGTGTCGATGTGGTTGTCGGCAAATGCCCCCGTGGCGCAATAGGCCCGCAGGTTGTTCTGATTCGGGTTCAGCAGCTCAAACTCGAACGCCGGGCTCAGGCCCAGGCACGCGACCAGACAAGGAGTCGAAACCGTGTTCACATCCTTCGGATACCCGTAGACACAGGTGTCGAATGCGAACCGGAGATTATCTGGGCAGGAAACCTTATCAGCGCCTGATGTCTACCAGACACGGAATCAAAACATACAGAGACCCCAGTTGAAGTCACTAATCTGGGTTTCAGCATCGGTGTAATTGCTCTGTAGTTCGCAAGAGACGCATTCTTGGAACTTCCGGCCAGTCTCGGTGGTGTTGTACGACTCGTCCAGACAGACCATCTCCGAGGAAGTGGTGTTGGTCGGGTTGCTACAGACGTCATAGCACGGTGAACCGTAGGTCGCATGCAATGCCCCGGCCGGTGAAGCCAGGGAGGACAGTAGCAGCAGTAACGGTGCTGCTACCGACATGATCGTAGATCGGGAGCTCGGGCCCCGCGGTTCGAATATCATGCCGATGTTCTTAGGGTTGGAATGATCGATCGTTCCTCGGCTCCCAGTAAGACGAGACTACCGGGCTACCTGACAGCCAAACGAATGGAGGTGCTGAGTGCAGGAGGTCGACCGAGCCCAGCATCGAACTCACCGCACGGCAGGAGGATAGAGATAGCGACAGGAAGTGGAAGACCCAAGAGAATCCCAGGGGCAAAGATGAGGGAGAACGTGCACTGGAGGGCACGGGATGGAGGGGAGGGAATCAGAGGGTAGAAATGGCGATGCGGATCCCACGAAATAATGCATGACAAGCTCTTTCGGTTGGACGGCATGAGGGATCGGAGCCATGTTGGGGGACTGATAGAAATGCATGTCACCACCGCAAGGGCGAGAGGAGAACGAACCACCTTGTTTCCGTGCCGGATCACCAAGCATTGGAAGACACTGGTTCAACTACTCAACTAGCATTAACCAGGATTGAACCAGAGCGGGCAAAAGAAAACTCGTCCCCTGGTCAATCGGGGCGCTAAGAAGGAGCTCCCACCCCCCTCTCCCAAGCAGGCGAGGGGCTTGTTGATCACTGTGACAAGACAAATGTGACTGTGACATGTAGTGCAGAAGCTTGCAGTCCCGGGAAAGAGCATGACTCGCTGTGATTTGCTAGCCTGCCCCATGCAGGAGGAGGAGAACAAAAGCACTCCCGAGTCGGCTTGCGGGGTTCGGCGCTTGCACGCAGCCTCGCATTGGACAAGATCTCAACTTCTCAACTCGCCGCAACTGCTCTCAGTCAGCCCTCTTCGCTTCCAACCATGGTTTTCCTGTTTGCTTGTTGATCCTCTGTGCCATTCAGCGAAGATGGTGTGATCGATAGACTTGATCAGATTGATTATCATTGTTCTCCGCCGGAATTGCAACCTTGACGGAGGAAGAGGAGACGCCATCCTTGCGCAGGATAACCCTCCCCCGAACAATACGGATAGTACCGGGAAATATCAAAAACGCCTCCCAAGCAGACAACCGCAAACAAAACTAATTACACAAGACGCCACAATGCAGCAGCTTTAATCATCGGGCTTCCATCCCCGCGAGCTACACCATATGCCTCTCAGCCAGCGCGACATCACCAGCCATCTGTCCTGGGCTGGGGGCTTTCAGACAATTCACAATCACAAAATGCCACTCGACCAAAACGACCCAAAATGCGTAAGCCAGAACAGCCACCCAATGTATCCGCCAAGATCTCTCCATAGACCGTTTACCCATACAGTTCATCGTAAGATGGAACCATCTCCTGTGCTCGGGCAAGCTCCTGCTTAGATCGTCGGCTAGCCCTCCGCTCTGCCAGCGTAGAGGATGGTGGGATAATCCCCGGAATCCGCTGGTCCTCGGACGGATTCGAGGGAACTGAGGAAGTATAGCTGTTATGTCTCGACCCGACCGTCCCTGGCATCGACACTGGAGACTCTGCCAAATACCCCTGGACACTACATCCGCGCATACGCGACGTCACAGACAATGGGGGCGACTTGGACGCTCGCGAGTAAAGTTCAGAATCCTCGTACAGACTGGGCCGACCGGAGGAGGGCTGGTGTCGCCCGTTCGATACATTCTGCGGTGATGGAACGGTTGCCCCTTCTGTCTCTTCCATCGAGCCATCGTCGGAGCACGAATGATACCAGGCACTCGGCGGATGAACAACGGTTGATTCATACGAGTGTTGCTTCTGCCTGGAGCGATTACCCACTCGCGCATCGTAGTGGCCCGTAGGAATGGTCATGGCTGAATCGACGGATTGTGCTCGCCCATCTCTGCTGGCCGGTTGTCCCGAAGCTCCTATGCGAGGCGAACTGGCGCATCTACCAGGCTCGAGCGAGTTTTGTCGCCGTTCGCGGTCTCCATCAGATGTGCGGGCGCCCGCACTCGCTTGATCCCACTGGTTCCAAGAGCCGCCGTTGGGATAGGTGATAGATATGTCGCCCCATCGTGAGTGCAATTCGGACGATAGCTTCCGCTTCCTTCGCAGTTTCTGCATGAGGTTCGTCATAATCGCAAGAGGACTTTTCATGGAATGAAGCCTGAAGAGGCTGAGATGGGATTAGCATCGACGGCCGAGCCACGGAGGATCGAAAAGTTGAGGGCCAAGGAAGGAAGAGCCGAGACATCCACAGTACCTTTCAAGGATGGGGTCCCCCCAGTGTGAAGCCGGTCCCCCTTTCTTACCCAATATTCCCTCCACTACAACGTAGTCCCTGAAGCTGTCTCAAAGAGGAAGGTAGTCGAAGGGACGAAGACCACCATGCGGCGCCGCAGGCTTCGAGACCTGTCTCTATCGAGGCGGTACAATTTACTCGATGACAGGAAAATTAGGCCGGCCGAGGGGCTCATGCATATCGCTCAAAAGGTTGATAGATGGGGGTCCCAGTCAGAGGGGACCGACAATTGGATTTCCTTCAGGCAATTCCTTCAGCAGCGGCAGGTAGTCATCCTGGGCCAGGCGAGTCAGTGACGGTCGCACGGGTGTGTAAGGCATTCACACACGACCCGACAGTCTGGTTCGCACACCCTCATCGCAGTCATTTCGTCCGGGTGGAGTGGGGGAAGAAAGTCGAGTGAGGGTCACTTTTATCCGAACACAAATCGCTTTTATGAAAGCGGCACGGAGGTTGGCCGCAATCACCGCCATTAACGGGCGTTTGAGGCAGGAAGGGGGTCTGGTCCGCGTAACTGCTGGGCAGGGGTGAGGAGGTCAGTCGCGAAGATGTGGACGCGGCGCAGTCAACTTGCTTTTGCAAGTTGCTAGCTGCGTGCAGCTACTGGGATGGCAGACAGCAATGCGCCTAATAATTGGTCGTCGTCTTGGCATGGCGCATCTAGTGACCTCGGCGTCAACCAGCACTGGAAGACTGGGAAATATCCTTGTCGAGGCTAGCAGGTTGGTAGTATCGATTTTGAGACATGCCATGGTGAAGACGGATGAGGCGATATTAACCGCTCGAGGTGATAGCTGGAGGCCTCGTAATAGCTGAAGCAAGGGCGCGAGATTTGCGCAATTCACTGGTCAGCAGGTAATTAGGGCGAGGCCAGTGGTTCGGCCGGCGTCAGCAAACCATTTGGCTGTTCGCCTAGGAGGCCAGGGTCTGGCGACGAGAAAAGAGGGGAAGCCGCAAAGGACAACCACCGGTTTGATCGTCGCGGCTGGACCCGAACCACCCGCAGAGCTTATCTACGCGCCTGGATGGATCCCCTCCAGCAGACGAGGAGTCATTGTCACATCTCGTCGTCACTCCGCAGCTTGTCGGCTCCGAGGAATCCTCCTTCGTTCTCTAGCTGCAGGGCGGCGACCATGACCCCCTCTCTGGTGACCCTAGCAAGAGCGGGAATTCTCGAGATACCCAGACCATATGGCCAGCCCACTGATCGTAACCTTTTCTCCTTTGGGTTAATGGACGCAGACTGGGTGCCTGCAAAGTCGTCGTCTGTCGGCTCGCAAACGTTATGGCGTGTTGCACTTGTTGCCGAGTACCCAACAACCAACCCCCACCTCCACACATGATAGGGTAGACTATAACCTGTTTGTTCCCGGTGTTCTAGCCGCCGGACGTAACCATTCGAGGGATCAATCCATTTCCCTCCGCGATGGACGAAGTACTAAGGCGACTCCAGCTGAGCTGTCGTGCGTCAGTAGACTTGAGGACGGGAAGGAACAGCGAGGCGTGAGGGGAGAGGGGTAAGAGGAGCTTTGAAAAAGTACCAACCTGGAGTTGAGTGACACCCCTCAGGGAAGAGCTGCTTCGGTTCAGCTCATGTAACAGCATCTGCCATCGGACCCTTCGAGGTAGATCGCCAATAGCATCTGTAGACGCTGAGCCTGTAGGACTTTGGCGGAGTAGCTCCAACCACGAGCTCATACCATCTCTCTGTACCCCGTCGTTGGTGTGCTGTTGCATCTTCTCCATCCTCTCTTCCTTTTCGTAATCATAAACATCAACATCACAAACATCATCATCATCATCATCATCATCATCATCGTCATCATCATAATGCATCCAAGCAGCTTTGTCCTCCATGCGTTCAGTCAAACACAAGTCGACCAACCATAACAGGAACGAGCGCTTTCCCAAGGAATGGAAAGCAAAGGGACAAGAGAGGTATCAATCTATAAGCGAGCGACAGAAAGGTCTGAGAAAAACAAAGAAAGAACTTCCTCCTCTCGTGATCATCGAAGATCCGTCACCAGTCTCGACAACACAGGTCTAGGCCGTCGCGGCATCTGCTGTGCTGTGCCATCTAAGTTATTAGACGAAGCAAGAGAGGCATCATCATTCAAGTCCCGCAAGGGACCTATCGTGGGTGAAGGCTGAAAGGAGAATCTAGGAGTAACCAACGAGTCCCGCTGAGCCATGATGGGAGCTGGTGGACTCAAGATCGACGACGGGGGTCTTTCCTGCTGAAGACTCAGTGTAGGATAATGATGATAGGGGATAGCGAGCCCAACAACCGGAGCAGGAGGGGAAGGGGCATCGACCCTCTGATATCGAGAAGGGTCATAGGTGGGTAAGGGTTGAGGTTGATAGGCTGGGGGTGGATCGCGAAGGAAGTCATCGACCGGGCTGTGGTAATGAGCTGAGAGACGCGACATGGGCTGGGTTGGGGGAGGGAAGGCCGATAATATTGTTGTTCCTCCTCCTGCTTGTCCCCTTCCTTCTTCGAGCTGCTGCTCCTTCTGGTTGGCGTCGAGATCACGCAGAGCGGGATAGTAGCCCAAGGCGTAGGAGATGTGATGGTCGATGAGGAACTGTCGGTCCTCACGACGTTGCATGGAGCGTCTCTTGTGGCAGAGGAAGGCCAGGATGCCGGTCACTGTTGTTGGGCTGATGGTCAGTTTGGCCGAGTTTGTCTTCTCGGATTCAGTCCCTTCCCTTTCCATGTTGGTTGTGTCGTGAAGGCGACAACAACAACACAGGAACCAGACACAACACAACACAACACAACACAAGAACAAAACACGAGACAAGACAATTCATGATCAAGAAGGACAAATTGGAAATTTCAAGGCTCACCAGCCACCAGCACGACACTCCCAAGGACCACTCCAATGATCATCCCATCCATACTCGACGATGAGAGACCCGTCGATCGCACCCTGAGGATCCGTGGCTTCATCTTGTATGTGTTCCCTGATGTCTGTCTATCCAAGTCCAAATGATATCGACTGACTTGACCGACTGATCGACGACCAGACATACATCCAATTGAGCAAAAAGATAAAATCCCAGTACACTGCGTCTCGTTCTCCTCAATTCACACGGAGGAACCCAGAGGACAGCGAGAACAAGCACATGCACACTCCACACACACACACACATACAGCAATCTAACCCACAACACGCAAGAACAAAGGGCAGAAAGGGGCGAAGGGGAAAAAAGGTAGCAAAGAGCAAAGAAGAGAAACCCCAAGAACGGGGCAGAGCTGAACGAACCGGCCGCCACCTATCTTAAAGTAAGGTGAGAAAACCAGGATGACTGTCAAAGCACCCTCATCGTTCCCCTTGGGTTCGTTCCTCTCTCTCTCCCGCCTGGTCCCTTCCAAAAGCTATTTTAATCTCAACGGGACATACTGGTGGGTTATGCATGAATGGAATCCCTTAGCCCTTACAGATGTCACACACATGCTCCCCCACCCGCGTTTACTTTACCCTTGATCCAGGGCTGAAGAAAACAAGCATAGGCGCAGCGTGGGTCTCCATTTCTTGTCCGGGGGGGAAGAGTTAAAAATAGTATACTATACCTTTGAGAAGAACTGTCTCCTGCAAGAGGCGGGGGAGAAAAGAGACCAAAGAGTTAATCGATTGGATGGTGATAGTTTGATCTCCCCTCTCTTATCATGCCCTGAGCGCATGTGCAGTGAGTGGGTGGTCTCTCTCGTATCGGCCGGCGGCTATTTTACTTGTCGGTTGGGTTGCTGGGATGCGCGGACCAAAATAGAATCAAGAATCAAGCTATCGCTCTAGTCTGGATCTATATTTATACTGTTTGATAGCTGCTCATTTCCGTAGATGACTAGCTATATAGCAGAATGTTATGCAATTCTGTTTTGTCTTGGAATGTGTCTTTCGTGGGTTATGGTTTCGGCTTCGGTATTTGGCGAAGTTGCCATGTCCCGAAAGATACAGTACAGTACCATCTGAAGATTCTCCTCATGTGGGCATTACAAAAGAACAATATATTCCACATTATCATATCGCGATCGCTAATATAAAATATCGACACACTCCCCGCTCTCAACTCCTCTATTCGTTCATTCTACTCCGCATACGGGCGGTATACCGCGATGCCTTTCTCCGTGCTCAGGTCCAAGGCCACCCCCGCCCCGATAAAGTACGTATAGCCCTCGCGCAAGTCGAAAGTCGTCCCGTCACCACCGGCCACAGTCATTGTGCCATTGCCCTTGGTCACGATCAACAGACTAGGACCGCCGACTGGCTTGTATGTCTCCTTCTCGCCGGCCCCCAGACTGGTGCCCAGGACATTGAACTCACTGAACGGCGGGGCGTACACTTCCGTCTTGAAGTGCTCGCCCTTGTCGCTCTTCCGGCGCGGCAAGATCGCCTCGTCCGGGCCATGCGGCTTGAACGACAGCGCGCGGGTGAAGAGGTCGACGCTGTCCTTCTCGGCCTTGGGGCAGAAGCCCGTGTTGAGCACGTTGTCCGACCGGGCCATGCACTCCATGATATCGCCGTGCAGGTACGCGTGGATACTATCCGCCGGAACGCAAACCGCCTCCCCGGGCCCCAGCGTCATGTAGTTCATAAGTAGCACTGCCACTAAGCTTCCGTTGTCGGTCTCCGGGTATTGCTTGCGTAACCGGTCGAGGAGACCAGGGATGTACCGCTGGTTGGGCCCGAACCGCGACTCCGGGATCTCCAATAGCTCCTTAATCGTCTCGGCGACAATGGAGGGGGGCAGCGTCAACAGGATCCGGCAGATCTCGCGGAGCAGCTCGTCGTCGAGGCCGGAGGTTTGGCCCGGGGGCACAAACTGATCGAGCGGCTTGACTTTCAGCAGCTGCTCGATCTCGGCCAAGGGCTTGAAGCCCGCAAAGAGCTCGAACTTCGACAACGCGATGGCAATCTCCGGCTTGTGGTTGGGATCACCGAACTTGCTCGGGTCCTCCTGGTGAAGCTTCTCGGATAGAGCCTTGTCAGGGTGTAACTGCAGGGGGAGCGCCTTGGAGAAAGAGAGGATCTGTTCTTTCGGTTAGACTGCTTGCGCTGAGCAATCGAGGCGCGTTGGCCGAGGGTTTGTTTCATACCTTAGGTAGGTAAGGCACCTCCGGACCCCATTTGTCCAACGCGGACTTGCCCACAACCTCTTGGTTCTCTTTCAGGTAGTCGCTCAGCAGCTGTCCTGTGGACAGGATTTTGGAGGGAACTGTAGGGTATGTTCCCATCCACATCTGTGACTTGTCAGTAGCTGAGCCGCCAGGAGCGGTGCGATCGTAGAGCTCACTTCAGAATAGGTCTTGGAATCATCAACCTCTCCCGCTCCGGGTGTTTTGGACCAGAGCACACCGGCGAGGGAATCCTTTCCCTTCTTGCCCCATGGGTCATTCTGGAAGCTAATTAGCACGTGTTGAAAAAAATCGAACGGACTTGGGATGATCGGCCATACCTTAACACCACATAGCAACTGAACTACTGAATCTGGCATGGTGGGCAACGTAGTAATGCTATATATATAGGTTCAAGAACAAATATCGAATAAATGTCGATCCATGGGATAGAACACATTCCCCCGAACACTATAAATCAATCTCCATAGTTATTCTGTTGCTTATCTGATGTGCCCTTGAAGTGCGTTAACATGGCGTCATGTTGTGGGGAGTCGACTTGATTCGAGGCCTGGGTTTCATGGCGTCATGTCCTTATCATTGTCAGGGTTGTTCCTTTCGGGATTTCCACGACAAGGTAGTTTCAGGTACCACGGCAAGATCTTGCTCTCGGCTTGACAGCTCCCAAGCCGAAGTCAGCAGAGATATTAGGAGTACTAGTACTGAGGATGAGATCCCGCCAATTGGGTGCGGAAAATAAATTCCAACATTTGCGGGAGTCACACCTGGAATGGAGAGACTCGTCAGGTTGACGTCAGCCACTCGCCTCAAGGGTTAGTAATTCGGACAATACAAGTAATTAATTGAATAATTGAATCCGAATGAATCATCAAACTATTCCAACAATCGATGCTTGTGCACACATACTGACAATAATGTATGATTGATTATATTATGAATATATACAGTGAGTACTGAGTAACTAAGTTACCGGCTTCTACCGGAACTCTCAAAAAAAGCAATTCAGCCACCAAACGCCATGCCAAGAGCGGTGCTATGCAAGATTTGAATCGGTCTGGTTCCGTAGGCCGTCACGGGCATTATCGAACGTCGATGCTCATGTCTCGTTGCTGAAGTCATTCGTATAGCTGGTCTGGATCAGGTACCATGGCTGTGGTCATGTACTTCCCCAGCCGAGTAGCTCTTTTGTCAAACGTCGAGAGCTTGAGACCCCTCTCCACCGAAGCGCTGGCGCGTCGGCTACTGCTCGTCTCGCTTCGGCGCGGGGAGGCCAAAGATCGCGATTGTCTAAAGTGATGGTACCCCCCCTCAAACACTTGGTCTCCGGATGCATCTTCGAGCTGGTCAAAACGGGTCCGAGGTCGCGCACGCCGTTCCAGAGAGCCTTCATCGTAAGGGATATAGGAGCTCGCACGACGGCTGGAATGAAGCTCTGGCGAGATCGCTCTAAGCTCTTCTGTGAATTGAGCGCCAGCGGGTATGTATTTGAATCGTGGAGAACGGGGCTCTGGGAATGCTGTCTTTTCAGCGATTTCGGTGGGGTAGTCTTGCTGAATGGGTCTGTAGGCGAACTGAGACCGTCTGCGTTCCGCTTTGGTGGTGGGCTGTTGGTCTTTCTCCTGGGGAGAGTCGTTCGAGGTCTTGGATCGAGGATTGAGCCGCACAGATAGTCGGCGCGGGTTTAGAGCTTTGACGAACAATGAGCTGGGCCTGGCAATTTGATGGTCATATTCTGTCAACGGGGCCGTCTCATCGTCGTGGCCGCGACTCATGGCGGCAGGCACGAAGCCCGTGCTGCAGGTCCCTTCTCGGAGCGAGGACTGGCGAGGATTCTCATATTGATTCCAGGACCCCTCAGTCGGAACGGTGATTCTTACGTCACCCCATCGCTCATGAAGTGGCGAGGGAGAATCGTGTTTTCGGAATCGTCCCAGAGGACCTTTCACGGCGCTTGCCATCACGAGGGATGTTTCAAGGTTGCAAGGTTGGATTGTTGGGCACCTCGAAACAGGAACAACCAAAGAAATCAACAGTCAAAGACAGCAAGCACCTCAATAGCCAGAGCAAAAGCAAAGAAAAAGCCGCATGCTAGGGTTTGGGGGAAGCAGTCGAGCACCACTGGGATTTCAAGTTGGTGTTGGTGGCTGTCAGCTTTGGCTGGACAGCTGGACAGCTGAACTCTGGGCAAGCGCTTGTAGAAACACTGAAGAACACAGCTGAAGAATGTGAGGATAATCCAATCGGATCTTCGTTCCAGGCAGTTCTTGTAAGCACAGACCCAAACAAGGCTGAGAAGTGAATCCTTTGTGATCCGGGGGAGACGGTTGATATAAAAGCTTATCCACAGGAACGCAGTCGATTAGGATGGAGGGATATTTGTGTCATCGTGCTGTAAGCCAGAAGCAAACAAGCGACATACGATGCTGCATTATGCAAACAGGAGGTAGGAAGTGTATGTTTCCAACATTAGAAGCACGTAACTAGCATGGAGGTGAGCTTGGAAAGCATACTACTCCGTAGCTGGAGATTAGCCGCCGATGTCCCTGTAGATTGGAAGTGGAGAGCGGGGTTAGCCTGAGGCAGCTAGTACTCATATGTGCAGTGTCTACCTAGTACTATATTAAACTCAACTAATTAGTAGCACTGCAGCGGGTGCAACCCAGATTGGGGCCATCTATTGGATCGTTGGACTGCCAGACAATTAGCGATGCGCCAGAAAGAGGGGAAATCGCGTCGCTTCCAAGCTCTGTGCAGTAAAGCGATTCGCAGCAAGTTAGCGCTGCCCATCACCTAGTAGGTGTCGGGCGCATAGGTACAGGTCACCAGTACTAAGTATATGCATACTATTTACCAATTAGGTATTTAGTCGTACAGTCCAAGCCAATCGTGAGACCTCTTCATGCGCCCATGAACCTGTTCTATTTTTGAAAGACACAATTGACTCCATCCTGTATGCATCATGCATGTCATTGTAGGTCGGCCAGCACAAATACAACTCACCTAGGAAGTTCAAAATAGTAAATTGTCGAGTCAGCAAATCACGAAGCTCCATTTATCTGATGCAAGTCTATGGCTAGGTAGTGCTATCTAAATCTGGCCCAGTCAATGATCTGCCACTCTAAACGCCGGCTCCTTACATCTAGGCTGCTCATGGACTCGGGTCATATACACTCTTAAGGCCGTAGGAAAAGGTATGCGCCAAAATAAACAAAAATGACTGGGTGATGCAAAAAGACTTGAGAACGTGAAAAGAGCACACTTGCCACATCAAAGCACAGACAAGGATGTGCAGCGTTCCTTGAAACAATCATCGATTCATGTCAAAGTGTCAAAGAGGACCTGCTGGGGTTTTTGGCATGGGTCGTTGGTGTCATTCGCAGCAGTTGGCGGGAAGGTGATAATGACGTCTCGTGCATGCCACACGATACATATTCCGGAGAACGAGTGGCAAACCCTTGAAGTGGCGATCGCACAGATGGGCCGGAGGACGATGAGGAACCCGGCGTCGATTGTGAGGATAATGAATCACTTTTGAGAGCCATCCAAGAATACGGGTGATCTTGAGAGCATGGCTCCCAGGTTCGCCAAGTGCTGCTCATCTGCGGCCGTTTGGGAGACAGAGTCTGTGTTTCTTCCTCGGTATCAGATTCCATGGAAGAAGGTTCGTCACCATTATTGGAGGAGTCCTCCCGCTCCTCTTGCGTGCGTTGCTGATGATCGTGATTCCCACAAGCAGAGACCACGGGGGCAATGCTCTGTGATTGATCGGATAAGAAGACGCTTCGAGACCTCGGCAAGTGTGGGGTGTTTTGGCGGGTATTGTGATATTTGGCGGGCTTTCTTCGTTCCAATTCATGGTTGTACGAGCTTCGTCTATTCAGCATGCGCCCACGGCCACCACTGCTATCTAGCGACTCGAGCGAGTAGCTGTTGAGACTATTATCTGACCGGACGCCGAGTTTGGCAGGACAAAATGCCACCCGTGCTCGCATTTTCTGTACCGCTATATCCAAGGCCAATTCAATGGCGCAATGGTTTCGAATGCGCCCGAGCTTGGGCCATGTTGCACGTTCGCCACTCAGGCATGCTTGAAGCATGAACTCGGTTGTGGGGTTCCTCAGCATCACCGGGAAATTGCTATACAGTATTTTCGGATAGATATTGATATCGCCGGAATATTTTTGGTTCACAATAGACATGGTCTTCGTCAAAGCTGTTGGACAAATTCCCATTTCGGAGAGAACTGTCAAGCGATACATTATTTCGTCTTTGGCCAGATGAGTGGCAGTATGAAGCCACTGTGGGGCATTGAAGGACATTTTTCCAGGCTGATGTGGACCATCGTCATTCGGCAAGAATGGGACGACATGTGGATTGACCTGCGAGACGATAAAATGATTGACATTGAACATCTCCGAAAGCCGATTCATTGGCAGGTCGCCATCCACCGATCCATCGATATACTGTTTGTGTAAGTCATGCCAGGGCGCCGGCTCTCCGGTCAGAGGATCTTTAGCCATGAGCTCGGATGGTGAAAAGACCAAAGGCACTGAGCAGGAAACAGCACTATTGAGGTTAGTCTCGAGGTCGACATGAAGGATGTTAAGATTGAAAAGCAAAAAGACGTCTTACACAGCAGACCAGATCAACACGTTCGGAGCAGTGATATAGTTCAACAACTTGGGAAGTTCGTAGACCCCCGCACTAGAGACACAAATATTGAGTATTCGTCGTGTTCGATTGTATGCTTCCTGAAATGTTATATCGCCAAGCCAGCTTCTCATGAGTTTGGCCAGATGTGAAATATCCAGAAATGAACCATACTTGAGGAACCGGGCTGTCTTCTGTAGTATATTATCTGTGTCACTCTCTTCGCCAAAGACTGCAAAATCGCCATATGCATAGGATTCCAAAAGGGCCGGAAGCTCGTCCTCAGTCCGTGTGCAGAACACTGCGCACACAATGCTGCCGGCTGAAGCACCCGAGATAATTCGAGGTAAGAGTTTCGCTTCGTAAAGAGCTTTCAGCACGCCGATATGGTTCATGCCGAAGGTCGCACCACCCGAGAACAGCAACGCGCTGCGCCCGAATGCCTGTCTCGCTGCAAGTAGTTGATCGAGTATATACTTGGTTTCTAGACCATCACACCGATTTTGCCCCGATAACTCGACCAGCGAGGATATTGTGTCTAGAGCGGTGGTGATATACTTGTCTATCAGATCTTTCGTGCCCAGGTGGGAGTACCGATAAAGCGAGGCATTACTCATGTTTCCCAAGTCGCGACTCAAAGACGTACGGACTAGGAAGAGCATCCGGCTGACATCACAACTGATGCGGGCGTCTTCTAGCTGCTGAAGACGTTCTTGGACCAGACGGACGTCGTAGTCAGGTGAGTCGAGGGTTTGCTTCCAGATGGTGTGCTCTTCCAGGTCATCCAATTCGCTAGCACAAATCCGCCACTCGTCATATGTCACTGCCTGTACCCAGGTGTTAGTTAGATGGCTACCAATTCATTTTCATTACCTCCGCTGGAGAAATTGCCAGCAGTAGACATCGTAGCTCACATTCCGCTTTTTCAAGTAAAGAACCTGTTTCCTGTCTTCTATGTCAATGCGCGCTGTGGATTGCTCGGCACATACGCCATCTCTGCGGTAGTTCAATGTATCTCCAGCCCATGTCAAAGAGCTCTTGACAACGGATGACAGAGAGGGGACTGAGATGGACTTGAGCAGAGAACGCCGAGGCCCGCCGCTCGCGCCTCGAATCGCATCCTGAGTCGGACGACGCTTGGATTTACTATTGCACTGAGTGCGCACAACGGTAGGATCGTGGAGTAATGACATGACAGACTTGGGCCCGCATCAGTCCATGTATGAGGAAAGACGCATGCGAGATAAGCTTAGAAGAAGACGTCCGCAGAGCTAGAGTAACAAGGACGATGATTGTGGGCTGGAAAGGTCTGTGGATGATTCTAGGGGTGGTTGAGAAGAGGAAGGAACAAATAAAGAAGAAAGTACAAAGTGCTTTTGCTTGGTATGCGTGGGGGAACGGGAAAGGGGGGTAAAGTGATGTAGAATGGAAGTGGAAGTGATTGTAGTGATATAGTCAAGTGAGATTGGTATAGTAAGCTTGGGATGGATGAATGGCAATAGTTCGTGAGATTCTAGGATGGATGGATGGATTAAGTTGTTGTTAGGCACTACTCCGTACTTAGTCCCTAGTCAGTTCATAGAGTGCGAAGGGTATAGAAAAGTAAAGTAAAGTAGAGTAAAGCAAAGTAAAGTAAAAAAGGGTGTGAGGACAGGGATCTGGGGGTTATGATTGCAGACAGATTGTATTGAAAGGCTCAGTCAGCAGCAGCAGCAGCAGCAGCTGATGAGACCCGGGGTTGAATTATGGGTGGGGAAAAGAGGAAACTCTCCAAGGTCTCACTCAACCTAAACGTCACGAGGCCGGCCGGAGATTCAATCTCCCCCGCTGTCCTCTTTCGGCTGCTGCCGATCCTCCCTGTCTGCACTACTCACTAACTTACTCATACTGGACGCGGGGACAGAAAGATGGAGCCCCGGGTCGGAATGATGCCTACATAATGGCATCCCTCAGTCTCTGGAATAGAATAGAAGGAGGGTTGCTTGCCTAGAGGGGCAACTGCCTCATGCTACCTACCTACTGGAGTAGTAACTGTCAAATGGGTAATATCCCTCATCGGGTCAGATGCTGCAGTACGGTGATTGACGAACCTGCTGAATAGAACTTGAACCACACAAATACAACTCTAATCGGATTCGCCTGGAATGCGCCTTGATGCCATCATGCACCACTCATCCTTATTGCCCCCCTCTGGCCCCCCACATCAGCACGGAGTTTTGAGTCAGATACTTTCCCAACACCAAATATTCCCTCGAATGCTCTAGGTTTATCTTTTCGGCCTGATCCTGTTAGAGTAATTCCAATACTAGCACCCGCTGGTCTCACTTCCCCCACATTTGTCAGTCTATATGTACTGTACCATCGTTGAGTAGGGATAATTCTTGTCTTTGAGGTTCTCGAAGGCGAAAAATGTAGAACACCAACAGACTGCAAACAGGGTTCCATGGGCAGGGGTGAGGTAATTATTCTTGCTTGTTTGATGAACGCGTCCAGCTGGATCCGCGTCTGGTGCGGTTCTTCATAAGGTGCGATCTTGCATGGAGGTGTGCGACCGTGGTTGCCGTGCATCGGAAGTCCAAGGGTCCAATAACAAGGGAGCCTTGCATCAACTACCTCTGACGAGGATGGGTTAGTTACCCACTATCGTGAGAAAATGTCCTTGCAGGCTGCGATGGCCTTGGCGTGATTGGTGTGGTGGTGTCGGTCACTTGGTTGCTCGAGTGTGATAAGGAGGATATCAGGACTATCCCAGCTCACACACCTATCTCCCTCCATATGCTTAGGACAAGGCTGATATTTTCTTTCGAGTTCGAATTCGAACTTTGCGTTGCATTTAATTGGGTATTTTGTCGGTCTCCCCAGACCAGGATGGCCGGTCATGCGTACAGACGAGTTTCACATGCTACCTTGCTTATTATAGTCGAATCCCTGGCCCGCATGTGAAACTGACTTCTGGTTGGCAGTACTCATTCTTTCGGGCCCCATGCACCGATGGCCATTGTATGGAAGATAATCTAGACTCATTCGCTCTCGTGATGTAATCCACATTACCTACTGACCACGGCGCGGGTATTAACGAATTCGACATAGCCAGTTCCTGATAGCGTCTCTGGCCTGAGATCGGACACCATCCTCAATCCAAAAATGCCCTGCTCCATCGATCTCAACCGACTGGAACTTACTCGACGGATTCTGGCTGAGCTCTTTTGACCAAGTCTGCAACTTATGTGCGGATGTGAACGTATCCTGGTTTCCATAGAGAGCAAGTGTTTCATGCGCGCACACCTGGTCTGCTGGCTGCGGACAAGGAATCGACTGCCTCTGAGACGACTCAAACGGTCCGATGTCAAGCGACAGCTTGGCAAATAATGTCAGAAACCGGTTAATTGGGGGCAAGATGGGTGAGATAAGTAAATAGGCGACCCTTGTTCTCTCAATGGTGCCCGCGGCTTTTTTCATCTCCTGAGGCGTGTATTTCTGTTGTTCGAGAATGTCCTTGTCTTCCTCTGAACAGTAAACAAGATCTCGAGCGATTTGGTAGATCTCATGCATGGGAGTACCATGGTTACTTTGCCTGACAACATCCGCAATCAGATCTAGGTGCGGCAGAGACGATGCAATCATTGACCCATATGAGTAGCCGCCTAATACGAGCTGCACCGCTTCAAGCTTATTTCCGCCATTCTGCGATGAAGTAGAGCATGTGTCTCTCAAGCGATGTAGATAGAGCAGCATGAATTCGTAGAAAGAAGCGTAATCGGCCAGTTCAGGCCTGCCGGTCCAGCTTGTCCGCCCTTCAGAGCCACCGGCGCCACTGTAACACATATTAGTTTGGAACTAATGAAGGGTTTCGGACTGTCAAGCAGCTGACGGATGGATGAGACATCTCGGCGAAAACGATATCCCAGAAACACACAAACACACACACACAAAAAGGGTGGCAATGCTTACCGGAAGTTGAAGGTGCCCACCACGAACCCAGCTCGGAGAAGCTCCCCTGCAACAAAAGCCACGACCGGATCGTCGTAGCATCCTCCGAGAGGGGCGTACGGATGTGCAACGATCGCACCTCGTATCCGCTGACATGACGGACTGCTGGGATTCAACTGTCCTTGTGGATGGTAGATCCGGCAGTCGAGCCTGAGTCCATCATGGAGGGACGGAATAGTGAAGGTGTGCGTTGCGGTGGGGAGGTGCATTGTCAGAGGCGAGTGCCAGATCCACCCTCAGCACATATATATCTGTGGCATATCACTGTGATGCTGGAAACTTCTTGAGTCGTGTGTGTGGGACGGAGACGGGGAACAGGTTACTTGGCTTAAATGAAATCAGCAGGCCTGTTGATAGGGAAGAGATTAAAAGAGGAAGTACGAGCGTACTGCACTGTACCTTGTGTGGGACGCTCGCTGGTCGGGCCCAAGCGTTTACGGAACCCAGGCAAAAGATGGTCAATGAGCCGCTGCTGCAATTTGTACTGCACAGCTTCCCTTCATGGTTGCAGCAATACCGTCAAGGAACATTAACTGTAACTTACCCAGTGCTATACTTCGGGGTCACAGGAGGCTCATGCAATACATATGTAAATATTTGCCCACAAACCTATATATCTACCAGTATAGCCCCTCCAAAGGACGGCTTGGGGTCATGCAGACATCATCCCTTGTGACATTGTTTTCGTAATGCGCTTGTCCAAATATTATAGGCATGATGACTAGTCAGCGAAGTGGTTGCTGTCCTAATTCTAGCTTGTTACTCGAATCATGTCAGATTATAATTCTGTGTTGACTAAAGCAAACACCTGAAAGCAGCAGGCAAAAGATGCTTCATGATTAGAATGTATAGATATCCGGAGGCTTTCAAGCTACTTTGATCGGAGCTAGTAATATCTTCCAAGTAAATGAACCAGGCACTGGGTGTACATATCGGTCACGACTCTGGGAGTAGCCAAGCGGGATCTGGTTCATCATCTTCACCCCCAGACGACCTAGAAACTACATCAAGAGAGTGTTCCTCCGTATCCCTCAACAGATCAGCTGGAGGCTCGGGGTTGTCCACCCCAAGCGGGTCAGCATGGACATCGTGCTCACCATCGCTGGGCCCATCGACAGGCGACCGGACGTCGGCATTGGACACATTGAACAGATTCAGCAGGAGTTGGCGAGCCTCTTGCAGAGCCTGGAGCTCTGCAGAGATGCAACAAACGAGTAATTTCCAGTTCTTACTCTCCGCAAGTTCTAAGTGATCTTCTACGCGTTCAGATGTGTGTCTCAAATCCTCTAGCACAGTCCGGGCAATGCCCTCTTCCGGTGGGGTTTGTGAAGTACCCTCTGGACCCAGAAGCTGTGACTGGTTTTGGATGAAGCGGCGCATGATCGCCTTCAACCGCTTCTCGTAACCGGTAACTTCCCCGACTACTTGTTTCCAAACTCCGCCACCAGCCTCCAGCGCTTCGATCTCTGCCTTAACTTCCTTTTCTCGGCTGCGCAGGTCCGCTTGCTCCTTGGTCCAGTGTTCGTGGGCGAGATCGAGGGTCCGTCGTTTTGGGTTCAGGGTGTAGAACGTCGCGTCACTAGACTTGGCCGATAGAGGTCTCACAGGCGGATTTTGGAGGTATCTTTGAACGTCCGACTCCAAGAGTGTTAAAGAAGCTTTGTAGGAGGACAACTTAGAGTCGACCGAGTTTTCCATTTGCGACAATTCCCGGATGACATCTTGGTGCCTAGCCTTCATTCGGGACAGTCTGGTTTCCATTTCATGGATGTCTTCCTCCAGTTTGCGACTTTCGTCTCGTAGGTCTTTGGTCCGCTGACCTTCCTTATCGTCTTGAATTGTCGAGATTGCGGCCTTTAAGCCGGCACGCTTGGTATTAAATCCATCAATGTCCTGGAGTGCATCGTGTCGTTCATCGACCTGGGAGATCAGTAGCTCATGTTCCTCCTCTCTCAACTTCAGCAAGTCGTAGATAGATTTGAATATGCCTTCCCGAGCCGCACGAAGACCAATCTTCTCGGGAGGTGGTTGTCTCACTGGAACAGTAGAGGGCCCCTGGACACTACCCAGCGCTGAGGTTGGAGTATGGCTCCCACTAGTCGAGGGAGTAGCATTGGACTGCGGTCCCACCAGGCCAGCAAGAAGGCCTTCACTTTGAGCATCGATGAAACTCTGCAGGTTGAGTTCAATTTGTTTGGCTTGTCGGTCAATGTATACGAGTGTGTCTTGCTGGTACGTGGAAGCTCTCGGCGCGAATATTGCCGACATTTTGGGGGTGATGACGGCTTGGAGAAGACCGAGCAATTGAGATGAAATTCGGCGGGAGTCAGGGTACAAATACCCGTCTCAAATTTCTCTTCAATGGAGCGAAATGATTCAATCACGAATTCCTTGCACACGACATGATAAAGAGAAAAATAGGATCACTCCTGTGGACAGGGACCTGCTGCATATGTCGCATGCCATCACCGGGCACGTGACAGAAATAGGGCGGTCGGCAGAAACCAGGAATACCATTCGACAGCTTCCCTCCGCCCCGTTGACGTGTGCCTCGCTGCTGCTGCTGCTGCTGCTGGAAAGGAACCTTGAAGCTTCCTGATCACTCCGAGCTTGTCTCTTCCCACCATCCACCTTTCTATCCCGCTTGCTTTATCCATCTCGTTTTCACGTGTACATTGCGCCTTTTGATCTTCAGTAGTCCTGAAATTCGCAGATTGGGTTCAACCGACTCAACCACTTCACGGCTCATTCCAAGCTGTCGCCCCATCCTCTAGCGACAGCGCTGCCATTTCCCATCAATCCAGAACACTCCCTTCAGACATGGTTGGACTTGCTTCAGCCGCCGGCCTTGTCGGCTTTCTTTCTGAGTCTGATCCAGAGTTGCGAGTCTTTGCTTTGAAGACCCTTGACTCCCAGATCGACCTCCTCTGGACAGAAGTCGTCGACGCCGTACCTCAAATGTTCGTTTGTCAGCCTGATTGTCCGTTTTCGATGGACGCACCCATGTTCCCAACTCCATCTCGATTCCAACCATGAACTGCTTCATTTTATTCTGAGACTGATTCCTTGGAATTTAGAGAGGCGCTTTACGAAGATGAATCGTTTCCGGAACGCGAGCTTGCCGCTCTAGTCGCCGCCAAGGTGTATTATCACCTCCAGGAGTACAACGAAAGTATGGTGTTTGCACTGGGTGCCGGAAAGCTGTTCAAGCTGGACAGTGGTGGCGAATTCGAGGAAACAATCATCGGTATGTCTACTGAGCTCATCTATCACCACTGAAGTGGCTAGTACCTAATGCTTACATTTATCAGCCAAATGTGTTGACACCTTTGTTTCGCTTTCCGCTGCCCAGCGGCCGGCAGCAGGTGACCAACCTGCGAACCTGAACACTTCATTCCCCACCTCCGGTGAAGGAGCCACGAGCACCTCCGCCAGCCTGACATCCCCAATCACACCATTTTCACAGTCCGCCTTGCCATCCAAGTCTCTCTTATCCAGACAAGAAGTGCCCGGAGTGGATGCGGCCTACCCGGGTGGCGATGATGCGAGCATCAAGCAGGTCGAGACGCCCTTGGTGTTGAAGCGGGGAGTTCAGGGTCAGTTGCAAGCAATCATCGATCGCTTGTTTGAGCAGTGCTTCACTCAAAAGAGGTATCGTCAAGTCATTGGAATTGCCATCGAGGCTAAGAACCTTGATGTCCTTCGGAAAACGATTATCCGGGCTAGTGACGACGAGAAGAATCAGAACGGCGAATCACGACGAAGTGAAGAGCTTATGGAGTATGTGCTGGACATCTGCATGGGAATTGTGCAGGAGCGTGGCTTCCGCAATGACGTATGTCCATATCTTCCTCCCTATTGCTCCCTTACACTGATTCTAACATTTACCTCCAAAGATCCTTAAGCTTATCCTCGATCTCCTCAACGAAATCCCTGCGCCCGACTATTTCTCGATTGCCAAGTGTGTAGTGTATCTGAACGAGCACTCAATGGCGTCGGCCATCCTTCGTCAATTGGTCGACAAGGGTGATGCGCGATCACTCGCCGTTGCCTACCAAATTTCCTTCGATCTCTACGACAACGGTACACAGGAGTTCCTTCAGAGAGTTCGCAGCGAGATTGCCGAGCCCCTACAGGCGAGCGAGGAGTCTGAGTCGAAGGCTGAAGAGGAACCCAAGGAATCGGATCCTTTGCTGGATAGCCAATCCAGATCTATTGGCGAGAACAGCGAGCAGACCAAGATCTCGACTGAAGCGCGCGCGGCTTACAAGAACGTTCTTGCTATCATCGATGGTAGAAAGACCATCCAACTGAATTTGGAATTCCTGTACCGCAACAACAAGGCCGACATCGCTATCTTGAACAAGGTCCGGGATAGTTTGGAGGCGCGGAACTCTATTTTCCACACTGCTGTCACGCTCTCGAACGCTTTCATGCATGCCGGCACCACCCACGACAAGTTCTTCCGAGACAACCTGGAATGGTTGGGTAAAGCTGTTAATTGGTCGAAGTTCACCGCTACCGCGGCACTGGGTGTTATCCACCGGGGCAATTTGACCCAGGGTGAGAAGCTTCTGCAGCCCTACCTGCCCCGGGAGCACATCGCGGGTGTTGGAGGTTCAGGCTCGGTCTACAGCCAAGGAGGTTCCTTGTATGCACTAGGTTTGATCTATGCTAACCATGGCGGCATGGCTGTGGATCTTATCCGTGATCACTTCAAGAAGGCCACCGAGGAAGTTGTTCAGCACGGTGGCGCCTTGGGTCTCGGTGTTGCGGGGATGGCGACCGGCAACGAGTCTATCTACGAAGACTTGCGGAATGTACTCTACACCGACTCTGCACTTAACGGCGAGGCTGTCGGTCTCGCCATGGGTCTGGTCATGCTGGGCACCGGCAACATGAGAGTGCTTGAGGACATGATCCAGTACGCTCATGACACGCAGCATGAAAAGATCGTCCGTGGCTTGGCTCTGGGAATGGCTTTGATCATGTACGGGCGTCAAGAGGCTGCCGACGAGCTGATCAACGGTCTTCTGGGTGATCCCGACCCCACTCTCCGTTATGGCGGTATCATGACGATCGCTCTTGCGTACTGTGGTAGCAGTAGCAACAAGGCTGTCCGCAAGCTTCTCCACGTTGCTGTCAGTGATGTCAACGATGATGTTCGCCGCATTGCTGTTCTGAGCTTGGGCTTTATCTTGTTCCGCAAGCACCAGAGTGTGCCTCGCATGGTAGAGCTGCTGTCTGAGTCCTACAACCCTCACGTTCGTTATGGAGCTGCTATGGCATTGGGTATCTCCTGTGCTGGTACTGGTCTGGACGAGGCCATTGACTTGCTTGAGCCTATGCTCAAGGACTCGACCGACTTTGTGAGACAGGGTGCTTTGATCGCTTTGGCTATGGTCCT